CATATCTATTATAACTATATCAACAAAATTTATCTGATTTAATAATAATTAAAAAAATAGTTTATGAACGTTTCCATTTGATTTGAATGAACAAAGTTCATTTTTAAAAGATGAGATTGATGGTCCATTTCTATACAGCAGTACGGTAATTATTCAATTTCGTACCGCTTACATACAATCGAATTTAACCATTTCGGACAGTCTATTCTAATACACAATGATCAAACAGGATCTTTCGTTTCCTGTCCGTGCAAGTTCTTAACGGATAGTTCAAGAAAAACTGTTATTTTACACAGTCAATTTACACATTTAAAGCTAAAAATAATAAGATAATCGAGTTTTACTAGGATAATTACCGATACACAATTACGAAACGTGAATGTTTTATCATTATACTTTAATTACATCCTTACAGATTTAATTTGCCTTAATACTTTTTATCTTCCTCACGAGTTTTTAAATAGATCGTTAAATAGATCATAATTATTTAAATATGTCAAATAGATCATTGTCATTTTCGATATCAGAAAACTTCTGATCATCTTACGAACACACTTCGTCAATATTATTTATTTTGTCTAATAATTTGATATTCTTCGAATGTTTTGGCATTTTTGGGATGAATATATGAATGATAAAGTAAAAACTAAAATATGAAAGTGTAGATGAAACGAGGCAAAAAAATGGATACATAAATAGACAAAAGTTCAAATGTAAATCTTATTACATAATATTGTTGGTTCTGTTAATATTATAGTATATTAATAGTATATTAATAATAATAGTATATTAATAGAATAATAATTGAAAATAATAATAAATCGCCAAATACTATGTCGAATCATCACCTTTTGATGCTCTATGTTAGAATCACAAGATCATAATGTCGTGCAAATGTATCCTCTCCAATCTAGTATTTCTTGATAATATAGAAGACAAAGGCAAATGACTTTTAAAATAGTTCCAGAAATTTTAGATATATTTATATATAATATATATATATATATTATTATATATATATATATTATATATATATATATTATATATATATTATATATATATATTATTATATATATATTATATATATATATATATATTTCAATAGGCGTATATAATTAACCAATGTATTACGAAGATTTTAATTTATGTTAAAAGTCATATTTTTGTACAAACGTACATTCACCAATGATCGATAGGATGAAATGCTGTTTCATCGATGTCACATAATGCAGATATATTTTTGTTCATATATGATTGTTCATGTAGAACAGTCATTTTTATTAAATATATAAAATAAGTAAATAATGTGCACATGTTATTAATGGAGAGTAGTAAATTATGCAATTATTGATTAAATAGTTCATTAAGGAAAATTAATTATTAATTGTACAGATCATCTCTACTTTGAACTATATCGAGTAATTCAATAATATCCAAAGAGATTATGTATCCGTGATCGGTAAAATTTCTAGTATGATAGCTTTAAATTTATTAAAGTTTAGAATTTTTCAGAAAAATGAAATTTATTTCAACATATGTTTCCAATCAGTTTGAAAGTATTATTAATTAATATTGACAAGAAATTGTTCGACAACAATCTCGATCGTGAGATTACACATTTCATGATTATCCGATTGATCCCTGGCCAACATTAAAGAAATTTCCACTAACAAAGAAAAGGTATCATTTATCGAAATAAAATAATTATTTTTCATTCCTTTTGTGATTACATATATTTAATCGAATTTTTGGACAAAATTTTCTCGTCCGTTCTTTCAATCGGTTTTAATAATAAACTAATTCACGTTCATTTATCAAACACTTAAACGTTTATGTAAAATATTTTTTCACAATATTAATATTTTATGAGATAATTAAATATTTCGGTACATTTACCACTTATAGCATCCATACGTAAACACATACAATGATGCATTACACAATCCTTTTGCATTCGTCTAGATTGTATTACAAGATTATTCGTATTATTACAATAATGGCCCTCAAATTCGAACATTCATTTATCTTTCATCATCTTACTATTCGTGTCAACGAGATTCTTAGAAAAAAAATCTTTTAAAGAAAAGAAAAAAATTTTGACCACAGTTCGAGTAACTAACCGCTTAAGACATCCGTCATATCTAAAAAAAAAAAAAATAGAGGAACAATGCCCAGCAAAAAAGTTGGTTGTTATTACAATAAATTTTGACAGTGTTTCACAATTTTATTGAATGGATTCGGTTCGTCATATTTACAATTATTGCGTGCCTGCATGTGTACGCGCGTGTATATACTGTCTGTATCAATAAAAGTTAGATGGCAATGGGGAATGATAAAGAAAGAGAGAGACATTCTTGACAACATGAACCATCAACCTCTACATTTGAAGCTAAAAACAGTATGTCAACCGAAACCTTTGCATCTCAATACTTCAAATATATCGTTATAAATTTAAATTCACATGGTGTCTTTTATCACGCATCTTTCTTATGAATTCTCCAGGATCCATCAAAGACATTGCATTATCCCAATAGTTTCGAAAACTGAAAAGTTCTGTTGCTATTTTTCATGGCGACTAATGGGTTTATAACATTGATGATGGTATCCCTAATGCAATTCAACCGTTATCACGAGCTGCGGTACGAGAAATGCAACGTAACACGCTCCCGTAATTAGGAACGTAAGATGTAACAAGTTTTCACTTGACATAAACCAAATACTTTCAGTATGATACGACGTAATACGTGTCCCTTTTTGTCTTTGCTCCAATAAATGACTTCGTAAACAATATACTAGTAATGATTGTATTTATATTTTACGTAGTAACGGCCTAGTAACGGTCATGTCTATTTCAATACTTTATTTCACTCGTACTCATTATCCCGACTTTCTTAATGATTTAGGTCATCATGAGAATAGGCATAATATTTGAACAATTTTGATGATCATGTTCTCATTTTAAAAACGGATCCACTGCATATCATTTTAGAATTTTTGAAAGAGCTTCTCATTTATCTATAAATTATCCTCGAATAAAAATAGCATACTTTACACGATTTTTTTCGAAGATAATTTTTCGAAAATTCAATACATTAGATTAAATCTTCGTCCTTAAAATGACACCTTCTTTCAATTGTTCAAGAATTACTTCTGACTTCATTGACGATGTAAATGCTGTTTTCGACATTTTTCGAAGACAAAATTTATTACTGTAATTTATGACTGTAATTCCTCATTATTTTTATAGATTAAAAAGATAGAAATTTTGTAAGCAATGTGTAGTACATTTGCAAGCATTTAGATTAGTATTCCAAGAAAATCTTATGTTCGTATCTAACGAAACTAATGAAGTAAATTAGTTCATTCTAACGGGGAAATTCACTTTATATTATTTCAATTACTACTACTATTACTATAATAATAATATATAAAAGAATATAATAAATAAAAAAATATACCTACATTAAATACATCATGACACATATGATGATGGTAATTTACGATAACAATAAAAGTAGAAATGTGTCATTTTACGTGGTCATTTTATGCACTGACTCTCATCAAATCGTATCCTCAATAATTTCGACACATGACCGCCCATCGATAGATATGTTTAACCCTTTTCGAATATTTAAAAAAATAATAATTAATGAACATATATATTATATAGTTGTATAAGGATCAAAATACGAGTTTACGTATTTTGAGTTTACGAGTTACGTACAAAAATACGATTTTATATTTAATAATACAATCATAAAATATACTCTAATTATTTTTAACAAGAGACTATAAAATCTTGCTTTTATCACAAATTTATATACTAATTGTTATATGCAGTAATTATATTCATTATTCTGCGCATTTGTTGTGAAACAAATCCGTACTGATATCCTATCTAGCACAGATTACTGGGAGACGCATTCTAGCATCATAATCCTATACATATGAGAGATTGAAAAGTGAGTTCACAGTCTACTAAACTACTTATTCTAACTTACACGAAACCGATTGTTATGTCGCGTAAAATAAGTACAACTTACAAAAGTTTTTACATTACCGATACGATAGGCGTATGTTGGAGACACTGTTCCCTGTAATTTATATTGTACCTATACCTGCCGCTCCACTCTTTGAGCGAAAAGTGATAAACAGCCTAGTTCTAGAAAGAGAGATATGCGTATGTGTTACCAATATTGCTTTTCAAATTTTGTAATCCTTAGCAATCTCAGAAGTTTTTACCAGAACATTACATTACTATACTGAAGAGTAGGACCTCTCTCCCTGTTTTCACTTGCATTAAAGTGCCTTAAGAAGTTTCACACAAAAAGTAAAATTAATTTTCACATGATATTAATTTTAATATCATGTGAAATGATATTAAAGTTATAATAAACAAATAATTATATCAAGATGTGGCATTCTCGAAGTAGCCATTTATCTTTTATTTGAAATATGTTTTGCTATGAATAATGGTAGTAATAAATATTAATAGATATAGAATAGTATATAATATAAATGCATATAAAATAATAGTCCGAAGGATTAAGAAGTACTGTAATATTTCCTTTGTAACATATTGTAATATATGTACGAAACAAAAAATAATCCTACCTGATAATGAATTTAAATCATTGTATTTGGATGCAATCATAAAATATACTTTACATTTTTGTTTATTACTATATTGGTCGATCGTTTGGACAATAATGATTAATATGACCAATCAAAATTGCCGTTACGTAAAGAAAAGAAACATGGCGTACTAGTCGCTTCTAATAGCGTGGCCAATCAGAATTAGCAACAATTAAAGAAAAGAATCGTACCACTGCGAATCGGAACTAGCGAGGCTGCAAGAAGTGAATTCTTTCATCTTTTCCCTCGTGTTTTCGAATAAGATAGTTGTTTTCATCAAGTATTCCACAAGAAATTAAAGATTAAAGAAGATCTACGTCGAGTACGTTTTACATTATACCCATCATTATCATTTTATTAGAATTTTGCGAATCAATTTAAGTTTCAAGGTGTATGAAGTATTTGTTATGAGTTAAATAGGTTATTAAAAATAAATTATTTCATATAATGTTGCATTAAACATGTAATAAATTGTTGATGTTATATAATATGAGAAATTAAGATTTTATTAAATTAAATAAAATACAGATATCTTTTATGTCTGGTTTATTTTACACGTGTAATTTTATCAATTTTCTTTATTGCCTATGAGATATGTTCGGTAATATAATATTTCCATCTGCTAGTGCCTCAAAAGTAACTAATTAGTAAGATTATGTATCATTGATATTATACAGTATTTAATAACTCAAATTATCAGTAATAACATAAGATAATATATTTTTATCATTATCAGGATGTTGATGCCAAAAAAGAATCGTGTGGCCATATACGAATACCTTTTTAAAGAAGGTGTAATGGTAGCGAAAAAGGACTACCATGCTTCAAAGCATCAAGAGTTAGAAACAATTCCAAATTTAGAAGTTATTAAAGCAATGCAGGTAAATTATATCTTAATATTTAATATTAGAATAAATTATCATTGTATGTGTTCTTTCATTTTTATAACAATTCTTTCATGATTCTCCAGTTCCTCAAATCCAGAAATTATGTCAAAGAGCAAATTGCTTAGTGACATTTTTATTGGTATTTGACCAACGAGGAAATTGAATATTTACGTGGATTCTTGCATCTACCACCAGAGATTGTTCCATCTACGCTCAAGAAACAAGTTAGGTCAGAAACTTCAAGACCCAGGCCTGCCGCAGGTCCAAGAAGCGAGGCTTCAAGACAGACAGAAGACCGTGCTGGTTACAGACGAGGGCCAGGAGGTCTTACTGGACCTGGCGATAAAAAAGCTGATGTTGGTGTAAGTACAGTTGGTGACTTAGAGTTCCGTGGAAAAGCTCCGTAAATAATTTGTGAAAAATAAAATAATCAAAATCAGACTATTTCTAATTCTTTATATTTTTAATTTCTACTTCTTTACTAATTGTTATTTATATACCATTGTTAATATATAATATGAAAACTATATTATTCAAAATATACATATGAAATAGTCGAGAATAATTTGAACAACTTCTTTAAATTGATAACACTCTCCTCATTCCATAGATTGAAATCATTGTTGGAATTCATTTTTGTAAGATAAGGAAGAATGATAAAGTGTACTTATCAACAGCATTAAAAAAAATAGTAAGATTTAGTAGATAATCCTGAAACGTTCAAATAAAAATCATTCAATGATTCTGACATTGATATAGGAGAGATAGAGAAAGAGAGAGAGAGAGAGAGAGAGAGAGAGAGAGAGAGAGAGAGAGAGAGAGAGAGAGAGAGAGAGAGAGTTTGAAGGCAGAAAAGTAGATGGTTTATTTACAAAAAATATCTATTTTCATCTTAAAAATAATTTGGCACATCTTACAGTTTTAACTATAACTCTATCTTATAGATGAAAAGATTTAAATAACTATGCCATCAGAGAATATATCATTAGTTTTATTTTTAATTTATAATATATATATATATATTATTAATAATATATTATTAATCCTGTTAAAGATATTTCCTAAAGGTTTCTTATGTGATAATCTTTGTTAACATTTAATAGACGCTATTACAAAACTAAAATTATCCAAAAATATTTCGTCAGGTGGAAAATAGAAGTAATAAAGCTTTACCAAATGAGCATTCCAATCTTCATGATCTTTATCATTTTGTCTTGATGGCACTTTATATATAGTTAATCTTTTTTCATATAGAATAGCAGAAACGATATATCTTGATATTTTAATTTTTTATGCAAGTCACACTTATTTGTCCATTTTTCATTTCTTTTTGCTTTTTGAAAACACTTCTGAACATATTTTGTAGTAAAGATCAAGTTTTTTAACAGTCATTTAATAAAATAAATAAAGAATAATAATTAATATAATTGTGTTCGCAGATTTTTGACTATTGGTGATTTCTTCTTTTCTATAACATTCGGTTTTAGATTTGGAGTTAGCATTATACACATCATTATGAAAGAAGTATGACAAAAAAATTCTATTAAATCTATACAAATGCTAACAAAGTTATAATAACATGTATTCCATATAATTATCTTAAATCCAGAATGCGGTTACTATTTAAGAGAAAATGAGAATATTTTTTCACATAATATAAGAAACATTTAAAAATAAGGAAGCAGGTTGCTGTTTTAAATGTTAAAGATAATCATAAGTTATTAATGTTTTTTGATTCGTTTCCAAGAATATAATAATAACATTAACAAAAATGTTAATAAATAAATGAATCTATTTAAATAAAAATACATGCCTTGCTTTTTGCGATTTATTTTGACGCTACGTTATCTTCTTGATTATTATTATATTTTCAATCACTTAGATCATCCATCATCATACGAAGCATCGGGCGAAAATGATCGCTCCATTAGATATATGTAAAACAGAGATGAATAGATGGGGCTAAGTGGCGGCAATTTTGAAATTTCAAATTACAATTTCCATTACGATATATTCTTTTACAAATTCAATCAATTTTTCATTACCCAATGTTTATTATTATAAGTATATATATTTGTACTACTATTAAACTATTATTAATATTGCCTACACGAATAAAAACAGACAAGTACAGACATCTTTGAGCATAGACAAAATATTTTTTCCAAGAATATAGTTAGTTCTTTATGTTTGCATAAAACAATAAGATTTTAAATCCAAGAATGAGCGTATCTTTTTTCGTTTACATATCCTTCTCCGATTTCCAACTTTTGATACAATATAATATGGTATATATAACTTGCATTACATGCATATAAAATAAATCACAATATTATTGGTACATTTTATATTTCATATTGAAATATGAAAAATGAGAAGATAATAAAAGAACATTCAATACTTGTTATTCAAGTAATATAATATTAAAATAATATAATATGGAAATAAAATTATTGAAAAAAATATTAAAATATTATTATTTATAATTACGAAAAAATGAAATGTAACAATCCCTTGCTGCATAGTATTTTACAAGAATTGATTTATCCAAATCAGATCTTCCTATAGAGACATTATAACGTTCAGTTACTTCAAAAAAATTCAGTTTATAAAATTTAATAGAATAGAATACAATAATGTGCTATTATGGCCAGAAAAGAAATAGAAACCATTTTAGAGATTTAATTATTACTCATTAAAAAATCCGGAATATGATAAATAAAAGTTTTACATCTATAAGAAATATTACCAATAGATGTGAAAATAAAACTAGAATAAATAATAAGACTAGTTAAGGAAGAAAAAGATTGTTAAATAGAAGTGAAGAATGTTTTTGAAAAAGTTTTTCAAAAAGATTAAAGAAGATTCGAAAATAAATGCATCGAAAATTAATGTTATTCTTCTAAAGTTTGCTGATAAAACTTTTTCGAATGTCCGAATGATCCAAAGGGTATTACGAAAAAATTTATATAATAAATTTCGAAAAAATTCATATAATGAGAAAAACCATATGTTATTCTGATGACGTATGGGAAAAAAAATGTTGAATTCACTGAAAAATATATTTCTTGAATTATTAAATTTTGGATAAACGTAATATTTTGCGATAAAAGTGAATATAATATTTGGATTAATGGTCATCGATAAGTATCACAAAAAAAATCAAACGAAGAAATGAACCCTAAAAATCTTCGTTTAATAATTAAGTATGATGGCGGCAATGTTATGGTGTGAGTATTGACGTTCTCGTACTTGTACCCTTAAATTTTCTCTCAAAGACTACATATTACCATGCAGATTATTTGACCATGAGCATTCGTTGGATGCTAAGAATAAAAAATATGTCGGAGGGGAAAATATACATTCTATGTATCGAAATCAGTACACAAAAAAGTAATCGTTCAACTTTAAATATATTCCATTTAAACTAGACCACTTAAATATTTCTTCTATTTGTGATAATGTAAAAAATATTTTTTTACATAATTTAAATGATTTTAAAAGACAGATCAGATGGAAAAAAATTTTTTTTCTTAATAAATGTCATTTTTTTAATGGTTTTTCTTCGATCACTCTAGAATAATAATATATAATAAATAATAATAATTTATTAATAAATATATTATATAATTTAAATATATACATTAATTAACTATTTATACATTATATTTATATTATTATTAAATTTTTATTTTTAAATATTTCTTTTTTTTTTTTAATTTAAGAAATATTTTTTATTTAAATAACTTTTCTTATTTTTAAATTCCTCTTAATATTAATTAAACAAGATTATAAAATAATTAAATATTTTAAAATTCTTAATTTTTAAATAAATATTAATTATTTATCAGTTATAATTTATAAAGTAACTACCCAATCACATTCTTAGTTGTAATAAGAATAATCATAAAAATTTATTTATATATATTATAATATATGACATATCTTAAATTATTTATTTGTTATGATAATAATTATTTCTACTTCATTTAAATTCTTAAATAATATTCATAAATAATATTATAAAATAAAATTTCTTTCGTTTTTTGTAGTATACATTCATTTTTTCTCTGTTGTATGTTATAACATTATTCATTCATACACATTAGTATGACTTTAAAATGACCTTGGAATTAAAAATTTTTTAATTAATGTGGAATTTACAATGAGTTACCATTTTTCAGTAATAATAAATGATTGATTGTCAATTAGTAATTGTAAATAAAAGTATTTATTATTGTAATAAATGTTTAATATGATGTTCTTCTGATGTCAAACATTTCGTAAGGCGAATAATGGCAGGTTACAAAGATCTTTCGATGATTTCAAGTTTAATATAAACATAAGTATCAATTATTCCTTCCTTCATATTTTTGGTGGTGCGATCTTTTCTTTATAAATCTTATCTTAATATTAATAGAATCTTTTAATCTAAATAGAATCAAAGGCGAAAATCAAAATTAATCATACGAGAAAGATCTAACAACTAGTAAATCCTTGAATAAAATATATATTTAATCAAAAATGTGTTTATTTACGATTTCAAATTGAAGATTGGTCTTCGAAACTTAACATCTCGCTGAAAGTAAGTTCTATGCTAATTAAAAAATTTTATAGTCCAAGGTCATTTCAAAAACATTATTATTTATTAATTTAATCATCAATTATACGTTATCGAGAGCATATGTAATGCCATACAAGTTATAACATATATGAGAAAAAAATGTGTATGTACATAAAAAATAAAAAAAAGAAAAAGAATCATTAAAAAATTATATTTATAAGAAAAACAAATTTTCTTCATACACACAACTTATTTACAATATTCAAACGTTACAGAAAATATCTTTATACAATTATTATTGAAAATAATAATATTTACATTTCAATTGGAATGATCGATCTCTCTTACAACAAATTCATAAACGTTTTATTTATTTGAATTTCATGCCATTCCGCGTCACGAAAAAGCACATTAACTCGAGTAGTCGTAGTACAAATTATTTATCGTCATATTAGAAATTTATCTTTCATTATAAAGCCGTAGATAATGAAAAAGAGAGAGAGAGAGAATCTATAAAAATATTAATTTATCAAAACTTCGAAATTAGCAATAAGAATGATCTTCAAAAACTGTATTAATTACTTATTCACTATAACAAATTTCATGAAAAATTAAGTGGACGTTTTTACAGTTCTTATTTTATACATGTAATTATTTGTTTTTGCTACAGTTTATATGCTATCACACACAAAATTCGTTATATATATATATATATATATATATATTTATATTTGAACTTTTGTCTATTTGTGTACCCATTTTTTACTCCGTTTCATCTATATTTTACATTTTATATTTTAGTTTTTACTTTATCATTTGTATATTCATCCCGAAGATGTCAAGACATTCGAAGAATATCAAATTATTAGACAAAATAAATAATATTGACGAAGTGTTCGAAAGATGATCAGAAGATTCCTGATATCGAAAATGACCTTGATCTATTTGACATATTTAAATAATTATGATCTATTCGACACCGACTCGAACGCTGATGAGAATGACTTTGAAATGACTTTGAATATACTCAAAGGACGAAAGAGAAAGAGATTTTTATTTCCAAAAGTGAAAATGAATAAGAGATCCAAACTGCTACAGAGGGAACTGTTTGGCGAAAAATAAAATAAGGATCTAATCGCAGAAAAGCACCGATTTATATTTTCAGGGTGCATTAAATGAAATATTATGATAGGTAGAGTTGAGTCGGCATTTTCCTTGATTATTGATCATAACGCCAATAAGAAAATACAGAGTAATAAAGTTATTTCAAATATTAAAAACGATGTATCTACTGCAAAATTATATGCATTTATTGGACTTCTGTATGCATGCAGCGCATATTAGGCTGAAGATATAGATAATCATATCTATGAAACAAGAAATGTGGTTCAACATTTTTCTTGACAACTATCAACAAAAATAACATTACGAAAATTATAAGGCTTATTCGATTTGATAATACAAACTATATAAAATGTAAAAAATACGTATATAAAAAAAATACTGTAACATTGTAAAAATGATCTATAAACGCTTAAAACTTACATTGTTCATTTCTAAATAAAATAAAATATTTTGTTTACTATCCAATCGGTTGAAATTTCATTTTATATTAAGATATGTTTTTTTTGAAACTGTTATTTAACCACCCACGATTGGAATAGGTATCCATGAAATGTCGGTAGGTTTAGTGTTAATTATGTATGTATTGTATATATATATTGTATTTTTTAATTAATTTCTCCTTTCAAATTACAAACTTATTTTTCTATATCTTATTAGCCTATTTAAGGAAATAGTATTAATCGGGAATTGCTAGAAAAAAATTCAAGTAATAATAATGAATGCAATGCTTCAAAAATATTTCTAACAATAATAGACAGTCACGAGAATGGAAAATTCTGTTGAGTCACTCGTACAACTCTAAAAGTCCCCGGAATAGCAAATAATTTGCACTTCTTGGTGATGAAAAACAAACAATGAACGAATAATTACAATTACAAGAAATATTTTTGAAAAAATAGTTATTGTATGTCATTATAAAACATAATCAAAAGTAACATTAAAATAATATAAGAGATTCTTAAATACGAAGCATTTCATACGAACTAAAACTATTCATACTATTAATTAATTAACAGTATAAAAAAGTAGTTAATCAAAAAATCTATCAATTTAAATGTCACCTAATGAATTTAAATTTTGATAAGTATATATTCTGAAATGATAGCTATAGTATACTTGCACGCATATTTTTGGACTTAACGTAAAATTAAATATTCAAAATCGGAATATCTCATATTTATTAATTTGAATAAGATCATGTGTTACTTCAAATTAAACATAAAGTATTATCGTTTACATTAACAAAAAGATTTGTTACGTCATACGTTCCCAACTATCAGAGTACCTTACGTTGCTTTTCTCGCGCCATGGCCAGCTATGACTCTCAATTGCGCAGAGGTTCTCATGCTAAGCGACAGAGTTAAAGACTGGTTGCGATGAAATTACACTAGGCGCTAGGCTCGGAATTTGTCGATTTTCCTGCAAAATTAATTGTTCATATTGCCGTGTTCCCTGAAATTAATGGAATAACGCGATGTCTTCTATGGATCCAGGAAAACTTGTGAGAAAGATACGCGATAAAAAGCATTAAGTCAATTTAAATCTGTAAGAATGTAATTAAAGTATAAAGATAAAAAAAGTGCGATATTAACGTTTCGTTATTGTGTATCAGTAATTATTCTAGTAAAACTCGGTTATCTTATTATTATTAGCTTTAAATATGCAAATTGACTAAAATGGCAGTTTTTCTCGAACTATCCATGAAGATGATAAGAACGTGCACGAAAAGGAAAAGAATGTTGATGATTGATTGTGGTGTATCAGATTATACCGCTCGAAATGGTTAAATTCGATTGTACGTAAACGGTGCGAAACTGAATAACCGTAGTGCTATATAGAAAACAATCTCATCTTTTAAAAATGAACTTTGTTCATTCAAATCAAATGGAAACGTTCATAAACTATTTTTTTAATTATTATTAAATCAGATAAATTTTGTTGATATAGTTATAATAGACATGTGGGAATAAGACTTTATTATTTCTTTAATGACATTCATTTCTTCTCAATTATTGGTTTATTCTATTTTTAAATAGTATCGTATCATTTCTTGTCGTCAAGGCTGTCTTGTTCATTTTCTCCTTTTATATTTCACAATAACCATATGAAGAGACCGCAAGCAGGCGCGCATTATTGAATATTCATAAATAGACGTAATCGAACGACGAGTCAGATTTCTTTCGACAATATTTCGCAACTTTTACAAAATTTATTTTCTTGTCTTCTATTTTGCATATCCTTCGTCTATTTTTTTAGCTATATGACCGTAATGAGTGCATTAACATAAGCTATAGAGTAGAGGCAGTTTTTCAAACTGTGGTCAGGATTGTTATATTATTCGTTTTTTAAATTTTGTTTTCTAAAAATCCAGTTAGTATGACTTTCGAGACAATGAAAAATGATCGGACGTTCGAATTGAAGAGTTGTTAACGTAATTAAAAATTTTTTTATAATACATTCTTGATGAATAGAAATGCATTGAGTAAGGTATTATTCTATGAGCTTATTTATTTATGCTGTAAGTGAAGGAATTATTGAAATATCTAATTTTTTCAATGAATCTTGAAACATTGAAAAATTTCTTTACATCGTCGAAAAACTGTTAACGATTAGGGAAGTCAAAGTGTTTTTTAAACATTGTATTATTTGAAGAAAGGAGCGTGAATAATTATATAATTAAAACGAAATGGAATAACTGACGAAAAAATTTCCACCAAAAATTGGATTAAATATATATAATATTTAAGAAAATGAAAAATAATAATTCCATAAATGATGAATGCTTCTTTTCCATTTTAATTACAAATAACCGAGATAATAAAAAAAAGTATAATCTCAGATTTATCGAAATAATTTTAATTTTTTAGTGAAACTGTAAATTAGATATCATCACTGAAAATTTTACCGACCGCAGATAGATAATTTCTGTTTGTATATCGTCAGGCGTATATTCGACGGATATGTTATCAAGATTTCAATTCTAGTAATTTACTATACTTTATTAAATGTAGTATTTTTAGGAACCGTTGTTAGGGTAGACTTCTGTTTTATCGATATCGGGTAATGCTACTTATTTATATTGTGACGTCAATAGTTGGGTTTTGAAAGGCTGTAGATTAACCGAAGTGCTTGCAGCCTTCCAATTACACCAACATAATCACGCGGCTTTTTTTCGGTCAATCCTAACTTTACAAACAAAGTATAATTAGAAGAAAAATTTTTTAAATTGTATTCCTAGTTTTCAAAATTTCAAAATTTTAATATTATATTTTATATATATATATTGTTGTTTTTTATTCCTAAAGATAATCAAAGAAAAAAAGTAATTTATATTGAAAAGTAAAATTAATCGGGAATTGACAGAGGAAAATTTAGGTAAAAATATGAAATATACGTTTAATAAAATTTAGTTTTAAATCTTTGCATTTATTAATAATATTAATGAGATTTTTGTTCATTTTTCAAGAACCAAAGTCAAGGACACTTCTAGACTTTATTTGAATTGTCGCACGAATGGAGAAATTATTCGGAGCAAGATATTTCCAATTAAATCAATAAGATGATTATAGCTGTAAGTCATATTTATGATTTAGCTACAATAAAATATTATTTATTAAAGAAAATTAAAAAAATCCGTATATTGATTAAAGGGAAGCGAAACTTCATTAGCTTTGAACTTTCAATGTTTGTTACATTTCCGGATATTCAAGTACGTGTATAATAAATTTTCTTAATAATTTGTCATTATGTACCCGATGTAAATTATATTCATATTAACTTCTTAACATGTCTTCCAAATCTTCGATCAAAAAGGACAAAGTATATGTGGAAGTAAATCGAATTTACTGCTCGGACGATCCGAAATATGTTCCAATGACATATAGTGACATTAAAAGTATGAAACTTTTGGAACGTGTGATCAAGGAAACATTACGTCTATTTCCTCCAGGTCCTGTCGTCGCTCGGAAAGTAACGCAAGATATAAAAGGTACCTCTGCATTCAAAATGATTTTATATATCTGTTCATTGTTTTATGTTTCATATTTCATTAATAATATTATAAATATATTATATAGTAGTAAAATTTATTTATTACTTATATTAAGTTACTAAAAATTGGACTATACCGAAAGGATGTTCAGCAGTATTTTTCCTCTATAAACTACATAGAAACGCAAAATATTGGCAACAGCCATTAGTATTCGATCCCGATAGGTTCCTACCGGGAAAGATTTATTCTACATATTTCTTTCCATTTAGTTACGGACGATGAAATTGCATAGGTAATTACATACTCCTATAGATTATTTGATAGTATATTCCAGAAAATTCTAAAATAAAATGTATTTACAGTTGATTTTATTTTTTAGGTCAACATTTCGCTATGTTAGAGATGGCAACAGTAATCGCTACACTGATAAAAAGATATAGAATTAAACTAGATTATCCAATAGGAATTGCAGAAATAGGTTTAAAGATGAGCCTCATATTAAAACCGGCAAAACCAATAGGATTAAAATTTGAAAGTAGAAATTAATTAAAACAGATAACATATATACAATACATACATAATTAATATATATATACATAACGAATTCTGTGAAATACAGTATAGAATACGTAGCAGAAACAAATTATTATCTGTATAAAATAAAAACTGTACAAAAACTGTCCACTAATTATTTCATATAATTTGATATAATGAATAAATAATTAATAGATCCCTTGAAGATCATTCTCATTGCTTATTTCGAAATTCTAATAAATTAATATTTTAATACATTCTCTCTCTCTTTCTCTCTCTCTCTCCCTCTCTCTCTCCCTCTCCTTCTCTGTCTCTCTCTGTCTCTCTCTGTCTCTCTCTCTCTTTCTCTCTCTCTCTCTCTATCTCTCTCTATCTCTCTCTCCCTCTCGCTCTCTCTCTCTCTCTCTCTCTCTCTGTCTCTTTCTCATAAATCAGAATACTCAACTAGCACATGTAGAGTTTTATCATGCGATAAAACTAGACAAAATAGCTAATCTATTATGTTTAAAAACTCTCATCTACAAATTATAAAGTATAATGATAAAATACTTCTAGTATGAAATAAGGTAATTATTCATAGGCCGTTCAACTAGACGAATCGAGTGATATTATTCACCGCACGCGACGGGAAAGTGATTGAGTGAAGAGTGAATTCATAAATTTCAGTTTTTTGATTCAGTTTTAAATATAATCTTATCCATCAAACAATTAGGGCTATTCATTACATTTCGTTCGTAACGTGTATGATTTCAGCGCTAGGACAAAATATGGACTACAAAACAAGCGAGAAACGCTGTCTCTACGATGCGTCTATATAAGCTTGTATTCATTATTTCCCTCTTTACTCCGACGGCCTCTTCATATTTTAGAGAAAAAAAGAAAGAGATAGAGGGAATAAGAGAGAGAGGGAGAGAGAATGCATAAATTATCAAGTATGCAAGCAAAAAACATTTTTTTATCTGATTCGCCCACGGCTGCACATGTAATAGTTGCGTCATACACAACGGAAGTTCATGAAAAAACTACATGATCTAAATTTTGGTATTCTAATCCTATATGCATATTCTTCTTTTCTCTTCTCATTCTATTTCATATCATCCTCTCTCTCTCACTCTCTCTCTCTCTTTCTCTCTCTCTCTCTCTTTCTCTCTCTCTTTCTCTCTCTCTCTCTCTCTTTCTCTCTCTCTTTCTCTCTCTCTCTCTCTCTCTCTCTCTCTCTCTCTCTCTCTCTCTCTCTCTCTCTTTCTCTCACATTCTTAGCAGAAATTTGCTAATATTATTCATGAATATCAATTAAAGTATTAGATTTGTATGGAGTTATGTAAATCCTTGCAGGAATATTTTATTTATACACGAGATTGTTTCCAAACGATACCTCTAAAGAGTCTTTAGAAAATAAAGAATAAATAGAAGATGAGATTTTTTAAATGCTAAAATGACCATTTTGTTAAACTAATCTTTTCTTTAGGCATTTAATGAAAGATATGTTATAATAATTAAATAGAAACTATACAAGTAATGCCTTTTCATCGTATTTAACAATATTAAGAAGAATAAAATTCACTCATTAATTATACATTATGTACATGTTCTACTCCCTGTTATCATGCCTAGTGTACTATATAGATAATCATTTTTTTCGCTCTTTCACTCCCGCATTGTCGCTTTTTGCTATCCACCGTGTACATTTTTTAGAGCATGGGTCAACGATCTACGTCCGGCGTAAGGTGCTCGCCTAATCTCTGCACATGGACTGACATTCGACCTTGTGGCTATATTTATTCCTTACGATTGTTTTTATATAATATCCAAATTGTATTTCATAAATTCTAGAAAATGCATTTACTATTGATTTTACATTCTTAGATAAAAAATTCGCAATGCTAGAAATAAAGGTAATAATTCCTATTTTGTTAAAAAGATTTATCATTAAAATACGACCAGTAACAATAGAAGAAATTTTGATAAAAATGTACGTTACGTTAAAGCCAGCGAGTCGTCTAATGTTTAATTTATATAAATATAATATATAGATAATTAATGTATAAACATAACGAATCCTGTGGATAACTGTAGATAAACTGTACCAAATATAAATTATTAATCGTATAAAATAAGAATTGTACAAAAACTACAAAAGAATCTCATTATTTTATATGATTTTATATAATAAATGGTCAATGGATAAAGACTTTCTCTAATTTGAAAAACATTGAGTAAGTTAATGTTATCCAATGAGGTTATGTTTCTAAAGTGGTCGGTGAAATTTTCCTGAATGATAACTATTTTAGAATTTTTCGACAATCAGTTTGAAAGTATTACTAACTAATATTGAAGTCGTTCAATAATCTGATCTTTTTATCAGTGTAACAATTACTGTTGCCATCTCTAGCATAGCGAAATGTTGACCTAAAAACATTAAATCAATTGTAAATGCTTTTTATTTTAGACTTTTCTGGAATATACTATCAAATAATCTATAGAAGTATGTAATTCCCTATGCAATTTCTTCGTCCGTAACTAAATGGAAAGAAATATGTAGAACAATTCTTTCCCAGTAGGAACCTATCGAGATCGAATATTAATGGCTGTGGCCAATATTTTGCGCTTCTATGTAGTTTATAGAGGAGAAATACTGCTGAGCATCCTTTCGGTATAGTCCAATTTTTAGTAACTTAATATAATTGATAAATAAATATTAGTACTATATAATACGGTCATATTATTAATAATGAAATATAAAACGTAAAACAATGAAAAGATATATAACAAATTATTTTGTATCCAAAGGTACCTTTTATATCTTGCGTCACTTTCCGAGCGATGACAGGACCTGGAGGAAATAGACGTAACGTTTCCTTGATCACACGTTCCAAAAGTTTCATACTTTTAATGTTACTATATGTCATTGGAACACATTTCGGATCGTCCGAGCAGTAAATTCGATTTACTTCCACATATACTTTGTCCTTTATAATCGAAGATTTGGAAGACATAATAAGAAAATATGAATATAATTTATGTCGGATACGTAATGACAAATTATTAAGAAAATATTATGTATACGTACTTGAATTTCCGTGAATGTAGCAACCATTAAGAGGATAAAGCTAATGGTTATGGTTGAAGTTTCGCTTTCCTGAAAGTAATATACAGTTTTTCTCAATTGTCATTAATAAAAACATTTTTATTGCAATTAAAAATAATAAATACGACTTACAGCTATGCTTATTGTATTTATTTTATCGCGAGTATCTTCCTCCGTACATACTTTTCCTTCGTGCGGTAACTCGAATAAAAAATCGGAAAGTATCTTCCGTTTTTGTCCTTGAAAAATGAACAAGAATCTATCATTAAAAAATGACAAGATTGAAAATTAAATATTATTATAGGTATATTGCTTATTTTTACCTAATTTTTCCGCTGTCAATTCTCGATTAATTTTACTTCTTAACATAGATTCCATTTTTTCTTTGATTATCTTTAGGAACAAAAAATATCGATATGTATAGAAAATATTATATTAAAATATTTTAATTTTGGAAAGAAGTAATGCAATTTAAAAAATATTTACGTTAATGATATGAATACCTTGTTTGTTACGTTATCCAGGTAAGCCAAGCTGGCATGAAATTTCTTTCCTCTAGCAGCGTTATAAAAAATTATGTTCGAATGTAACCATAATTTACAGAACCTTGCTATATCCATCAAACTGAAAGTACACACAAAAAATGTTAGAAGTATACATAATATATTACAAAAATAAAAGTATCATTATTACTACCATTTTATTGATTCAGCTAATTTACAATCCGGATTTGTCAGCGAATTTATTTGCGTATCCAGCGTGGCATCTTTCAATAAAAAGTTTAGCAAAGTTATAGTAAATTCAAATAAATGTACATAAATTTTTTAAACATTAATAAACTTCTAAATTTAAATACCATATATTATATCCGAAGTACAGCGAAGGACATAATCAGAAACTTCTAATTCTTCTCCAACAAAAGTTTCTAATTTTTCCATTAATGCGATAGAATGATTAACAAATACGTCCATATATGATAATTGACAATTATTACCAAGATTTAGTATTTGTTTGAATAGAGCTAGAATAGAGATTATAAATAAATATTGGATGAAATACTTAAATATAAAAAATTTAAGATACAAATTTACCTGTTGTGTCGCCAATAAACAGATGGACTTTTGGTCCAGGAATTCCGTTGATCATATTAAACATACGTAACTTATTTAAAAAGTATTCTGCTATTCCATAGTATAGTCCAAATAAAATTATTAGAATAATAATTAATATTACAATGGAATACATGAAGAATTGTATCAATAGGAATATATATATAAACTACTTAAATGTAATTAATATTGAAAATAATCTAATATCACTAATAATATTTGCTGAGATTTACGGATAATTTGATAGCACCGCGCAACGAATCCTACTACACTTCTGTCCTTACAAGAACTGAGAATGGAATAGAAGAGCGAGGAATATTTAAAGACAGCATAAATCTGACTTTGCTCACGTGATTACCGCTTCCATCTGGCATTCCTCTTTTGATTGGACAAGGACAGTCAAGAAAGATCAAAGGTAGCAACAAAATTTGATTCCGTCCCCATTTCTTAATAATACAAAAAATGTGATGACTAAACATTGCGTTATAAACCGGTTGTAAAGAAATTTTCGATTGTAATGACGCATATCTTATAAATCCAATATTTATTCGCTTTTTGTTTTCATATATACTTCTGCTTTAATTGTGTGAATGTAGACAAATGTTTAATTGATATTAAAAATTGAGTAGGTACTAGAAAATCTAGAAGAGTGCATTTTTAAATTTTTACTAATCTTTAAGAAAATTAATTTATGAGAATTTAGAAATAAGTATGAACTTCAATGTCTTTATCCATTGATCATTTATTATATAGAATCTTATGAAATAACGAGATCCTTTTGTAGTTTTTTACAATTCTTATTTTATACTGTAAAGACACCACGTAAAATGAAACACTTCCTCCTCTTTTATGTATCGTAAATTATCGTCATGATATGTGTCACGATGTATTCAATATAGATATATTCTTCTATTTATGATATTTTTCTACTTATTATTACTATAGTAATAGTAGTAGTAACCGAAATAATATAAAGTGAACTCTCACAGAAGACACCATAAAGAAATAACGCTGGGAGAAAAATCTCGCAGATAATGTGGAAAAAAACTTCAGTTTTGATCCTTATTAAAAATAATATATAATGTATGTGCTCACTAATATATGATATATATGTTCATTAATTCTGAAAAAGTAATCGGCAAATGTATATACTTTATATTCATATCTAATTCCACAAAATTATACCGTTGCTGTATCACGGATCACTGCGAAATTCTCAGTTATTAGTGGAGGGAATATACATAAGAGATTGAATAATAACACCTTACTAAATTATCAAATAAGGAAAAGGGGAGAGTAAATTAGTTCATTAGTTTCGTTAGAATCGAACGTAGGATTTCTTGTGTTACTAATCTAAATGCTAGCAAATGTGCTATACATTGCTTACATAATCTCTATATTTTTAGTCTATAAATATAATGAAGAACTACAAACATTGCAGTAATAAATTTTTTCTTCGAAAAAAGTCGAAAACAGCATTTACACCGTCAATGAACACAGAAGTAATTCTTGAACAATTGAAAAAATGTCATTTTAATGATCAAGATTTAATCCAATGTATTGAATTTTCAAAAAATTATCTTTGAAAAAAATCATGTAGAGTATGTTATTTTTATTCGAGGATAATTTATGCATAAACGAAAAGTTCTTCCCAAAATTCGAAAAAGATATGCGGTAAACTCGTTTTGAAGATGAGAACGTGATCATCAAAATTGGTCAAGAATTATACTTGTTCTCATGATGGCATAAATCATGATGGCACGAAAAGGAAAAGAATGTTGATGATTGATCGTGGTGTATCAGATTATACCGCTCGAAATGGTTAAATTCGATTGTACGTAAACGGTGCGAAACTGAATAACCGTAGTGCTATATAGAAAACAATCTCATCTTTTAAAAATGAACTTTGTTCATTCAAATCAAATGGAAACGTTCATAAACTATTTTTTTAATTATTATTAAATCAGATAAATTTTGTTGATATAGTTATAATAGACATGTGGGAATAAGACTTTATTATTTCTTTAATGACATTCATTTCTTCTCAATTATTGGTTTATTCTATTTTTAAATAGTATCGTATCATTTCTTGTCGTCAAGGCTGTCTTGTTCATTTTCTCCTTTTATATTTCACAATAACCATATGAAGAGACCGCAAGCAGGCGCGCATTATTGAATATTCATAAATAGACGTAATCGAACGACGAGTCAGATTTCTTTCGACAATATTTCGCAACTTTTACAAAATTTATTTTCTTGTCTTCTATTTTGCATATCCTTCGTCTATTTTTTTAGCTATATGACCGTAATGAGTGCATTAACATAAGCTATAGAGTAGAGGCAGTTTTTCAAACTGTGGTCAGGATTGTTATATTATTCGTTTTTTAAATTTTGTTTTCTAAAAATCCAGTTAGTATGACTTTCGAGACAATGAAAAATGATCGGACGTTCGAATTGAAGAGTTGTTAACGTAATTAAAAATTTTTTTATAATACATTCTTGATGAATAGAAATGCATTGAGTAAGGTATTATTCTATGAGCTTATTTATTTATGCTGTAAGTGAAGGAATTATTGAAATATCTAATTTTTTCAATGAATCTTGAAACATTGAAAAATTTCTTTACATCGTCGAAAAACTGTTAACGATTAGGGAAGTCAAAGTGTTTTTTAAACATTGTATTATTTGAAGAAAGGAGCGTGAATAATTATATAATTAAAACGAAATGGAATAACTGACGAAAAAATTTCCACCAAAAATTGGATTAAATATATATAATATTTAAGAAAATGAAAAATAATAATTCCATAAATGATGAATGCTTCTTTTCCATTTTAATTACAAATAACCGAGATAATAAAAAAAAGTATAATCTCAGATTTATCGAAATAATTTTAATTTTTTAGTGAAACTGTAAATTAGATATCATCACTGAAAATTTTACCGACCGCAGATAGATAATTTCTGTTTGTATATCGTCAGGCGTATATTCGACGGATATGTTATCAAGATTTCAATTCTAGTAATTTACTATACTTTATTAAATGTAGTATTTTTAGGAACCGTTGTTAGGGTAGACTTCTGTTTTATCGATATCGGGTAATGCTACTTATTTATATTGTGACGTCAATAGTTGGGTTTTGAAAGGCTGTAGATTAACCGAAGTGCTTGCAGCCTTCCAATTACACCAACATAATCACGCGGCTCTTTTTCGGTCAACTCTTTCGGAATCTTATACGAGAGCGAGGCTCTTTTTTCCTCTTTTTCCTTCACAACAGGGCAGTCCAAATTCCGCCTGAAAAGATTTTCTTTAACTTAGTTATTCAATGAAATGATGAGAGAGGCTCCGAATATCATTCCTCGCGTCTTTCGCGTATTTCTTTCGTGGGTTCCTACTACTGACCCTTGAATGGGTTCCCTCTTGTTAACGATATCTGAATAAAAATAGTTCGAAGCGATGCTCGGTATTCAACACCCTTTTCTTCTCTTTTACAAATTGATTTGTTTGATATAAAATCGGTGATGGAAATTTACAATGAACAGCAAGACTGCAACGAAAAGATAATAACGGCTGCGATGAATTTATCTAGACGACTGCGGATGATAAAGTCCTGGCAATGAAGTATTTTCTACTGCGAGCTCGCCGCAGTGTCTAGTCATAGGCGCATACTGTACACGCGCCACGTGTGCACGCGCGTCCTTGGATGAGTCGTTCTCACACGTTTTCCTGTCGGCTATAAGCAATTGCGTTGCGCTGTTCTTACATATACTTTCTTGGTCAATTTTATCTCTGCACGTGTGACTCTTGGGCGCGCTCCGTTGCCATGAGTGAAAAAGGTATGACGCATCTGCATTCCTGCACGTACTTTTTGTCCTCCATTGTCTTCTCGTATTTCTTTACTACATGTCTTATAGATAATTCTAAATTATTTATTAACACGTTGCCTGCCGTGGCGTTCACCGATGACCGGCACTCGACGAATAGTGAAAATATATAATTAGAGTAAACATCGATCCAATAAATTTTTTAAATAATACCATTGATTCCATAGTGGTTTAAAGAAATTAATGCCATACAGAACATGTAATTATAATTTTATTAATACAAGGAAAATATACATATTTGTGCACATAACGATAAGTCACATTGAAACACGGTAGGCAAAGAAAAGATGAACTAGGACAGTCGCCACAATATGTCGCCACTTTTCACAAATCATATTCTATGGATATAATATTCTATTGACGCAGAATAAAGAATATAACAAGAATATTACGTTTTAATGAATGTTGTGTTCGTGGATTAACAAAAAATTGTTGTATAATATAAACGAAACTTGCGAATTTTTCTACCGATAAGTAAAAATCGTTAAATCTTCGCAAGTACTTGCAAAAAGATTTGAGAATGTTCCAATCTATTCAGAATACTACATTAAGTCAGATAAAATTACTATTTTAAACTGAATCCTAGTTTTTCACATAATTTCTGTACGTTAGAAGATTTTTTTTCATATTCGCAATCGTCGAAATACTAAAAGTAGAAAACTCTTTCAATTAATTAGGTATTGTATACTATTGAAGAATAAAGAATATAAGGAGAATAGGAGGTTTTTACGAAGATTAATTTCGTCGATTAACGATAAATTGTCGTTTAATGTAAAAAAAACGTGCGAATTTCATTATCAATAAATAAAAATAGTAAAAATTACGAAAGTACTTGCACAAGAGTTTGGCGAATGTTATCAATCGATACATCACACTGCTCTGCTTACGTTCAGAATACTGTTTTAAAAGGCATCGTGACTTTTCACATTATTTCTGCAATTTAGAAGAATTCTCGTGCGCATACGCTTATCGTCAAAATATGAAAAGTTGTAAACTCTTTCAATTTCTTAGATGTCGTATTCTATCGACGCAGAATAAAGAATATAACAAGAAAGTAAGATTAAATTCGTGGATTAATGATAAATATTCATATAATGTAAGCGAAACATGCGAATTCCGTTACCGATAACTAAAAATTGTAAAATCTTCGAAAGTACATGCACAACAGTTCAGAGGATGTTACCAATCGATTCAGAAAACTGCATTATGTCAGATCAAACTACTGTTTTAAATGGAATCGTGATTTGTCACATTACTTCTGTACGGTAGAACATTTGTCGTGGGTATTCGCTATCGTTGAAATACGAAAAGTACGTATAGCGACTACAGTCTAATTGCAAAAGAGAGTTGCAGCGACACAGTCTAATTGCAGAAAAGGGTGGAGAGAAACTGCGAACAACGAAGACTCCTACGACTACTGCGTCAATGTTCTCGCTAGATGATGCGCAAGAACTGTTTATATATTACTTTTTTTAAATAAACGATAGTCTGTTTCTTTAAACATTACATATACATATTTTTACACCAAACATTTAAAATATTTTCAACGCATTCTTATTACAACGATGATACTAATAATTTTCTTTCTACTTTCCAGTTTCTGAACGACGTCGCAACTATGCCCGAAGCTAAGAAATCGATTGTTGTACGCTACTATATAAAGGCAATAATCCCGAAGGAGGTACGGCTCTCCTTCTTTCGATAGAGAAAAATATAGCTGATTTTATCCTACTCTGATTTTAACAAAATGCAGGGATCTCCGAGATGTCCAATCTTCGTTATCAGCTCCATCGCACCTTCCGACATTCCTTTCTTTTCTTCATAATCTTCTTTTCCATGTTAAATCATTGAGCGATGCGCAATCAATGTTATTCACTTTTTTCCAACCGTGATCCATTACAAAAGCTCTGGGATAGGGGTCCTCAAAAGATGTCTTCTTGATTCAATCGTGAAGAATCGTGCTGGATTTTGATACAAATGGAAAATACGATTAACAAAATATAAATTATTCGGCTAAATACTATTAAATAACAAGAAACGTAACGTAAATGAAAAACTAAATTACTTATAATTATCACCAATAATTCTAGCTTAAAAGAAGCTGTTGAAAACATCGATACCAAGCACGAATAAGAACGATTCAATGGTATATCTCTACATAAAGTTACAACGACGTAAGCGTCTTGTCGGTTGGTCTTCTTCTTTTGTTTATGTTTTTTCTTTTTCCTCTTAACGCGATTCTGAAAGTTTCATTGTCACGTCTTTGTAAGAAAAATAACGGTTGGGCCATAACAAAGAGTATCATATTTTACTTAACAAGCGTGTAGCCACGTTTTGTTTTATTACACGCTTGGTTCTATTCTTAGTATCTTTCATATTGTTTGCATAAAACAGTAATAAAACTACATGCTTCATTACTATTACCAAATTTACATGATTTTCCTCTCAACTGGAAAACTGCTCACCAAATCGACTTCATTTTCCTGAATATCTTTTAAAAGCGACAATGCTTAAATTTGCGATCGCGACCTCGCGTCTTTAACTATCATTGGTATATAAAAAAAGGATATGTTAGAAAAAATCTACAAATTACCTGAACTCAACGAGAACGATGGATACGAGGCGTATCGAGCTAGTATCCATCGTACGAATATGTACCGTTTCTGGTATCCATCTTTCACCGCAAAAACATTTGCAGTATTATTCTCCGCGCATGCGCTCGACATAATCCTCGATAAATTTTGCACGAATATTTGAAAATCTAATATAACCTAAAATGAAGCCTAATCAATTATTAATTAGAACTTCGTAAAAAAACCGGACAAAGAATCGCGAAAATAAAAGCAGAAAATACGATTAATAAAATATAAATGAATGTCTAGTAAGATATGAAAAGAAAAAATTTTGAAAACGCATGAAGACGCAGCCATTCGCTCGGTAATACTTGCGTTATATGATTTAGAATTAAACTTCGTAAGTAATACCGACCCAGATCTCAATACGTGCTGCATATGGAGACCCGCGGGCTAACGGTGACTACTCTAAAATTCACGTTCCGCGATACCGATCTGTGATGCCTTTCCGTTTTAGGTGTTTTGAGGCTTCTCAGCTAACTGGAAGTGTATAAGACCCCTCTTACCGATAGCTTCACCATTCGACATCCTCAGACATCACGAATTATTCAGCATGACCGTTCGTGCTTTCCAGATTTCGAACAATAAAAGCGCAGTTCTCGGTAGGATTTTTAATCGCGTTCGCAATACTTACGTGTATATTAAAATAACGCTGACTCTCCTCTAATATACGCGTTCGCGAGATAATCTAATCGAATTTTCAAGCAAATAAAACGAACTCCACGGTAGGACCTTTAATTGCGCCCGAATACCCACGTGAGTGTTAGAATAAAAGTGACTCTACTCTATAATCCGCGTTTTCTCACGAACAACCAAACGAAGTTTAATCGCGCCCAAGAACACCCACGCCTATGCCCGCCGACATGCGCGACAGTGTTCTTCCTATCCTTCCCGTATTCTCGCGTTAAAATCGATGGCGAATCGAACTATGCGAGGAGTCATCCGAGCGCAGGTGAATCTATCCCTCGATGATCTATAATGGGAAAGAAAAACCTAAGGAGAAAATAAGAGAAAGAAAAAAAATATATAAAATAGAAAATAATATATATATAGATTATAAATACAAAATAAATATAATAAAAAATAAACAAAATAGAAAATAAATATATATAAATAAATAAAAAAGCTAGAGAAAAAAACGAAAAGAGAAGTAGCTTTGCACGATCTTAAAACAGCAGCCCGCACCATCCTATGGTCCTACCTAAGGCTTATAAATCATAATTAATAAGAGTATATTAATAACATAATTAAAAATATAATTTAAAAAAATATCAAATAAATATTAAAAAAACATAATTAAAAGAAATAATATATTAATAAAATAATTGAAAACATAATTAGAAAAGAAAAATATGAGATAGAAAAGAGCCGAAAAAGAAAAAAAAAGAGAGCCGCAGAAAGAGAAAAAAGAGAAGCAGTTCTATACGATGCTGAAACAGCAGCCCGCACAGAGGCCCACACCCATGGGCCCATCCCATGTGTTCCACCCGAGGGTATAAACCATAATTAATAAGAGTATATTAATGACATAATTAAAAACATAATTAAAAATAAATAACATAAATGAATATTAAAAAAATATAATAAAAAAAGAAAAGTATGACAGAAAAGAGAGCCACAGAAAGATAAAAAAAATATAAACAGCTCTACACGATGCTAAGACAGCAACCCGCACAGAGGCCCTCACCCATCCTATGGGTCCCACACGAGATATATAAAGGATAATTAATGAGAGTAAATAAGAATAAATAGAAATGACAGCGAAGAAAGTTTTCTGTGCGTTTCAATTTTAAATCGATAGTATATCTATTAATCAATAGTATATGGTAGTACAACATGTATATGATTTTTATAACGTTGCTAAGAATATCCTATTGTTTTAATTAATATTAATTAATTATACTATACCTATATCGTACATTGTTTAAATGTTAAGATAATCTTATTTATTAATTATTCCTTCCCGTGTTCGCAATCCCACGACCTGGAACTAGCTGAAAAGAAATAAGGAAAAAAAAAGAATATGTATACATGTATATTAATTATACGAACGATAAAATTCTGGATTTAATTTAATTAAACTTGAAAAAAATAAAAGATTAATTAACAAAATAAATGAAATATTCTGAATACTGATCTAAAGAAATATTATTTTCTCTGAAAGAAATATTATATTACTTGTACATTTCATAGATATATGATTTTAATATAGAATTCGATTTTATTAAAATAAAATTATGAATTTAATTGAACTTTAGAAAAGAAAAAATGTACAAAATTTATCAATCGACTTTAACGTAAAATTTGATTTTATTAAATTAGAATTATAATTTCAATTGAATTTTAGAAAAGAGAAAATGTGTAAAATTTATATCTCGAGTTTAATATTAAAAATGCATAAAATATAAAATAATCCTATTCGCGTACGCGTGACAATGTGAGAATGTTATTTACGGAATGTTACTTCGTTTCAGTTTTTTTAAATCTACACTCCTACACTCATCACCATAAAAGCAATTTGAGTGACAACATGGTAAAATTAAAATACGACTAAGAGCCATTTTCGAAAGTTTCTAGTGAACCTTCGAAAATAATTTAATAACCTAATAGTTGTCCTCTTGAGCCACATTTTGTGGAGGGCTCTTCGGTTACAGCCTCTTCTTTGGTTCGTGCCCCAACCTAATCGATTATCACTCTAAAACTGTAACGACAAAATTTGATTCCAAATTCTAAGATATGAAAGAAAACCTTAACACAATCCTAACGTATCTGAAAACTTATTATTATCTTTTCGAGAGATACTTTTTTGCAGCGTAGAAGAAATTCGAATCAGTATATTAATTGCTGAAAATCTTGAGCTAAAAATTAATTAATTTATCATCTAGGCTTACGAACTACGTCTTTTTGTTTCTTAGCAATCATTCTACTCGATTTTTCTCTTTCAAAACCAATGACTCTATCGAGACTTTTCTTTTATCAATTTAAATTGATTAAATATTTAATTAATAATTATTTAAAAATATAAAGCAAACCCTTGGACGTTCCTTCTTACAAGCGAATATTTTAATTATTGTAATAAAATCATCCATAGTTTCGTTTATAATTCAGAGACTATCCGTCGCGAAAGTCTTCTTGCTCATTCTTTATTAGAACTAATGAATATCGATTCTTTACTTATTTTCGCGCAAGTAAAATATTTGAAAATGTATTAAAATATTCAAAACCTCAAATAATTATAAACGTGTTTGAGCAAGAAGACCCTATCCTAATCTAATAAATAAATAAAAAAAATAAGAAACCATTCACGAGTAAATCTCCGACAAAATTTACTTGTGGTTACTCAATGCTCTTCTACTAATTAATTACCTACTAATTAATTAATTTTTACTAACCAATCATCCGTGCCGATTCAGACCTTTCGTCCTCGACATGATTAAATGATTGGAGGAACTTAAAAATTCACTCACTACTTAAGAAGTTCTACGATGGCTCCAAAACACTCGTTCAGATCGAAATTGAGAGTAGATGATTTGTATGTGATTGAAAATTAGGTAGGTCGACATAGAAGATGATCAAGAATCTATTCAATGATGCACTAACTCTATTATGCGATAGTTATTTTTTAACGAACGGTTACTAAGTTTACTTCGCAAAACTCTATTGTCTTTCATAAATACAGTTTGTGCGACTATTAAAAAATTAATAAACTTTGCGAACAAACATTGACTCTAACGACTGCATTGCACGCAGACGATACAAAAACTTTTGCTCTTTAAATCGCGAAACGCGAACGAACGAACACTGCTTCTACTTATTGATATTCTTAGCAAATATTCGATTACATCATTGCTTCGCGCGCAATTGCAATGATGTTCTGAAACAAAAAAATGAAAACAAAATTATTAATATCACTGTTATAATAAGAAACTGTATAAATTATTGAAGAAAGGTGCGATATAAAAACATATTTACCTCAAATATTCGTTAATACTTGCAGACATCCTGAAAGGATTTTAATATTTACTCGTCAAAGCATAAAGGAGAACTGATCCGGTATTCGTCCAAGTCAATAAAAAGACAGAATTCCAAACCTTACTCGTCGCAGTGCAAGGGAAAATTAACTCTGTAAATGTCAAAGATAAGAAAAAACGCATTTATGTTTATATTACACGAGGCAACTACTCCGAAATTGAAATTGTGAAGTAATAGAAATTTATATTAAAACAATTATGAAATTACCGAAATTATTAATTTTTAAGTTGAAGATTGTTTAAATAATTGAGAAATTATTGAAAATATTAATTTATAAATTTTTGCGTTTCTAATAAGAAAGTTACGGTGTGCACTCATCGGAGTACAAAAGAAAACTAATGCGGCAATCATGAAAGTTAAAAAAAAGTGTGTTTAGGTTTACATTACGCCAACTACTACGTGATTAAAATTATTTCTTATTTATTAAAGTAAAGAAATATTATATTAAAATTATTATAAGTTTCTCGTTCGCTTCCACCTTTTTAATATTTAAACTAATGTATTACTATTTAAACATTACTTTATTCTACATCGGCTCCAATAATGGACGAATCTTAAGAGTTATACAATCTTTAACGGAATATATTGTTGCTTAAATATATAATTTCGCATACATTGTACACTGTTTATATAATTAGATAATAGTCGTATCTGTAAGATGATTAAATGTAGCGGTACGGAAAGAGTGTATTTCGACTTTTACTCCTCGGAATACAAAAACAGACTGACGTAGAAACTCGCATTGTCCTTCCAATGATCCTTCTTTTTGTTGGCATTAAACGATCGACGCACGCTGAAAGCAAAAAAAAATTTCAAATCCAACGCATCATAAGAGTATGTAATATTATATTGAAAATTTAACTCTATTTAAATATTCATTTACATTTTTTTTTAATATTTTTCTTTGGAACTACGTAATGTTTAAATGAATTTGCTATTAGTTTAAATTCTAGTTAATTATAATCCATGTCGTATGTTTCAAATTCTTTAAATAATTCAAAAATTATCGAAATAATAATTTATTTAAGTTTAACTGTATGGAAAGAACGAATTTCAATGTTTACTCTTCGGAAGGCAAAAGAAAATTGTTTCGATATTCGTCAAAGTCAATCTATCGTTCGTTTTTATTGATATTACGTATAGCCAACAACTCTGTTATCATTAATTGAAATGAATTTAATATTAACACTATGACGTCCGGTAGCTCCACCTTGGTGCCATGCGAAAAATATCAGGTAATTGCCGGTGGCTCCACCTTGGTGCCATTCGGAAATTATTGCTCAAGCACCAATGGCTGCATTGTGGAGAATTCAATTCAAATTCAAAACTGGAGAAGGAAAGAATAATATTGCGTGTTCTATAACTAACAGTAAATTACAGACGTAGCAACTTTGTGTTTTCATAAAAACCTGTGATGAGTATGTGGACATCTTGTCTGATGTTCCATCCGAATTTTAAGATTGTGAGGAACTAGAAGACATTACGTCTTCAGAAAAGGAAAATGAGGCAATATCTTCAGATGAATCTGAAATATGTAAACAGAGAATGCGCTTTACATCGGAGATTGCTTTACTTCATTTCATTTAAAAAATAAATACTAAGTTTTCAACAAAATATAAATAAATAGATAAACATGTAATACAAAAAAATCTTGTACTTATTTACATATGTATACCCTCACAATTTCGAGAAAATCGAGAGACACAATTGCGACATGGGAACTGACGATAAGATTAGTAAACAAGAACCTCGAAAAACCGCCGGCGATAAGCGAAATTATATAAGTCACTTCCACCGGCGCGACACGAAAAAATCTAGATTAGACGTGTGGACGGCATAGTGTTAAGTTAAAATTATTTTATATTTTACGCGTGTTACGAGTAATGTAATATTAATGCAAATGCACTAACGTTTAAATACTGATCCATTGTATCCCATATTCATTATACATTATTTATATAATTATAAAATTATCGAAAGTATAAGTTATTTAAATTTTTTTTCGTAATTTTGAATTAAAATTATTTTTAATTTTTCGCGCATTACAAAATAATTTGCATAGACCTTCCAATGGTCATTTTTGTTGATATTAAACGATCGATGCAAGCTGAAAGAAAATTATATTACGTTTAACTTATGCTTAACTTAAGAGTTACGCGATCTTTAAAGGAATGTACTATTCTTGAGAATTGCATTATCGCATTTCGTCTATATTGTACATTGTTTGGAGTATTAAAAAATGATCGTATCTATACGATGATTGAATGTAGCGGTGCAGAAAATATAAATTTCAACGTTTAGTCTTCGGAGTATACGATAGTAAACTGACATGGCAACTCGCATGGTCCTTCAAAAGTATTTTTTATTAACATTAAACGATCCATGCACTCTAAGAGAATATTATTCCAAGTCCAATGCATCTTAAGAGCTATACGACGCTTTGCGGAATGTAATGTAGGCAAACATAACGTTTACGTGATTTTTTTCTAAACTAGAAAACAGCTCAGCAAATCGATTTCATTTTCCTGAATATCTTTTAAACGCGACAATGTCTAAATATGCGATCGCGGCCTCTTAAAGGTCGCATGTTTAATTATCAATTGGTATATATGAAGAGGGTGTATGTTAGAAAAAATCATAACCTGAAATCAATGAGGACGATATGAAGGCATGTTGAGCTGACGTTCTTTGTACGAATATGACGTCGCGTCACGTATGCGTACAGCATAATCCTCGATAAACTTCGCGCCAATATTTGAATATATGTGAAAATCTAATATAATCTGAAATGAAGGCTAATTAATATTAATTAAAATCGAACAAAGTATCTCGATATCGCGAAAATAAAAGCAGAAAATATGATTAATAAAATATAAATGATTAAGCTGAACACTATTAGATAATAGGAAACGTAACGTAAATGAAAAATTAAATTATCTGTAATTATCGGCAAAAATTTGAGAGAAGGACGTTAATAATAACTTGTCATGCTTATCCCTACAAGGTGGCAACAAAACGTCCATCTTCGTTTTTTTTTCACCTCTCTTCTTTTTTTCTTTCTTAGCTGTGAAAGTTTCATTGTCCATATGTTCGATGAAAAAATGACGGTCGGGCCGTAACAAAGGGTGTCTTATTTCACTCAAGCCAAGCGTGTAATCACATTTTATTTTTATTACACACTTGGTTCTTTTCTTAGTATCTTTCGTATGGCTTGCATAAACAATAATAAAACGTATACTATATAGTTTGTTGCTATTCCCAGATCTACGTGATTATTTCTCAAATAGAAAACTGCTAAGCAAATCACTTAATTTAATGTAATTGCTGTTCTATTTTTTATCTCTATCTTTTTTCATTCCAAAACATTAAGAAAACCGACAAAATACTAGAAGGAACTACAAACATCGTTTAAAAATGAACTAGGAACAAGTGGTTGGGAAAAAGAAAACAGAAAAATATTCCCACCAGTCTTATATCACGTCTTATATCACATATCGAAAGCCCTACTTCTGAAATATATATTTTTAAATAGAGCTAAATCTTTTCATATGAACTAAATAAATTCATTCAATCAAAATATACACGTAATTATCAATCCCGGAAATAATACTTCCATAATAAATATAAATTTTGTAGTTACAATCCTATCCCTAGATCAAAATTCGCACCATTCAACTTCCGAAAACCTATTAACATAGTAAGGACCGAGCAAATATGATTCTATTAACACGCAAAATAGTGTCCAATCAACGAGCTCCAATGAGCAATTACAGAACTGTACAACCGATGTACTCCCAAGACACCGATTATTAACCAATCAACATTTTTTAACAGTACTAAAGATTAGCCAATGGCGAGGATCGTACAAGACATATATTTGAATTAACTATAAGAATAGATACCAAAAATTTAATAATCGTGTTTTCTTCGTTGTATCAGGAATATCTTAGATATTCCTTTACTTCACATTTGAAACTTGATAAGTTCATTTATCTAAAAATACACCAATTCGACTTATAACACAATTCGTGTCAATAAAAAAGGTATGCTAGAAAATGAATAAGAAAAACCTCTCTAATGGAAATAAACCATATGCAATATACAATAGTAATATACGATACGCGCGACATTATGCGACTGACAGAAATAATAGAGTAACAGTAAACATCAAAAGATTTTACCAAAATTTGATAAAACCTATCATATAAATACATCCATCCTTATTCCCTAAGCTAGTTATTTATGTTTAAAAATGTGGTAATAATGAAAAACTAGCCAGACGAAAAAATGGCATTACTGACGAAAAATTTTTCGAAAAGCTCGATTCGGTATACAATTTTCCACGAATTTTTTATGAAAATAATAAAAACTGCAGTAACTTATAATAAAGCGTATGGCAACAAAAAAGTATTAATTAAATAATATTCATCATCTTGAATACCTCTATATGAATACGACTACATATATTAATCAATCTATTAATTTTTATTTATAATCAAAAAGTAATATCTCTAATAAAATTTAAGTGCCAAAAACTCATTAGATATTTTACTTGCAATCAGTAGAGTAATATTTAATAAGTATTTTCTTCTTGCTAATTTAAAAATAGATTTTTCTTACACACACACTAGCTTCCCGTAAGTATCTAACTTTTTTTTTATAATGTGAGTATATTTTGTGTATATATGCAGAGTTCCTTAGTTTTTTTCCCTCAAAAATATGCAAGCGTATACTATATGCAAAATTAAGAAAAAATGTTATACAAACGTGCATATAAGATCTTTAACATTCTTAATTTTAATGGAAAAATTACTATTATAAAAAATAACTAACTAAATTTTTTAAACAGATTCTAGGTAAAGATACAGCAAATGCTGAAATGATTTTTAAAATTGTAATGTCATCGGCAGATTCTCTAGTTGACTTCTGATAAAATGCAGTTAGTAGCTTTATTAGTACCAGAATTTCAAAAATTTTATATATGATGGTAATAATCACTTATTTATACTCTCGTGATACGCGCGCGCGCGCGCTTGTGTATATATACACATATATATGTATATATTTAACTGTAAATTAATATACTATTGATTTACCTCTATTATATTTTTTGTTAGGACTTGGTAAAAACAAAATAAGTTCTATTAATAAAACAATTCAAGCATTCAGTAAATAACAAATGTATCATTAACTTTAAGAAATAATAGACATTTAAGAAATTCTCGAGCATGAATCAGGTCGAATTAGAAAATTAGAAACATTTGTTAAAAAAAGGATTTAAATTAACAACTTTTCCTTTGTTTTTATCTTCTCTTATACTATGTATTTAAGTATCTTCTCTTATCTATGTAATTAAGTTGTAAGAAAATAAGTGAATATATGTAATATATATGTATACTGAGCCTTGAATGTATTTCCCTGGTATTCAAACATTGTTACAAACATATATTACACATATATGTGTGTAACTGAATAAAACAAGCATATTGTACAAAGCTCAATTTGCTTGATTATTTATTATAATATTATGATTTTTGTGATATAATATACTCGTAATTGCATATCATCATCATCGTCATCACTATTATTATTATTATTATTACTATTATTATTATTATTATTACTATTATTATTATTATTATTATTATTATTATTAGTTCTTTTTTTAAATAAAAAAAAAAGGAACATAATTATAAAAGGCATCATATAGGCATACATTTCGCAAACACGTTAATTAAAATGTCCTTGGAATATTTGTCGAAGAACTATCCTTGTAAAATTATAAGAGAAACGGTTAACCTCCACTCGTTGCCTTTCATCTCTACTCTTTTACGCCCTTTCACCTTCGTCAGACGAGTTTTCTCCCTTTGTAGATTTGTCGTCGTCGTCGTATGCTTTTATGCATGAAAAATCATCTAGAGTGACATTATCTTGTAAAAGTAATTTCTAAAACATATCAACTAACTGTTATAGAAAAAAAAGCATTTTTTTCGTATATTTCGAAAATATAATAGGGTCCAATATCAGTGAATGCAGACATCCGCAAAGATTCACCGTACAGTTTTGTCCAATTCTAGAATACCCTTATTATAGTAAAATATAATTGTTATGTAATGTATATAATGACATATAAAAAACCGATTTTAGCATTACTGTTAAAATCTAAAAGTGAAAAGTATGCCCACTGAAATAGTATTATAAAATATGTCTTATATAGTACTAAAATGTATTATAATAGATCATTTCTCATCTGATAATTAATCTTTTTTTACTGTTAGCAAAAAGTTAAAATCTAGAGCAGTCCGTTTTGGGTATTAATATAGACTGTGTGTACATTTATATACAAAGAATAATCGTAACAGATTAGTAGTAAAATTATCATATATCCATGAATTTAATAGTGCTTCTTGCTTTAAGACCATATATGATTGTCTATAAGATTATTTTTTATCCTTGCCACACTTTACACTGTTCCAACATCTTCTGGATCATAGTTTTTCATCCTTTTATTATATGCTATTATTTCCTAAACAATGAAAAAAATGAAAGTAAAAAATGGTCAAAAATTAATTACGATAATTAATTACGAATATTTTTAATTAAAGATCTAATGTTCTAATTTAGGTACTTGATTATTTTGTAAAATCAATGTTTAATCCAAAAGTATATTACGTACTCTCTCATATCTAACTCTGTCTTCTTCAGCAATAGCCATATATTTCGATTTAGTTTGCAGATCAGTAGTCATCCAAAGTTTACCCAATTCTTTAGCAATATCACCTACACCCATTTCTGGATGCAATTCTCTCATTTTACCACGTAATTCTTGGCAAAAGTAGAAAAATGCAGAACTAATAAAAAAATATATAGGATGAGCAAAAAGCTTTGATTCGTATCTAATAAAGATTAAGAAAAACAAAAAACATATGGTATGATATACATACAGTGCGCGCTTTGGAGCATCCTTGTCTCTATATCTCTTTGTTCCCCTACGTGTTGGTCTTTCAGTTTCTTCATGACCATAATGTCTATCGTAATAATACATCTTTTTATTGCAATGTGTCCCACCTTCGAGGTGAACTATCTAATAACACACGTTAGTATTACGCATGTACATATATATACACACACGCACGCACACACATGTATATACATATAGTGTGTGTGTGTTTGTATGTATAGATTAAATAAGTATTCATCACATTATAAGCAAACTTCAATTGTGTAATATTTAACTCACTTCATTTTTTACCGGTACAGCATTGATAATAAAATTTTTATTTTGAGCATTAGACCATTTTGCTTGATTAGAAGAAACGCCAGAAACACTAACAGGCTTCATTACCCCATCGCCACATTCTAGGAAAAGTATAATAAAGTTCTCCATCATAGTATATAAATAAATGTATTTCATTAGAAAATATATGTCTAAAATTTTCTTATAATAATGAGAACATACGCATTTTCAATAATATATAAGAAAATTATATGCATTTAATAATAAAATCAACGATAGACACTAAAAATCTTTTTAATAAATATTAATTAGAAATTTGATAACATTTCGAGTCGAATACATCTTTCGATTCTTTGAAATAAACATTTCAATAAACATAATACTGTCATATAAATACTTGGATAAAAGATAAAACATAACTTACCTGGGGGAATATTTCCAGGATTAACAATCATAGTATCTCTCATTCCAGAATTTAAAGAATTATCAGGATTTTTAGAAAGATAAACATTCTTTCTGTCATTAGACTCCATGGCTACGAAGGATTCTAGTTTAATATGTTCTTTGTAAGGATACTTATTTGTTTAGTTAGCTAAAAATATTTTTTATATTTATCTCAATCTTTAATCTTATATTACTAATATTGTTTATTTATTATGTTTGTTTTGTTATTTGTATTTCATTACTTACCACCCTCCTATTACTTACCACAAATAAGAGTTATTATTACATATAGATAATATGATGTCATGACACTAAACTGCAATAATATTTAAAAAAATTTTCTTAAATTCTGAAAGAAATAAATATATATCAAAATAGATAATCAAATAATTTTAAAACATTGCACGATTATATTACGAATGCTAGCTATTAAACAATTTTGTAATCATTTCCTTCGATATATATTTTTCATAATAATTTTCTTAATTTTTTAATCTTGATTTGTTACTTTATGATAATAAACTTGATCTTTTTCACGAATTTGTTGTAGAAATGTAACACGTTACGATTCTTTACAAAGCATAGGAGAAACAATTCAACACATTCGCGTATAAATGGAGCACGAAAGAAGGAAATAAAACAATACTTATACAATAATAATTAGCCCTGCAATGTAATAAAAAGGAAAAGAAAAAGGGGAAGAGTTAATTATAGGAGCATCTATTTACCTATTGTGACAACAATAGTTGCAAACAGAGTACCTTAGCACAAGCTGCTGTATACAACGAACACGTAGTTTAGCCGTGAACTGCCACAACCGTTCCCTATGTTCAATGTAATCCGTCGACAGTTGCTACGCGATTATATTGTTGCATCGTGTACAAAAGTTGTATAATGTAGATTTGTTATCCGTAAAATTTAGGCGCATTGATTAAATAAATATGTACATGCTTTCTATATACCGGTAGCATACACAATAGGAATTTATCGAACTATTAACGTAGCAGCTTTTAATGTCGTAATTTGACGTCGAAATACAAGTACCTTGATGCAGCAGCCTCTTTATGGCGCATTTCAGTGTTACCAACTTTTTAATTTAAAACCTTCAAATACATCGCTTGAATAACCAAACTTTTTACAATTCAATATTATATTATGTTTCAGACATTTATAGTAAGATTTATGTTAATAGTTAAATTTTTGTCAATATATAAAACGAAACATTTCATTATAGGAACAAAGTGGAAATAGTAGTTTGACAGTAACATATTGTATTGAATATATAGAAATCTCTCCTTTTATGTATATATTTTCTAGGTGTACAGAAAAGTTTCTAATATCCGATGTGCGCGTCGGTTGTGATAAATATATAACAAAGGATAATGACTGATACGGAGCACGTGAAAAATTTTAAAAAGAAAAAAAGTGGAATTATTTATTTATCAACAATTCCCAAATATATGAACATTACAAAAGTACGAGAAATATTTTCCACTTATGGAAAAGTTGGCAGAGTGTATTTACAATTAGCCGAAAATAGTAAGTTATAACGGATATCTAATATCTGTAAAGACATTTTCATTAGAAATCAAAGAAAAGGAAAGACATTAAGAAAAAAGGCTAAGAGATAGTTTGTTTTAGACAATGAAATGCTTGATCTATAATAAAGTTTATTTCTACAGTGGAGGTTGTTAAGAAGAGAAAACCCGTGAAACATTTTACAGAAGGCTGGGTGGAATTTGAAAGTAAGAAAGTAGCTAAATATGTAGCAGCAGTATTAAATAACAAACAAATTTCCATGCGTAAAAAAAGTAAATTTTTTGATGTCATATGGAATATAAAATATTTACCACGGTAAGAAAATATTATTACTTTGTCTTATTACTATTACTTGCTTTATTTTTTTATTTATTTTATAATGTGTTATTTTGTAATTATGAATTATATAAATGTACAAATTCTTTCTCAGATTTAAATGGATTCATTTAAGCGAACGTTTGGCATATGAGCGAGCAGTTTACAAGCAAAGACTCCACACAGAAATTGCTCAGGCAAAAAGAGAAACCAATTATATTTCTTATAATATTGATAGAAGTAAAAGATTAATCAAGAAGAAACTGAAAGGAGAAGCGACAAATTTTGTCTTACCTAAAATCAAACAAAGGGACACGGATGCAGAAATTAGAAACATGAAGGGAGAAACCGAGATAAAAAATAGAGATGAAATTTTAAAATCTTTATTTGGTTAATACTTTCAAGACGCATACTGCAACATTCTAAAGAACGAGTATTTTTGTTTTGTTACCAAAAATATATGTCCATATATCAAATGTTAATGTTTTGTATAAAAATGAGGTTATTCACGTATGTACGTTACGTCGTATACTTTTAAAAAACAACGATTTTCGTCGTAAAAGATAAATATTATTAATATAAAGTTTTTAATAAAAATGTAAGAAAATTTCTGTACGACCATTCTGTAAACCACGCATGCGCGTAATCTCTAACTTTGAGATTAAATCGAAGAGAACTATTTCCACTGCCATTCTCTCCTGTTGAGTGATCGTATCTGTGCGCATGTGTATGTGCGTGTCACGGGTTTCTCCTATTACCAATAATACGAGAGAGTAATATCCAAAGATCTTGCTCGTTCCAATGACCTTTCTTATTTTCGAGTAATACCTTACGTAGTACAATAGTATTTGCATCCGATTAAAAGAAACTAAATTATCAAATTGTCAAATAGGTTTCGTAGACTGATTGATTGGAAAGTCAAGTGGATCGCGGAGTTTCCGATTTTAGTTGTTGTGAGCTTGTAAATGCGTACATGTGCATACATATGTAGATAGATGCGTTTTTCATCATGCACGATCAAACTTTCGATATTGACATCTTTGAATGATATGCAAATGTCGGTACGTAAATGTCGGATTCGTAATATTTAATTAGTTTTTTTTTAAATCAAGCTAATAAAATTCAGTAAATAAAATTGACAGTTGGTAACAGCAAGTTAGTCATATCTCTGATAAAGATTTACCTTATGGCTTAACATCTGGAGTATAAATTGTATAAATGTAGAACTATGTTTATACATTTAAAATTAGATAATTATCTACATTTAAAGCGATCCTTTTTTCTATACGGAAAACCTATCAATTAAGGAAGGATGTAATTAAATTTTAGGCCCAAGTTCTAATCTAGAATATGTCCCACGAAATGGCGTCACAGTTACTTTTGATTACGCACGTTTTGGACCTTGCAGTTCTATTCTCTCTAATTTCCGTGTTTCCTCTTGGTATATATCTATAAAAATGTCTCATGTAACTTTTCGTTATACATCACGTCTTGGAAATTAATATTTCATATATTCAAATATATTTACTAAGAAATTTTTAAAGTAAAATATGCAGATGATTAATATCTTTTAAGTTTAAAAAGTGAATATTATTTTTATAATATTCATAAAAATTTAATTATTTATATTAAAATTACGTAAATTTTGCGATGGCCAGTAGATTTTATCTTAGAAATATTTTCATTTATTTCCCAATATCAATTGATATTTTCTTGTCTTCCACAGATATTTGGCATCGTCTTATTACCCTTTACTCTGGCTCATTTATAACATACACAGAAGCTGTAACTAAAGTATTAAGGATTGTAGTGAACTCGAGCAAGATTTTCCAACAATCTTTTATATGATCGTGCAGTAAAATAATAACGTGAAATGGCAGAGGAGTGCAACGAGGTTAAATCAGCAGGACCATCTTCACCAAGAAGTCCACTCAGCAATGGAACAGGTGTAAAAGCTTGTAGTCCACATTCTCCGAGACAACCAAGGCGTATAAAGCTAACAGGACAACAATTGGATAACTTAACAAAGGAGGAATTGGCAGCCAAGTGGCAAGAACAGGATTTATATGTGGAATATCTAGAGGCCCAAGCAGCAGCCCAGGAAGGTACTGAGATCACTTGAGTGAGGCCAACTCACTCTCCACATTTCTTAACCAGATTAATGAATGCCAGAACACTGAACGCAATCTCTCGCATGAGACAAGACTCTTATAGGGACGTTAAGCTTAGATGTTAACTGTTCTAAATCAGTGTATAGGATTAATAATGATGTTCACCTAAATATGTATATATATATACATATATATATATATACATATATATACATATATATACATATATATATATATATATATATATATATATATATATATATATACATACACATGTTGTTTCACGATTAAGAGGAATTTCTAAAAAGTTAGTTAGAAAGTTAATTAAGTACTATTCCATTTCTTGGGCGATTAAGTTGTATCGTACATGCTGAGTATTCATATTACTAATCTTAGTTAACTGCTCTGAATCGCAATGTACATTTCAGATATAGTATTGTACATATTTCCACAAAATATTATCAACTACTTTTTCATACGTAGTAAAAGTAAAAGAATAAATATTGTCTTTCAAGTGCATTGAAAAATAGTGCTATATTTGTGGGAAACAGGTGACAATTTGTAGTGTGACTTACAACATGAGATAATAATTACAGAACAAGTCTAAACATCATGCAAAACTTCAAGATGCATTACATTTTTTCTTAAAACATGCGTGCTCATCTAAGTCAAGGTGTATATAGTGCAAAACAAAAAGTGAGATGCTGTGCATATTATGCAGACACAATGAATTTTTCATTTTATTGCCATGTCTGCTTTAAATTATTTTTATTTCGTGAAATTCAAGGAAAATATAATTTTTAATTTGATCTTATAAGTGAAAGTGCGGTGTGCTACGCATGTTCTCCTATAGTGTAATAAGCATTACAGTTGGCAAACAAACATGTGTGTGCGTGTGTGTGTACACATTCGGTATGAAGTTTTCACCTTATGAGGATCATAAGGGATATAACATCTGCCCTGATGCTAACTTTACAACCCAGAGGAATGTAAAGAATGGTCCCATGCATCCTTCGGCCTAGAAAACACTGTGCTGGTCCTGAATATTATGGTGGGTCTTGAAAATGTTAATTGATCTGGTCGCCATCTGGAATCCCTTGTGTATAATTGGATACCCTATTTTTTTAAATTTATGCATCCTCTATCTTATCTGATTTTTCATTCTATCCATTGATATGGTAGAATGTTATTGTTATAATTATTGCGTTGATATATATATATATATATATATATATATATATATATGTATGTATGTATGTATGTATATGTATATATATATGTATATATGTATGTATATATATGTTTGTATATATATATATATGTATGTATGTATGTATGTATGTATGTATGTATGTATATGATATGTATATGTATATGTATATGTATATGTATATGTATATGTATATGTATATGTATATGTATATGTATATCATATATGCTATAATAATCTCATAATAAGCAAAACAAAACCTAAAGTATATAAACCTGTAAAAGATGTCGAGTGTTATTGCACGCTATTGTCTATATAAATATCATATCTGTATGTATTTTTCATACATACTATGATGAAAATAATTGATATTGACGAAATATATTGAAGACCAATACTTCCGTTATATCATAATTAAAGAGATCATATATAAGATTACTTTAGAAATTTCATTTGGGCAAATAAAAATGCTTGTAATAGAGATTTCTAATAAAATCATAAAAACAAATCAAAATTAAGTCATGAACAAAGAATAGATACAATAATAATATATATCTTTTCATGGACAATTTAATTAACATTTTGAGAAACATAATTGCGAAATTAATTCCTATAAAACCAATGTACAATTTAAATAATTTTATATCTTACATTCATTTTTATTAAAATCATTATCAACACGCACACACATATGAGTAAATTAAATAACACAGAATAAAAAACTAGGAAGCCAATACTGAAACAAATATAATATTTGAGATAAAAGATATAAAATGTACTATAAGAGATATAAGATAGTATTTTAATTTGCATAATAATTTAATTCTCGCATGTAAAGAGTACAATTTACTATGTTTTAATTTATTAAACAGCAACATTATTACTCTGAAGATGTAAAAATATATATATGTCAAACATATAACGAGAGGATAGTAAATGTCTAACAAATATACATAGCAAAAGTTGACACAATACCATTTTATAGGTGAATTAGCTTCGTTGAGAGAATCAGAAGACAAGTTCAGACAGCAGCATATCGAAGCATCTCATCGTGAAAAAATCTTAGTGAGGAGGCTAGCCTCTAAAGAACAGGAATTGCAAGAATGTGTTGTACGTATTTTTATTTATTTTTATCATTCTTCTCATATGGGACATAAATAAATTAATTTAATTTTGTGCAGAAAGTTTATATTTATATATATATATATATATATATATATATATATATATATATATATATAAACTTTCTATATATATATATATATATATATATATATATATATAAACTTTCTATATATATATATATATATATATATATATATATATATATATATATAATTTACCATTATTATTATCCAACCATATTTTACCATATTATTATCCAACAGAATCAAATATCTGAAATGAAAGCAGCCCAAGTTCCATCTGCTGCTTCGTTAAGGTCCGCTTTGTTAGATCCAGCTGTAAATATTTTGATACAAAAATTAAGGCAAGAATTGGTCACAACAAAAGCTAAATTAGAAGATACACAGAGTGAATTAAGTGCATGGAAATTCACACCAGATAGGTAAATAATTATGATTGTGCAATGTTTGAAAAAGATTTATTATCTATTTGAATATATGATTAATTGCATGTATACATTTCCAGTAACACTGGAAAAAGGTTAATGGCCAAGTGTAGATTATTATATCAAGAAAATGAGGAATTGGGTCGAATGATAGCCAGTGGTAGAATTGCTAAATTAGAGGGTGAACTTGCATTACAAAAAAGTTTCAGCGAAGAGGTCAAAAAATCTCAATCAGGTATGTATATATTATAAAACATTTTGTAAAATATTTCAGATAATTATAAAATAAAAAAAGAAAAAACGAAACAATTATTTGGATTACAAGATTTCACATACACGTGTTATATTAAATAGAGTTAGACGAATTTCTTCAAGACCTAGATGAAGATGTGGAAGGTATGCAAAGTACAATTTATTTCTTGCAACAAGAATTACGTAAGGCACGAGAGTCGGTTATTTTATTGCAACAAGAAAATGCGGTATTGAAAATAACCGGCGCTGCCGGTGAGAATAATTCAACAAATTTAACTAACGGATTATCACCCCATACATCTTCAATCAAAAAGGAAAAAACAGAGGATAATATAGCTATAGAAGTAAAGAGCTCGAAACTATTAACAGAAGGAAGTGATATGTGTAAAACTACGAGAACTTCACCGTTACTAGATAATAGTAAACTACTTCAAAGTGAGCGCGCAAGTATTGAAAGAGGAGTAGATCGAATAGACAGAAAAACAAATCAAACAGATCAGAATGACGAAAGTTCGAGCGATTCGGCTGCTTTAATAATCAAAGTCGAAAATGAAGAGTTAAGTGATAGGGAAGAAGATCACGAGGAAAATCGAAATAACAAAAAAACATTGAGGACTAAGAGTTATGATAAATACAGTGGAAAAACAAACGGGGATGAAGTATTGACTAGAGCGACTAGGGGTAGGGAAAGGACAAAAAGGGACAAAAGTGCACCGAGCAGTGATGACGAAAGGACGCATAAAAAGAAAAGAAGAGAGAGTGTTCTTTCTCTGGATTATAACGACGCTGACGATGATGCATTAGTTCTGACCAATGGTGAGACTCTTCAAAGTGATCCCGAGTGAATAATCCATATTATGCATTATTGTTTCATCGCACGTGATTTTTTAGAGAAATAACGTGGTTCGCAATATAGGATTAATGTCCATTGTACAAAAACAGAATTTGTACTTATTTCTTGGTAACAAAATTCTGTGCTATTCTAATCCTGTAGTATTATAGTTCGTATACTAATTATCACGTGTAACTTTGTACTTCTGATACTATTGGTAATTCTTGAATTGAGTCAAATAAGCTATTATCTCATTTTCATATTTCCTTATATCACTCTCTGTGTGTATATTATATTATATTGTATTCATCGTATCCTCTCCCCCTTCCCCTCTCCTCTCTCTCAATCCTATTTTATTCTATTGTATTACATTTCAATTTATTCTACTCTCTCCTACTTTGACATCTACATATATATGAATTTAATTTGTAAATAAGAATTTGTGAACCACATATGATCCACGAGTCATGAAATATTCTATTTACGTCTTCGTTGATTATCAATGGGTGGTTTGGGTGAAATAAGGGTATTTTGGTACATTATTTTTTAATAACTAACCAAAATTAGATCAAAATTGCGTGAGAATTAATTTATTTGTATCTCATTAATGAAGTAGCAAAAAAAGAGAAAAGAAAAAAAAACAATGAATTTAAAAAATTTATCTTGAGTTACTTCTTTATACACACTGAATGGTTATATCGTTATTAGTATATAGAAAAAATATCTCTACGGGTAATATACACAAATAGCCCTTGAAGATATAAATCTAGTTTATTGCGCGTATGTATGACCTGTGTTGTTCCCCATATTAAATATGTGTATGCACGCACATGTCATGTATGAATTGTGCTTTCAATTATGCGTAAAAAGATCTATTTGTTAGTCTATAAAATACTTATAAACTATTTAAAATAATAACATCAATTCATTTCAATAAAACAAAAGCTGATCTCATAAAAAGAGATACATTACATCAATTATGCATTTTGTATCTCTAATTTTGTCAGTGACTAATGATAAATGTACAAAACGCGCGTTTATATTACTTTGTATTACCTATGTGAGAAATATAAACATCTTCTTTATTATAACTTAAAGGAAAAAAAATACACTAAAATTTGCCATCTCACACATATTCTATAAAAAATAAATCATTTCTATAAACAAATAATTTGGAGTATTCATTAAACTGGTGAACAGAGTATTGGGCAATATTTAATTCAATTAACGATTAAAGTTTTACTTACATTAATATTAATCATATAGTACTATTAGTTATTTAATCATTATTTGTTAGTGAAATATTACCCAACACTGAATGTATGAAGTATTTTAAATAGTGTGTATGTGTGTGTGTGTGTGTGTGTGTGTGTGTGTGTGTGTGTGTGTGTGTGTACACACTTAATATGTGTAACGATCACATTTTGCATTTACAAAAGTTTCAATTATTAATAGCTTTCATTTAGTGATAAGAAAACTTTGATCGCTCTGCCTACGATGCTGATACGTCAATGGCACAACTAATCGGCTATCTTTTCTTTTGTAATATTCGTTAAAATCTAGTCGTACGCTGAGTAATTGCAAAGAAACATCTTCCGCGAAGGCAAGCATTAATAGAAATTTTTTCACTCTATCCTACAAAGTAGAAACATTTTGTGTTTTAATAAATTATATTTCCAGTATAATGAACAACATGCGATATGTACATATTTGTATATATCATATGTATATATGTGATGATACATATAATGAACAATATGTGAAATAGTAATTAAAATTTTCTTCAATTGATAATATATTTTATAATTATAAATTATTACCTGATAAGTTCTGTACAATAATCTTAGTTGAATAGATAGAGTGTTCAAATATTTTAAGAATGCTGTTTGACATTCTTTAGTATCTATATCATTAGCAATGCTTCGTCCCCATGATTTTGTTTGTTCACTTACGGCTTGTGAGAAATTATCAGCAGATAACTTTGCCTCATGTTCTTGAGTAGCACGTATAAGAAATGTTTCTACAAGACTTTGTAAGTCTAAAATTGGACTATAGACAGAACGTAGATGATCCATTAATTCCTAATGAACATAATATATTTAGATTATTTTAGTATAATATATTACTTAATATAATGTATTTATAAACGGAATCAAATAATTACTTGAGATTTTTCATCCAATAAGATACCACGTCTTACTGCATCTACAAATTGATCATGAGCAGTTATTATTTCGTCGAGTGAAGATGCTTGTCCAAGTTGTTTATTAAATGCATCCCAAGAACACTCAATTACCTAAAATATACAATGCATTATATATACATAATAACAGTTACTAATAATGATTAAATTTTCATTTATTGTTAGTTTAAAACTATTCATATATATATATATATACATAGAATTCGCACGCAACACAGAGAGAAATATGACACAGGTCCATTATAAAAATTAGTTTTACCTCAAATAAAAAATAATACTGCAATTGATGAACCAAATGAACCATGCTGCTTGTAATAAGATGAATTTGATTTTGAATAGGCAAAATTTCTGGCATTTTTCGAAATATTTTTGCCGATGTAATTTGTTGCTTCCATATTGCAGACAATATTGATTCCATTCTTTTTGCCCTCCATAATGCAAAGAATACCGTTTGATAAGTCTGACTACACGGCTCGAAAATCTGTATTAGAAGTAATACAAATGTACATACAACGTCTTTATTACATATACCAATATTATTCAAAAGAAGATGTTAAGATGGTACATTTTGGATAAATAATGATTACTCTTACAGTCCCTATAGGTCCATCAACGTTATAATCCAATATAAATATATCCCATCCTGTTTCATTATCTGAAGGCCCTAATAATCTGACATCTAAACGTCTTTGCACATCTACGTCCTCTAAATTTGTACTTGTTGCTCTTATTGCTGTTTCCAATATGGACGATATGTTATGTGGATATAAAGAATTTGCTGGTTTTGCTAATTCTGGCCTAAAAGAAAGTGAAACTATAGAAGAATGAAATTTTTATAATTATTTTTCTAAATGAAAATCTCAATAGTAAAGTAAAAAATAAAGTTACTCGAGATATATTAAAAAAATATTATTCTTAAATCAAATTACTCTAATAAGTGCATGAGGTGTTGGATAAAGTGTCCTTGGCCAAGTAACAGATAACTTTTTATTCCTTGTAAGTGATCAAGAAGATGACATTGTTTTGTTAAAATTTCAACAACTCTTGTAGATGTTTCCTTATAAATTGCATCCATAATCGTCTGTAAACGGCCATCTGGGTCCATATCAAGAAATATCTCGACTGCTGCAAATAAAAGAAATTTTTGAGAAAAAGAAAATAAAAAGAAATGTAGAACGGGCGGAAAAATAATATGAAATAAAATCAAACTGATTATACCATTATATTGGTCTTCCGTATTTTTAAACATTTCCGTTTCTCGGCCTTGTTGCCATGGCGAAAAGTCTTTACATACTTCACGTAAGAAATTAATACTCTTTCCTGTTCCTAATATCATTTTTGCTTGTCCTTTAGTAATAAAAGAAGGCACCATTGCATTTCTAACTTGATATTTTTCATGCCACATCCTATCTCCTGCTACGTCTGCGCATGTTTCAATAAAAAATTCATTATATGGATCATCCAATTGTCCATCCGTGATCCATCTCATCAACATATTGTACAATGGAACACAAACACTTTCCAATATTCTTTTCATTAATTTTTTTGCACTTGCATCACCGTGATAACTGAACTCATATATGGTTGAAGCCAATAATCCTCCTTTTTGGCCTTGACAAGCTCTGGTCACACTCGCTAGCCATTTCAAAGTTTCCAAAGGATCATATGCCCAAATATGTAAGTGCGAAAGTGTGATTCCATAATGACCCAGCTGATTTTGTGACCTAATATATGAATTCGGTCATTGTGAGTTACTACGTATAATATTTGAGTTACTATGACTAGCTATTTTTAATTGATACCATATCGTTTTTATTTCATAGATATAAAACATAGATCTGAAGATTTTCATTAATTGTCACGATAGAACAATGTCTATTTCATAGAAATTTTGCCGAAAGAAAATATGAGTATTCAAGCTTTTTCTAAAATATGTAAAGAATATTGTAATTTATATGATTGCATAATGAGAAATGTGATTTAAAAATAATACAAAAAAGTAACGATAACTTAATGCAAATACTTTTGACAAAGAAAAATAAAATCGGGGAAATTTGGAAAATAAATTTTTAAATAATTAACTATCTATTTAAATAATCTACTTATAACCATAACATGTGCTGCTTATAAGTTGTAAAAAAGCTTGAATACTTATTTCCTATCTTTGTAATCTTAATATTGTTTTCCATAATTGCCCTCATATATAACACATATTTTTATTCACAGTAAAATTAATTCAATTCATATTTGCTTAGCCATATTAGAAAATATTAATCGTCCCATTAGTTATAATATGTTATTACAGTTTTCTTGGGCTTATATTAAACTTAATTTTTTTTTATAAATATCTCAAATGTTCTAAATGTTTGCATTATAAAAAGAAAAAGCTAAACTTTGAATATACATAAAGTAAAAATAAATTCATACTGAAATAACTACCATGAAAACGAGTTTATAAAAAAATAAAGAGAAGTTATAAAAATCTTGCGCGCTTAGAATAACAATTAATATAAAACTTTATTACCTGTTTACTTCTTCCTGCATTATAGCAATGAACTTATAATATTCTGATAATTCTTTTTGCAATACTGCAACAAAACTTTCTGCAACTCTACCTATACCCGCTGCAGATATTCTTTCTGCACTTCTGCGTAAAGTGTTATATAAATAACCAAGCTCGCTCAATCTCAAAACAGCTTGCTTTTGTGAACTACTGATGTTTGCTACAGGATCGATTTGAAATCCATAATTTGAATCTAATTTTAAAAATTTCCCTTCGATACCTTGGAAACAATATATTAGATCTTGTATCAATACATCCTCTGAAACATATTCTTCTCGAAATACATTGTTCTGATTTACAAGAGGACCCCGTATATTTGTCTCCATAGTATTTATAGAAACAACCTGCTGTGCCTGACTCCATGAGGACTGAGATGGTTGTCCTTTGAACAGCCATTGAACAATCGCATTAATTTAAATAGTTAGTTTGTAAAAGATAAGTAGGCACTTAAAAATTATATACAAACTTGCATACCGCTGATAGATACGATAGGAGTATTTAAACTAGACTTTATGTCTGGAAAAGAAAAAAGTTTGTCTCTTCTTTGCTCAGTCGTTTGATTTAAGTTCAGTAGAAATACTAGAACGCTTATACGGTTTCTCAAGGGCTATATGAAAATATATAAATACATTATGTGTGTGTGTGTGTGTGTGTGTGTATATATATATATATATATATATATATATATAAATATATAAATATATATATATATATATATATATATACATGTATAAACTCAAATTTAATAATTAAAATAATAGTAAAATATCATATTATTTATAATATGCAAAATATATACTATTACCCCAATTCTCAGATCATTGTGCAACTTGTCAAATCGTACTGCATCTTGAGACGACAATTTACTTCTTATAGAACTGGCAACCAATATTTCATCTTCCCTTAGAGTTTCTACTCCTTGAATAGATGAAAACAACTCCAAGGAGAATCTCATAAATCTTCTAACAAGTTCTGTAATTGTACAGGAACAATTATAATATATTCTTCTTTGTAATAAACATAGACGATTAAAATTGATTTTAAATAAGTGATCAAAAGATTGTCATTTTTTTCTTTTTAATATAAATACACTATATACAAATGTTTGTTAAATAATTGTGATAACATATAATATAATCAATGATGATAATATATCAATATTTAATGAAATATTTTTGATATGATTGTCGAATAACCTTGTTTCTGTTCTCCGAAAAACGAAATGATCATTTTTTGAACCAAATCAGCAACATTTTCTTCTTCTGAACCACTCATTTTAAAAAGGAAAAAAAAAAAAAAAGAAAAAAAAGAATTACACTTTTGCAAATAAAAATGTAACGATGTAAACGTAATTTGTTTATATAGCTTTGAAAGATATAATCTGATGTTGCACAGGCATTTCTCCCTCTCTCTCTCTCTCGCTCTCGCTCTCCTTCTCGTGCGCGCGCCTATGTATTATTAAAGTAAAAATAAAGGACGAATGTGTATTATTTGAAATTGCAAAAGCAATATTAATATCAAGTACGTATTTATTATAAAGTATAAAGAATAAAGAAAAAGCAAGAAAAAAGCAAGAATAAAAGTGTATAAAGGTAAACTACAAAAGAGGAATAGACATTGAATTTAACATTTCAAAATGTTATTAATATTCCTTCCCAGAAAATTTCTTTAAAAACGTATGTAACCGGTAATCAGAAATGTTATATATCAATTATGTACATATATTTATAATGCAAATTGGTAATGATTTTCCACATCATGGTAAAAAAAGGATCAGTAACGTTTGTAAGCATTTGTATGAAACTTCTATAAATTCATCTTGGAATCTTTGATTAGTAATTATATTTAAATGGACCAATCAAGAGAAGGGTAAGGAAATGATATTTTAAAAGATGTCTACATATTCAAAGGTCGAATATCGTAATTAATCGAATATCGTAAGTAATCGTTATTCTGGCAGCACTGATCCTTGTGAACACCTTCAGTCTATCATTTAAGTTTGTGAAAAACTTCATATTTGGGCAACGGATCTTTGGAATTTTATCGTTACCCTCCTTAGGTAACGTAATGTTTTTCTCTAGGTAGAAATAAAAATGGATTATGCTCTATTGATCGAAGTAATAAGAAAATCACAATTTTTTCTACAATTGTCTATTCTCATCAATGCACTCAGAAGATATTTTGTATGGAATAACCTAACGTCATCTTTATATTATAGATGAGATGCTTGATGGAAATTTAATATTTCCTTTTTATCTTTACAGATAATTTATATCTCAGATATAAATTAGTATGTTCTAATGGAAATAAACATGAATTTTACTTATATATAGGAGTCATTAAATTTCCCGATAGGCATATAAAGGCATTTCTTCAGCATAACACCATGGCTTTTCGAAAAGGAAAACGGAACTTGAAATTGCAAGTCTCTGATGAAGCTCTTGCTCCTGTGTATGTAATAACGTGATTATAAAAAAAAAAAAAAAATAAAAAAAAAGAAAAAAAATATTTATATAAAAATATAAATTCATATATAGAACTTGTGTATGTGTGTGTGTGTGTTTGTGTGTGTTATAATAGGACACCTCCAAGAAATTTAGATAAAAGAACTACGATAACTATAGGCGAGAAAACATTTGTCGTAGAGGCAGATGATTTAGAGACATTGTGTATACTTGGACGCGGGGCTTATGGCGTTGTCGATAAAATGCGACATAAACAAAGTGGTACCATCATGGCAGTTAAGGTAAAAGAAAAATTATAACTTAGATGTATCATTTATTTATTAACATTGATGTATATTTTGGAGTCAAATATGTTTATATTATATGATAAGTAATTTAAGATAATTTTTATATATATATATGTATATACATACATATACATACATATACATACATATACATATATATATATCACACACAGAGGATAACTGCCACGGTCAACACGCAAGAACAGAAACGTTTACTTATGGATTTGGATATTTCTATGCGTAGTTCGGCGTGTCCTTATACTGTACAATTCTATGGAGCATTGTTTAGAGAAGGCGATGTCTGGATATGTATGGAGGTGATGGACATGAGTCTTGATAAATTTTATACAAAAGTTTACAAACATGGACGTGCAATTCCAGAGGATATCTTAGGAAAAGTGGCATTTGCTGTAAGGATTGCAATTTTAAAACTATATATAATTAAATATGTTTACAGTTTTATCTGTATATGTATCAAATTAAAGTCCATTTTGTCTGATAACTTTTTTTAAGAGAGATTTTTTTAAGAGAGATTAAATTGAAACACAATTTTGGTATGTTTGTGTTCAAACTTTTGATACTTATCAATAGGGCCTAGATATGGTATATGCAGTTTATAGCCAATTGTTGTTAAGACAGTGCTCTCATTCACACATCCACTTCCATTGCTCCTTTTCTTAAACCTGATGTTGTACACTGAGATGCTGTAATAGGATGAGCTGGCTGAGTTAATGAAACTGGATAAAGGCATGAACGGGGCGGGTAAAGGGATGCATTGGTGTAACCTTTACTCATTGTTAACATAAAAATTTTATGTAAATTTATTGATAAAATCATTTCATCATTACGTTTTATCGTTACAGGTAGTTAGCGCATTGCATTATCTCTATTCGAAACTAAGGGTTATACATAGAGATGTCAAGCCCAGTAATATTCTCATTAATCGAGAGGGTGAAGTTAAAATCTGTGATTTTGGAATTTCTGGTTACCTTGTTGATTCCGTTGCTAAAACTATAGACGCTGGATGTAAACCATACATGGCTGTACGTTTCTATATGTGTTTTATCATTTTTTGTCTTTTCCTTCCTCTTTCTTTTTTTTCTCCTTCGATACATTCTTTATCATTATCTTTTTTTAGCCAGAAAGGATAGATCCATCAGGAAATCCTTCACAATATGACATCAGATCTGATGTCTGGTCTTTAGGAATTTCTCTTGTCGAATTAGCTACAGGAAAGTTTCCTTATGAATCATGGGGTACACCATTTGAACAATTAAAACAAGTTGTTAAAGACGAAGCACCAAAATTACCTCCTGGCAAGTTCTCATCTAGTTTTGAGGAATTTATTAACAAATGGTAATTAAGGAAATCTGCTTATAAATGGGATCATTTTCAATAATTCATTAAAAATCTTATATGACATAACATAAAAGTATATTCAAACAATAACTTTTCAGTTTGATGAAGGACTATACTGCTCGTCCAAATTACAGTCAACTTCTGGAGCTCAGTTTCATTAAAGAACATGCAAAAAAAGATACCGATGTTGCTGAGTTCGTCGGACAAATTCTAGATTTACCCGAACTCGAGCAACTTGCATAGTACATATAAGAATTACTCATGTAGAGTTTACATCATAACTCTAATGTATATTTGTACTTCACAATGAAGTCATTTAATTTTATTTTTGCGCGTTCTATTATACATATTAAAATTATTCTCGTATTGCAATTTGATCTTAAAGTAAAGATGTACAAAAGTACAACAACTTTTAATTATTAAATCATTCTCTGTATTGAATCATACATTTTTCGATCCGCATTAAGTTAAGCGGTGATGGATCGAGATATGTAAATATTTACTAATATTTTCTACACAATCTGATAATATAAATTTACTTCTTTATATCACATTTCTGCATAATTAGCGGTAAACTACGTGAAATCTTATAATACATCCATTTTCTGAAGCATTTGGATTCATATTGTACCTTTATGACGTTCATGCAGCCTAAGTAATTGATAATACTTTGATTATAATAAAGTTGCTTGAAAGAAAGAAATTAAAAAGAAAATTCTTAGTAAATTCATCTTTATAAATCTTTAATAAATGAGCATTTTGTGTATCATTACTTCTTCAATTATTTAAAACCAATAACTTAATTAAAAAGCACTCGTGGGAATGATATGATCAAATATATATTTCTCATTATACGTTCTCTAAAATTATTGTAAAACCACTTGATTTTTGATAAATGATAATCTATATTATATATATATATATATATATGTTTTATATAAAGCACACAAATAGTTAGTTACAAATTAAGAATTTTATTTGCTTCATTATTAAAATAATTCTTATTTCATTAGCTTGTATGAAAAACATGAATTGTTAAAATTTCATATAAGCACGTGAATTGTATATATTTATATTTTAATATAATACGGTGTATAATATACACAATGGGAGATATATTTTATTTAACATTTGGAGTGTATAATAACAATTAATGAATTCTTTATTTATTATAATTCACTTTTGAAATAGAATAGAAAGAGTTTATGGAGAATATATTGGAAAAGAATCTACCATTTGATATTAATATTTTCTTTATATTGAAAATTTGGCATAATATTTAACATCTTAATATTTACAAGAAAAATTTGTACGGTGTAACTTATACACATTGCATTGGTATTGCTATTTGTTCCTTTTCCTTATTCTCTTTAACAAGAGTTGTAAGGATATTTAGTTGATTAATTGTATCTTCAGGGCCAGTTACACGATGTCCAACAGTTAAATCACTTTCATAAATTTCATGATCATTGCCACCGATCGTTGTTTTATCACCAAAAAAATGTATTTCCTCATAGCCTTGTATATGTCTTAAACAATACGTTTTATCCCAACCAATTGGGAACACATCGAAAGATATTTGTCCACCTTTTAAGTTGAAAAGTAATGCATTATGATGAATAATTTATATGGATTAAATAAATAGGTATGTGTGTGTGTGTGTTAATACACACATGTACGTATGAAACAAAAAATTACTTGCCTATGCTATATGTCAAGGCCAAATTAGGAAACTCTTTCTTAAGTGCTTGTATGAATTTTTGGCGCACTTGATTTTCTATATCATATTCATAAAATTGTTCACGTTCTTCCTTTGTACAATTACGTCCGACCGGTGAAATGTTAAGCATGCCAGTTCTAAACTCTATGAAAGTTCCACGTTTAAAAGGTAGTTTAAGTTCTGATACATATTTTAATGAGAAATTTATTACATCTTGTAGTGCATCTTCTCCAATCATATTTTGAATTGTCTATAAAAATATTGAAATGTCAATATATATAATATAATTGATAAATAAATGATTTATCAAATACCTGTGACGGTAATAAATTGCCATCCCTGAAAGCAACGAGTCCATTTTCTGCAAAAATGTATTTATATTTCTCAAATATATTTTCACTACCAAGTTGTTCCTTAATTTTATTCAAATCTGACCCACTAACTACGGCAATGTCAAAATCTTTTTTTAAAATGGTCAAAAGAAATTTCTCCACATTGCTTTTGATTGGCTAGAAGTAATCATAAACACGTATTATTTATAATGAATAAAACAAACAAAAAAATCAAAAATTAAAAATAAGAGCGTAATAACAACAATATGTATACGATATCATTAATATCATACTTGTCTTGGTTCAGTTAAAGTGCCATCTATATCAAATAAACATATGATTTTTTTTGACATCCTAATAGTTTCTTCCAATAATCTGAAACATGCGTGTTGATATGTAAAGGGAAGAAAAAAAAATCAAAACAAATATAATACATATAGGGCGTAAAGGTTACACGCGCGCGCGCGTGAAATCAGGAATGCTGAGAAGAGCAGAAAGTATAGAAACGACCCAATTATATTACGACATTGGTAAAGATAAAATAGAAAAAATAGTGCCTATCGCATTGTTGTTTATTTCAATATTATAATATCGTAAATAAAATCTTACTGTGTCCTCTATAGCGATATATTTAAGCTGTCAGTCCACGTCACGCAAATCCAACTAATTTAGATGTTTGGTCGAAGGGGTTTATGCTTAATTCTTTTAATTAATTGTATAAATTGTGTAATTTCAAAACATCGATAAAGCATAGAAAAAATAAATTCCTAAATCTATTATTTGTAAATCTTTCGAAAGGATCGAGTGAAAACTTTTTGAAATGTCAGAACATATGTAAAGAAAAATGTCCACGTTTACGCGTCGCTCTCTTATACCATCACGTGTTATTATTCCGAAAGTATGAATTTACACGCGTATACGTTATCTTATCAATCCTATTTCATACATTTCTACAAATGCGATCAATGTCGAGAGAAAAAATAATTAATAAGAACTAATTGGATGATAAAGAGATATTAAGGAAGATCCATTAATAATAGGAATGCATATTATCGTGACAATTCGATCTATTTTACTAAAATTGTCTCTTCTTTTACTTTCCAAGTTTTTAAATATTAAAAAATCTAGTTTCTAGAGGCACTCCAGATGCATAAACTAATTCGACGTAATAATAAATAGTTATATATTCTTAGGAAATTTATATATAAATCTAGAAAAATTAAAATTAATGCTTTTTAAAAAAAAGAAATCCAAACTAACTTATCTTTTGGCGTCGATGTAAGTTTTATCATTTTTTTAATTCACAATTTAAATCCAATTATTGCATACATTTATCGATTTTACAAGTTGAAAAAATAATAAACAAGTGCATTTTATTACTTATTCACTATAATTCAACATTTAATATATTCACATCGCAAAAATTGTCAAAGGTAAAATTATCAAAGAACCACATTTTGTTTATTCATTTTTATCGCTTTTTATATCTACGTATAGAAAGACTGCGTACGAGACCTCTTGCCTCCTGCTTGCTATCTTTCAAGTCATCTATTCAGATGTCGCCACATTTATGACACATATGCTGCCATCTGGAAAGCCGATCTGAAAGTTTTGAATCGTATTACTAAAGGAACGGAGTAAAATGTAAAATATAAAATTTAACGTTTCTATCGGGCGTAATAATTTTATAATAATAGCATGACAAGAGGCATGCTTTTGGTCTCTTTAAAATTACATTTTAAATAATGCTTACCTGTCGTAATGTAAGAAATGCGTTCGTAACAATGTTAACAAAAAACTATCATTTAAGAATCAATATACCGACGTTACTTGTTACACTTTCTTTTCTTTTCTTATGCGTACATTATTTATCATCCGCAAAGTGTTCGTCCAGCGATCAAATGATCCAAGATAAATCCAAATTCAGGCTAATAATATTAATTCTAACGAGTCCAGAAAATTTGGAGCAAAGGGATACTGTTAGGAAAACGTGGCTTTCCGAAAAACATGCATCGGTAAAACATCTTTTTGCAGTGGGAACATTGGATGTTCTACCCGAACAAAGAGATACGTTACTGTCCGAGAAACAAAAATTTAATGATTTACTTTTGTTACCGAAGTTGCAAGATTCTTATAGGACTTTGACGAAGAAACTTCTGTACTCTCTTAAAGAGATTTATGAGTATTACGATTTTGATTATTTACTTAAGTGCGACGACGACACATTCGTTCTTGTACATAAAATATTAAGAGAATTAGACAAATGGCAAAATAAAAGTACAAAGAGAGAATTGTATTGGGGTTTCTTCAATGGAAAAGCACAAGTAAAAAGAAGTGGACCATGGAAAGAAATGGATTGGATCTTATGCGATTACTATTTGCCATATGCGTTAGGTGGTGGATATATTTTATCATATAATCTTATCCAGTTCATTATTAGTAATATGGAAATTCTTAAGTAAGTATTTTTTTTAAATATTCTTTTGTCATTAGGAAAGATATATTATCATATTTTTTTCAGACTGCACAATTCAGAAGATGTCTCTGTTGGATTATGGCTTGCACCATTAGCAAATATAGAAAGAAAGCATGACGTACGCTTTGATACAGAATATAGATCACGTGGTTGTTCTAATCAATACATAGTTATGCATAAGCAAACCATACAAAATATGAGAAATATGTATGAATATTATCAAGCTTCTGGGGCACTTTGTCCTAAAGAAATTAGAAATCGTATGAGTTACAGATATAATTGGACTGTACCACCTAGTCAGTGTTGCACTAGACAAACAGGAATTCCTTAATATAATAAGTATTCCTATTGTTCTATATTCTATTCTAGTCTCTTAAAATTATCTTTTCAAACTTTACTTTGCTAATGATGTATTATACGTATATATATATATAAAAGTCAACTCAGTTTGTGATATTACTGTGTTATAAGATATGTAATTTGATACCTAATTAAAGTTTGAGATATACATTATTAGTATTTCTTAATGTGATTCAGCTACTTTTATAGCGAGATCATATCTTCTGTACATAGATGTTGTAAATATTTTGTAATAGAGGACTAATAATGAAAAATTTCTATTTATGTAAGTCAAATATATTTTTCTTGATTATGCACAATTTATTTTATTCATTTACTTAAGGAAAACTTATTCCATTCTGTGTCGTATGCATTTATAAAATATTAAAAACAATTATGTCATCATTTGCGTCTATACATCAACTTACCTGATATATTTTTATCTTTTCATTGAATGTTACATCATTTTAGATATTTTACAAAAGGCCAGACTGTGTGTGTGTGCACGCGGGCGTGTGTGTACATATATATATATATATATATATATGAAGAAAATATCTTTTAAAAGAATTCTGGTGGATACCATGAATCGCCCACACATAAACCTTGTAGCGATCGATACTTCTTTTTATATTTCTTTTATATCGATCATTGAAGAAGAAAAAGCCATAACGTAAGATTGTACATATATTTCATAAAACCCTTGTATTATAATAGATGATTTGCGACTCAAAATCCTTGTTTCTGCAAATTAAATATACATATATATATATATATATATATATATATATATATATATATATATACTTTTCTTTTTGTTTAATTAGATAAATTTAATTTTTAATTTGCTTCAACAACATAAAACTTATTCGGATTAATTTCATATATATTTAAAAAATATAATAACTGTATTTACCATGTTATAGGAAAACATTTTCGTTATAAGCAAATCACAGACATTCAAAAAGCGATCAAAGACAAAGGTCTTACGCATAAGAAATATAGATCATATTTTTAGATATAATCATATTTATAGATAATATAGATCATATCTATCATATTTTGAATTATGATTAAGTAATTACTTAAAAAAATTAAAAATTATAAAACAAAATAAGAAGTAAAATTATGGCTAATCTCAAACTTTCATCTTCTGCGATATGCTGTTCCATGCTTTCATTACAATAAAAATTAATGAGTTGTTTGTGATTATCTCAAATCAATTAAACCCTGCGTTTATCTGAAAACAAAAAATAGTTTTCTATCGCAGGATTACTCATCAATTTTGAATGCAATAAAAGTACAGGGCTTTCTATATTTTTTCATACAAATAAATTTTAATTTATGTTCAATCACTAATTTTAGAACTGGCGTATGACGAAGTTCTTTCTTCTTTCAAAATTTCTTAATACAACTGTATCTCCTTTGGCATTCATTTCTTTTTCCTATCCTGCGTACATTTAGGACAATACCACTTTCCTTTTGGCTTAGTGGTTAAACCAACGCAGGCAAAATGGAACCATTCAATAGGACACTAGAAATAAATAAAATTTAATTTATTATATAATTTTGATAAAAGAGAGTCGGAAAGTGCTTTGCTCTTAATACTATTATAGATTAACTTACATCCGGATTATCACAGCCTATCATTTCTCCATACGATACTTGATGACACAAACAATAAGTTGGTTCATTAGGATCTACTGGCATATCCAAAACATCAGCGGGATGACCAAGCGTGGTGGAATCTACTTGAGCACCGCTTCCAACAGCTCCGGCCGAAGAAGCTGAAGCAACTGAACCACCTGTTGTATAATAATATAAAATTCAAACATTTTATATTATATTATATTTTATTTGATAGAGATAGACAAACATACCTTTCTTTTGTTTTTTCCTAGCACTTTTAGATTCATCCTCGCTACTAGCTCCTGCTGTGCCTTTCTTCCGTTTTTCTTTCTCCTTTAATTTTTTCCTTCCCTTTTTAGTAGAAGTACTTTCTTCTTGAGCTCTGCTGTTATTTAAAGCTTTATCCTGTATCTCTGCTTCGAACCTCGCAAGATCAGAATCTAACCTTCGAATATGCTTATCTACAAGTTCATATGTTTGAATCGCTAATTGAACTTTATCGTCGCCATATTCTTTAGCTTTATTAAATAAACTCTGAATATGAGACAGCTGTTCTTTCTTTTTTTCTGTTGACTCCTTCTTTATATTCATTAAATAATCATCTGCCAGTTTATCTATCTCTTTCATAAGTCCTTGGGCTCTTGCATCTAAATCTCGCATTAATGTAAAATTTCTTTGTAATTCAATTGGTAAATGTTCCAAACCTACAAAAGAATGTTTACCATTAAAAATTGAATTTCTCTGTATTTCTGTATTTAAATATATGTACACACACGCATATTGTATAATAGATATTACGCATGATATGGAGTATATGAAAATATATATTTTTTCTTAACATTGATTGCACGAATATAAATTTATCATGTTATTACTTTGCTAATATATAAAAGCAAACAATAGGGATTACACAATAAACCTCATAAGATATTTAATATGAAATATTTAATATTGAAATTTTACTTTTGACAACTCTATTAATTTTAATATTCTTTAAATTTAATACTCACTGTCCAAATAATGCTCTAGATAAAGCGCCGTGGTCATGTTTCTTTTTTTTTTTTTTTTTTTTTTTTCAGTACAGTTTATAATACAATAATGATCTCTTCTTAATAAAACGTCAATATAAAAACCAGCACGAGATACTTTCATGCATCATTGTCAAAAAAAAAAAAAAAAATGATCCCCATATAAATGAACGATCGATGGTCGTCAATGATAGAAAGCGATGGACATTATTATTGTCATGGGTGGCAATCATTGGACGTTAACGGTTACGGCGCGAATTTTTAAAAAACACTGTTTAGATTATTTGTTATCGCTTATACCATAACACTTTTTAATATTATAAGATCTATAAAAATTAATTTAAACAATAAAGTATGTAAAGTATGTAAATACGCATTAAAAGATATTTCTAACAACTCTTTATATATTGAGGTCTTAGATTCGATCGATATATCGGTTCTGTTGTTATTAATTAAAATTTTATTACATAATAATAAGTAAAAAATATCGATATGTATCATTCTTTATGAAATACTATCACCAAAGTTTAAAATATTAATCTATAATTTATTCATACTTTAAGAAGAGTTGTAAAAATTTTTGAAAGAGGTAATTTTTGAAATGAGATGTTCATGTTGAGAACCACCGTCGAAGATACAAAATGGCTGCCTCCGTTTTTCATCAGACTGGAATAGATGAACACGTAGCTGATAATAACAATGGTTCATCAATAAACATTTAGAATAGAAAAGGCATTGTTAGTACTACGCTACTATATTGGTACAAATATTGCATGATTGACGTTGTGAAACTTTCGACAGTTGTACCTAATATATATGTATATACACACATATACATATATATATATATAGAGAGAGAAAAGTTCTTTTATTTAAGGTATGTCTCTGGCATAATTATATACTATTTTCTCTTTTTATGACGAAAGCAAAAATACATAATAAGAAAGTTAGCAATGGTACATTTTTCTTTTTTTTTTCTTTTCTTTTCTTTTCTAGCTTGTAAGATGTACATAGTATTATTTTCCTAAATTTTATATATTTATTGATTAACAGCAAATTGAATCTTTATTCGTGTTAATAACAGGTTAGTACCATAAATAGAATATATCTTTAGAATGTGTTAATTTTAGTAAAATAATTATGTTATAGCATTGTTAAGCCGGCTAATTTTTAACATAAATGTAATCATAATTTTGATAAGAAGAAGGTAATTCTATATTTATTCATTTTATAAATATAAATTTTACTATATTGGAATTTTATTTATTTTCTTAGTAAATAAATAAATAAATGAAGAAATAAGTAAATAAATGTGTACATATTTATACATGTGAATTATAAGACATCTGAATATATATTTCAGTTTAAAATGGTCAAGTTATACGCATTAACAATTTTATATAAAAATCCAACTTCGGCAATCGCTTTGAAGGCTGCTTATGACGTTGAATCATTCTCATTTTTTCAAAAAGGCAGTATAAAGGAATTTATGGGGTTTGTCAGCAAGACTATCGTTGAAAGAACTCAAATAAGTGCTAGGCAGAGTGTGAAAGAAGGAGGTAATAAACAAAAGTCTTAATACAAAATCCATTTACACTTTATTAATATTATATATAATATATATAGATTTAATAATTTCCTAATAGATTTGTTGAGTTCTCAATGGAAATGATTTTTCAACAGAATATATGTGCCATGTTTATGTTCGTGCGGATAACTTAGCAGGAGTTCTTATCTCAGACCACGAGTATCCTAGAAGAGTATCTCATACCTTGATAACAAAAATCTTAGATGAGTTTGTAGCAAAATATGCACCTTCGACGTGGCCAACATTGAAGGAAGTTACAACTGATTTTCCTCAAATAAATGTTTATTTGGCAAAATATCAGGATCCTAATGAAGCAGATTCACTTATGAAGATGCAAAATGATTTAGATGAAACCAAAATTATCTTGGTAAGCACATTGAATATTAAAATTACATTATAGATGATAAGGCGTAACGAAAAATGCTGCTTTTGTACATAAAGAATGCCACTGAGTTATCTTGACAAACATTATCTTGTACAAAACTGTATGTATAGATCATTTCTTTTTTTCCCCTCATTACGTCTATCATTATTTTTCAGCATAATACACTCAAGGCTGTTCTCCAAAGAGGTGAAAAGCTAGATGATCTTGTTTCAAAATCAGAAGGACTTAGTGCTCAATCAAAAGCATTTTATAAAACGGCAAGGAAAACAAATTCTTGTTGTAGTTTAGCCCCATAAAAAAAAATCCTTTCGATGATATTTGCTGATTATATTTTCTTGTATGTAGCTTGAATTGAATTAGCCATTTTCCACTGTTAAGAATAAGAATCGCTTTTAATTATAAACCTTAAATCTGGAAATTTTACATTAGAAAAATGAAAAAAAGGACCACTGCCGGTTGTGTATTAAATGAAATTAAATAATAACTAAAGTATATTTTACTAGTTTTTATCATTCTATTAATATAAAACGGTCCAATGTATTTACTATTATCAGAAATTATTTTGCTTTTTAAGAACTTTGTAAAGAAAGTGTCTCCTTGTTGTATTTATTTCAGTTGGAAGTTACAATTACATTCCGATATTAAATAATTTACATGTAAAATTTTTTAATATAAACTTTAACACATTAACCAATTGGGATGACATGGAGAATAAATATTGTAGTATGATTATTGCTTGAACAGAATCTACTTGATATGTACCTGTTTATATATTCTTATTTTAATTGATGTCTTTCATATTAAAAAACATAACAGACATACAACACTGTATATTATAGTAATTATAAATGTTTGGATGTGTACGACGTGTATAAATATCCATAGAATAATGTAAATGTGTTAATATTTTTCATATGAGAATTATTGCAGATAAAATAACATTAACTTGTTATTATTATCAATAATAACTTGTTATTGATAGCATGAAAAAATATTACTGCAGAATTATAAGGTAAAATTTTCCGTTTATATATACACGCACGATATTTAAATATTTTTATTTATTTAAAATTATATCAACTCTCTCTCTCTCTCTCCTTCCCCCTCGCTCTCTTTGGCTGAAATGAAACTTTATAATAATGATGCGATTAAGCGTTATAAAGACACAAAGAAAAGTATAAGTTTTTAGATATTTATTTTCATATTTAAGTTTTCATTTAATATACTGTTACCTTTTCAATTCAATTTCTTCTTACTACAAAAAATTTAATAAGTAAATATCTAACTTAAAATAATTATTTTCACTTATGTCTGGATTCATTCAGTTGCTATAAGTTCCTTATGGGGTATCACTGAAGGTATAGTAGGACTACATTCGTGTTTGAGCTTCCACAATACTTTGTCACCCATATCAGTATTATATCCTTTTGAGAATTCTGCACCAGGAATCTATACAAATACGATTTTAATCGTTATAAAATTATAATATTATTTTTACAAAAAAAGAGTAAAAAGATGTTATGTAGTAAAATTAATAATTTTTTTCATCGGCTTACTGTTGTCAAACAAGGTGGTAACATTATTATTCTTTGAATGATTTAATTCTAATATAATATCTACAAAATTACTTATTATGTAAATATTACATTGTAACAACCGATTATATATTTACCGATTTTTGCAAATTTACAATCTTGTTTGTATCACCAAAATAAAACATTTCAGAAACTTCATAAAGTGGTACTATAGATTCCGTAATGATCAGAGATCGATTTCGATGGGAATACATTTTTCTTGTGTCCTCCAATTCAGATAGATTTATAAATATCCAATCGCTCAGCTTATTTGAATCGTTATCATTAAAGTTAAAATCTATCTTTTCTATATCGTCGACGATATCATCGATATTGCCATCATTTACCCAATCATATATTAATAAATATGCATGATCAGAAATTTGTGGTAAATAAACTTCTTTATATGCAGTTTCTATATCAGTGAGATATTTTGTCGTTAAAACTTCTGAATTTACTTCATAAGGTATACATCTTTTCTGTATTCTTTCCTGTACAATATTAAAGTAAATTTAGATCGTTATAATAGATATTTATATCTCATAAATATTACACAATTCAATCATAATACATTTACCTTGACAACATTGACTGGAACGTCCAAATAAATAACCAAATGAGGTCTCTTACAGTAACACATTGTTGTTTTTAGAACTTCTTGGTAGAAATTACAACATTGACGATTCATATATCCTGCTTGATACATAGCATTCATAAATATAAAATCTGAATATAAAGAACGATTAAGCACTACTCCTTCTCCAGTTGATAATACGTGTAACAATGACTCTAGATAAGCGTCTAATTTTAACAGGTAATGAGTAATTCGAAAAGCTGGCACGCATTTATGCTTTGGATTGGTTAAAAATGTTTCTATATCGCATGTTTGTAATTCCTCGGGCATTTGCGGATTTAAAGATCTTATATCAGAGCCATAAGCATTTTTATATAGTAAATCAAACGATGGAGGTGGCATATATCCCATCTCAAGTTTTTTTGCCAATTCCCTGGCAAATTTATCTTTTCCAGCTGCTATAGGTCCTTCAACAACTATAATTCTACTGTTTTCATCGTATCTTTCTATGGTGTACTCTAAGAAACTGAAGGAAGTATATTCTTTTTCTTGATAAGGAAAAGGTGGTGGTCGGGGTCGTTTGACTCGATTAATTTTTCCACTAATATGTGCTCTCTGTAGTAAATTAGTGGTTTTTGATACCTGCGATCAGATTCATTAGTTATAGAGGTAAAAATCAGCTAATTTATAAATGGACGATCATAATAGAGAAAAATGCAATCATTATATAGTGCATATATATACATATATGTATATATATATATATATATATATATATATATATATATATACACATATATATATATCACTATACTTATTATATTTTAATATCCCTGAAAATAATTCTGTACTACTCTATTCTAAAAAATGTACATCTTTCTGAAAGACTAACCTTACATAATCGATTAAATAAACCATTTAAGAAATGTTTATCAATGCACGTTCGAAAAATTGATGTCATGGTATTAAGATATGTATGTAAATATTGTTAATAGAATGATAAACAATTATATTTTATGTGCGCAAACAGGAATCAAATATGATCTTGCGTTTAATCCTTCTAAATGGTACACTAGACCAACTGTACGTTGCCCTTTATGACGTTAACTTGAATGGAGCAGTATATCTATAAGTAGCACTAATAGATAATCGAATTTGCATTAATTCAAATCACAATAATGCATATGTATTTTAAGTTTTACATTAATAAATTATCCTGATCGAAAGAATAATTTGAATATTGTTAGGGATTATAAATCAAATATATTCCAAATAATTGCGTATTATCAAAAATAATTTAAATATCGCGCTGGAATTTTGTTCGTTTTATCTAATATACCATAGGTGGTGTTTTCTTAGGTACACAAGCGCAATGCTATTTAACCTATCTTTTAACAAAATATCCTTCTTATTTTATATCAATATTTTATATCAATACTCTCTATAATCTCTATGTTATAAAAGATTTTTGTAATTAAATTATTTCGATAAGAAATGAGCGCGTCTTTTAATATAACTGCAGGGTTCAGGGAAGATTGTATAATATTAATCGATCGTTTCGAAAAAGTCGACGATATAAGGTTTAAAAGTTTTTCCGAAATTTGGAAAGATTTAAAATTTAGTCTAATCTTTAAGTAAGTGAAATTACTTTTTTTTTAAATTAATGTTACCAACGTATTTGATTTTATTATTTAGAAAAATGTCTGTGTGTATTATTATTATTATTATTATTATTATTATTATTATTATTATTATTATTATTATTATTATTATTATTATTATTACTATTTATTTATTATTATATTATTATTATCATCAGTGATTATTTCTGTTCATATAGAGACAAAGAACATGTTGCAGAATTAATGGAGTTTTGCGAAGAAATATTACATCTAACAAAACAGTATTTGTTTTCCGGTACATTTAAAGAACGTATTTGTGGCTTATACCTCTTGTATGGAATATATTTCAAAATGCCATGTTTTCAATTTAAAATTAGAATTACATTAACAGAGTGGCAGATGATTATGGAATTGCACAATCAAATAAGGGAAGGCGAACATCATGATGCCAATTATATATTGAGCAAACTTATCATCAATAATGCTTTTAAACATTGTCTTTTTGACCAAGAGGTGTGTGTATGTGTGTGTGTGCGCGCGTACGCATTAAACAAAAAGTCAGATTTTTTTAACTAAAATTACTTACCTATTCTTAATTACTTCTTATTTATAGATTAGCTTTGAGAAATGCTTTAGAAAAAGATATTATTATAACAATAATCCTTATTCAGTTTTATCATCTATTAAAAATATGGGCGAGAAAGATCAAATATTTGAAAAGATAAATAAATTAAGCAAAACGTATCATCAAAAGAAATGTGAAGCAATTGGCAGCAATACTGATAATTGCAGTTTAAATTTATTTAATTCCAACTTTGCTACAGAGATTATAAATGATATTCATACATTTAATAGAGGTAAGGGATATATTAAGGAAATGTGTACAAGTGCATCGAAGAAAGATATTAAAGAAATAGAAGGGTCTTTGCAAAGTGACAAGAAAATAAAACGACTGTAAGTTGACGTGATTATTTTCGTCTCTATCGTTATAAATCATATTTATTGTATAGTTATATTTATTTTATTTAATATATACATATATTTTAGTCAAAGAGATCTAGATGACGCCTATCTCTCTTCCTCAAGTGATATTGGAAGTAATGTATCACCATTAAATATTATCGATAACAATACTGAAAGTATAATGGATGAATTTGCCGAGTAAATATAATAAAATGATCCGCATGTAAGTATTATGAGTAACATTTATATAGATTACAAAACAAGATACGCAATATGTAGCTTTTTATACATTTATTAATACCAGTAAAGAACATTACTTAAGGAAAATGTTAATTATTGCAAATTTAACAATTTTATCTTTCGCTTGAATATGACAAGATTTTATATTTTTAGAGATAATGTCATGTTATTACTTATGGAAATTAAAACGATTAAATTAAATTTTCCTAAACATGTGTTGGAAATGCAATTCAATTGAATTTCTAAACTTAAAAAAGTTGCCTACACGATAACCTGCGATGCTTTTGTCTGCTTTTTTTTATAGCATAATTATAATTATATACACAAATATACATTCACACGTATATATATATATATACGTGTATATGTATATATATATATAGGTATATAGTTTGTGTATATGAAATAGCATATTGCTTTTTTATTATAAAATCTCCTTTGACGTTACTCATCGAGCGGCTTTTAGCGATAAATATATTTAATTGTTGAGACTATCACACACACATGCACACGCACACGCACATGTTTGCAATTAAAAAATATAATCTTATGGTAATATCTAATAGATATTTAAACTTTTCAATAGACTTTTAACTGGTCATTGTCATCAAATCCAGCACTGTGTCCTGCATTGCGCACAATAAAACTTGTTCCGTCGTAATGCATTCGGCGCTCTCCTCGACGCACAAATAGATGAGACGTTTGACCCAACGATGCTGTGCAATGTAGAAACGGAGTTGTTAGGGATGCAGTTCCATTGCTAGGTGATGTTCGTAGCTGATACTTGTTGCTATTACGCGCAATTCTGTTGAAAATTATAATGAATTTACTGCAGGTAATATTTATATTCTTAAGTTATTATTAATTTCCTTTATCTTATTTAGTGTTTTGTATATAATAAAAACTTATACACATATTATATGCTTATTAATAAATAATTAGCGAAATGCATAAATGTAAAAACACACCTGACAAGACCATCCGGAGTCTGAGAAATTCTGACATTATTGATGATCCAATTTTCAACACCTTCATCTGTCATCCAATATTGAGCAGCTCCGAGAGCTGTGGCCGCTTCTTGCAGGCACGACGATCCATGTCGCGAGCCGGAGTAAAAAACACTCAACGAAAAGTCCTGAAATAATATCAAAGTGATGTACAATTGACGTAATTAAAAATCGTTACTCATTTATAAAATCGATAATCTATTACTTGACTCATGTCCGAAAACGAGTCAGTAGTTGTTCTAGTTCCCGCTGCATCCACTAAATATACAAGAGCACATTGTTCGCAGGTAAAACTGACACCCTTATACCACATCTTCGCGTATCTATAAGGATCGATGGAAATTAAAATTTATTATAATGCCCTTATTTTTCCATAATTTTTCAGAAATGACCAACTTATTATTCCCATGCGTATCGTGGGCCAGAATTTCAACACGCGATCCGTATTGATATATTCTTCCATTTGGATGTAATAATGCAGCGGCTGCTCCAGAACAGCTTAACGAAAGCACGATATTATTCTGCACTGACAAAATATGTATATAACGCATATGCGTATAACTATTTTCTCTTTTTCGTTATAATTAATGTAAGTATTATTGTAGAATTATGATATATACGCTCCGAACGATCATAGTATCAAGCTTGTTGTTGGCTTCGTGCCATCGAAACGAAGATCTAACAATAGATATAACGGTGGGCATACCTTAAAATTGATCACTCTTACAGCACGATCGACCGTCATGTCAACTCGAATCCTATTGCGGAGTCTCAGGGAAATAGTACCGTGTGGCGTGGCGACAGCACCTCCTGCACTCGCATCGGTCTCGTGTTCCCTCCAATTTTCTGTATAAAGACAGGCCTCTTCGGTCGTGTAATACGGAGTGGCCATTGTTTTAGGAGTTCTTGGCTGTCTCCAAATCGCCCCTGAACTCGAATAAGTGGTTGCACCAGTTATACCACCGCTCCATTGATCCGCTGGTGGTGTTTCAAAGTACTTGGAAAATTCATTGTACCGCTGAAAGAGAATTTGTTCTCGGATGATTAAAAAAGAGCAAACATGAGAATATGAATTACGTACTTGAAAATTAGTGTCCTCGGTCTGTGCATGATAACTGTGCGCTGTATAAAGTGATCGTGGTCGCATTGGCGTTACAGGTGCGCTTTGACTTTGAATCGGTGCCGTGGAACAGGCCGCAGGTAATAAAGTTGTTCCCTGTGGTCCTGCTGGTGCGACACATTTCTGCATATCCTTACGGAATTCGCCACATGGATTCGCCATGACTTTTGCCTATTATTGTCGTCCTTATTATCGTCATCATCATCATCATCATTATTAGATTATAATATTTGGTTGAGTTATGGGGGGCGGAATTATGGGGGGGGGAGGAACAAGAAAAAAAAGACCGTTAAGATAGTAAGCTTTAGATGAACCTTGGAATCTCCAGTCACACTTTTAGCTTTTTTGCGACGAGCTTTTCGGGGTTTGGACACCGCCGTTTGGTTTCCCTCGTTTATGCGATCCACGGCTGAAGCGATTTTTTCCTTGCCTCGAAACTTTGCGTTTTCTTTTCGAGAGCGATCTATGTCGAGCTTGTAAATCTATGGGTTGGTTCGCGGAAGATCTCGTCCAAGAATTATCATTTGCTATTTCTTTCTTCTTTATAAGATTTTCTTGTAAATTGAGAAAAGAGAACGCAAGTCAGGCGGAGAGAAATCGAGACCGATATATAATATTCCAGAGGAAGTTCATTTCGAAGAACGATTCCACAATCTTTGCGATGGAAAACAATTGAGGAATTTGATTGTCCCGTTGCCGTTGACGATCGTGAGATCGGTCAGAGACGTAACTTACTTCGCACTCTTTTTACAAGCGTCGCATTATTCGTATGTTCATAGACGCCTCGTTATTCTAGTTGGCCTGTTATGCTTTCATCACATCGCGGTAATATCAATATTATTCAACCGCTTTCAATATCTATCAATTTTGCGCATGTACATATATTTTATGTGATATACTTTCCATATAATCAAGACTTATTTCAATTCGTAAATGATAAATTCCAATAACTTGTTATATTATTAAGCGAATTAAATATTTTTATTTGTATCTTACATCGTACATAGGAAAATATTACTTATCTTTTGTACCTAATTACAACAGATAACCGTATTAATTACTTAATGACAAAAATTGATCGCTTTTCGATTTTTTTTTAATTGTACAACAAATTATATAAAAGAAAGAATAACGTGCGTTGCGTTGATGTGCGTTTACGTTAATTAAAATTTATGCAAATATTTTTTCTTCCCGACGTTTTTTAGTAACCACTGTGCCTGGCTTATGTTGCGCATCCGGATGATTAAGTAATTCTGGTGGACAAGTGGATATTGGACTAGCAAGAATAGTTTGCTTCAAATCATAGAATAGATGACTGTCATCTTTTGTACAGAAAGAAATAGCAAGACCAGCTTTACCAGCACGCCCCGTTCTACCAATACGATGTGTGTAATCTACGAAGGAATATGAAATTGCATTAGTAAGAATAAACATTTCAACAATAAGTTTACCATGTATATTTTACAAATATACACATACCTTCAATAGTTTTAGCCATATCATAATTAATAACCATAGATACATCCTTAATGTCAATACCACGTCCAGCTACATCAGTAGCAACTAAAATATCTTTACTTCCACTCTTAAGAGATGCAAGAGCATATTCTCTTTGCTCCTGCCCTTTACCACCATGAAGAGTACACGCGTTATACTAAAAATATAATGTTTTCATCATAATCATATATAAATATATACTACATATGTACATATAATATACATAATATGTCATTATATTTTACCCCAAGCTTTTCCAATCCTCTTGCAAGTACATCTGCACCCTTCTTTTGATTAACGAATATAATAACGGGTGGTTCAACACCTCTGCTAAGTATTTCCATAAGTTTTTTACGTTTATCAGCTTCACCCATTATGTGAACTATTTGTTCAGTTCGTTCCGTAGGTTTACCAACACTACCGATATAGACTACAGCAGGTCGTCTTAAATAAGTTCTTGCCAAACGTTCCACTGCAGGAGGCATAGTAGCTGTAAACATCACAGTCTAAAAAACAGTGAGACAAGAGATTAAAGCGTTGAAAATGAACGATTGTGTATGTGTGTGTACATATATATCGATCACCTGTCGGTATTTTTTCTTTGTATTGTAATTAGCCAAAAGTTTTTCTTCATTTTCGGCATCTTCGTTGTCCGGTTTCAAATTTGTTACCGGCATATACTCCAAAATTTTCTGTACATCTAATATAAATAAATATATAAATTATTTCGCATATCAATCTTGAGTAAAGCAATAGTTTAATATGTAACCTGGTTCAAAGCCCATGTCTATCATTCTGTCAGCTTCATCCAATACGATATATGTACATTGATTTAAAACTAAATATCGATTTTCTAACACGTCTATCAATCTTCCAGGGGTAGCAATGACAATCTAGAAACAAAAATTATGTTAAAGATAGTTTAAAAAGAAATTCTAATTTTTCTTAATAATTTATCTCTACCTTACCTCACATCCCATACGTAATCTAAATCCTTGCTCTTCTCTAGATAAACCACCCACTACTACAACCGTCCTAATGCCCAAGGGTTGTCCAAACTTATTAGTTTCTTCTTCAATCTGCTGTGCTAATTCACTAATATAAATAAGAGACATTTAATAATACTTGGTGTTCTTTAAATCATAATATATGCAAGGACACACTTAAAAAATTCGTTTTAACGTACCGCGTTGGAGCCAAAATTATACTATAAGGACCTTGATCGGCTTCTTCTAATCTTTCAATTTTGGGTAAACTAGTAATCCATAATAAAAGAGGAATTAAAAACGCCAATGTTTTTCCAGAACCAGTTTCGGCAACACCTATAATATCACGATTTTGGAGACCTATGGGAATAGCTTGTCTTTGAATAGGCGTTAGATCCTTATATCCGACTTTATCGATAATATCTAAAATTTCTTTTGGAAATCCGGACTCCTTCCATGACCTAATAGGGTCAGGAATACGTCCTCCTTTTATCGTAATATTATAATCCTCTCTAAATATACGCCAATCTCTTTCGGTCATTTCGTTAAGGGCTTTCTCAGACCAATGACGATCGTCCCATTTTTGCTTCTCTTCTTTTCTTTTTACTTTTTTCAATCGCATCCTTTGAAAGAGAAATTTATTTTGTTGGTATAACTTTCAAAATTATAATCTAACTTTTAGAATAAATTACTTACTTCTCTTGTTCCTTCTCCGCTTCCGTACGTCTTTTTTCTAACAGTTCTCCATAAAATTTACTTTGATCGCGTTTCTGAGCCTTAATATCAATACCCGCGAGATTACCCCTTCCAAAAAATTGCACCTGATGTCTTTCCTTATATATACTGTTGTAATCGACTGACGTATCCTCCGATGTATCCCAGTCAAATACAAATTTTCTATCGTTCAGTCTTCTCACACGACGTTTCTTCTTTATAAGACCAAGATAACGTTCTTTAATAGCTTCCACTTCCTTTTCCTTATCCTTATCCTTTATTTCTTCTTCTCTCGAACGTTGAGCATCTCTACGTCTGCATCATAATACATAAATATATTAGCTTTTATATAGTATAACTTAAAAGCTATAACAAAGAGTTAATGTTGGTAAGAAAACTTACCGTTCTCTATCATCCCAATCTCTCTCTTTGATTTCGCCTCCGGAGAAAAATGCTTTGCGTTCTTCTTCCTGTTGCTTCTTTATCGCTTCTACCTCTTGTTGGCGCTTTTCTAATGCCAAAGCTGCACGTTCTTCCTTAGTTAAAAATTTTGGCTTTGCCCGCGCTTCTTCTTCCGCCTTCTTTTTAGCCAGTAACTCTTCCAAACTAAGCGGTTCTCTCTTTTGCACTGATTTTGATTTCTCCTCAGCTTCTTCCTCTTCCTTTTTAACTTCATTTTTGACCTCTTTCTTCGCTTCTTCCTCAACAGAGAATATTGGACTTCCCTTACGTTTTTTATCATCTTTTCCCTTATCTTTGATATCCCGTCTATCCCTGGATCTATCGCGATCTTTCTCACGAGATCTATCCCTTTCTCTCGAACGATCTCTATCCCGCGATCTATCTCGTTCGCGCGAACGTTCTCTTGATCTCGAACGTTTTCTATCCTTCTTTCTTTCCTTAGATCGGCTTCTGGAACGACGTCGATCACGTCGTTCTCGGTCTCTTTCACGATCGCGATCCCTTTCACGAGATCTACTACGTCTGACGGTTTTCTTATCGTGTGCCATTGTCACGTTAACTGTAACGATGGGAAAATAATTTTTAAAATAATTAATAAGTAAGGTAATGGACGTGAACGATTTCCAATACTATTTACTTATCTTATTTACAAAGGATTTATTTTATATCAATAATCCGGAGCATACGTAAACTATCAAGCAACCTTGATGCAAACGAGATTATTTAATTAGGAGAATAATTTCAATCAACATTTCAATCTTAATTCTATTTGCATCCTTAATATACTATACTCTCTAATACGTCCCTCTGGAGCCAAGCGAGCCGAACACCATAGTAAACAAAAAAAACTTTTATTTCTCCTTGAAGAAATTTATAAAAATATGGTTATATTTCGAAATCGTCGACTTATATATATATATATAAATTCTTATATGAATGCTTACAATTAGATAAATAATTCTTATTTATAATAATTATGAGTGATTGTCCGTGAGCTTGGGGTCACGTTATTATATAGATATCCGACAACAACTGAAAATATATTCGTATTAGCGCCACCGCTCGGTGTACGCGCGACGTAACAACTGCGAACTTAACGACTGCAGTAAAAATAGCAGTTTTCTGATCGTGATTCATTCATCCCCTTTTCAATTTATTCATACGAACAATAATAATGATATATAATAAGCATTAATATTGATTATCGAATATAGCGTTGGATGTATGCATGACAAAAATAATATCACCAAATATTTATCTGCAATATCGATATTTGACGTTTATTTTTTCGCAATGTTGGCTGAGTCCATCGCGCAGAGTTCTTTAATAAAAATCTCAACAAGGTTGGTCGACGTCGTCGAATAAGATTGATTAATATAAAGGAAGGAAAAATTAATTGGACAGAGATAAGTGTGCGTGGTGCGTGCGTGGCGCATAAGCTCTCTTAAAATTCTACCTGTCCTTCTCTTATATATACATTATACATTGTGGTGTAATCGGTTATTATCCAGATCACGTGATCAACGATAACGGGCGCTGTTATTAGATTCCTTAATATTTCATATTTTTACGCTTTGTTCAATTTGCTTCAATTTCGTAAAAGGCAAAACTCACGAATCAGGAATAAGGAATAATAAGCATGGCTAGTAAATAATAAGTAAAAGTCATAGTGAGATTGGTATGACTCTCTCTCTCTCTCCCCCCCTCCCTCCCATGATATGATCTCGATCCCTTGAGAGGTTGGGATAGCCGTTTGAAAGAAAAGTCATAAGTTTATTTTATTTTATTTTATTTTGTTTTATTTTATTTATTTATTTATTTATTTATTTATTTTTTTTTCTGGTTTAACTCATAACCGCCTGAAAGTATGGCTGGATTTGTTTTAAGGGTCAAAACAAAGTCAGGACAAAAGGTTGTAAATGGGCTTGTCCCGCAGGACAAAGTAGCTCTATTAAAATCGAAGCTAGCCGATGTAACAGGTATATCCGTTGAAGCTCTTCATGTCCTTGGTGGTTTTCCGCCTAAGGCGATCGATCTTGATAATGAATCAGCTACAATTGCGGACAGCGGTATAGTCTCTGGTGACACCCTGATCGTTGAAGAAAAACAAGTTATTAACGGTGCTCAAATAGCAACGGAAGTTGGCAGATCTCACATTGTAAATGATGAAACCTTCATTAATACTCCAGGTGTACTCATGAAAATGGTTGTGCCGGCAGATAATTCGTGTTTATTTACTAGCGTTGGCTACGTTCTGAATGGTAATGTTATACTCATCTAAGATATTACAAAATATGATTATACGAACTTATTCAAGTCAAGGATATATTTATATATATTTTTTATTCAGGGAAAGTCGATCGCAATTGCTCAAGTTTTATGAGAGAGATAATAGCAAATGCCGTAGCTGCCGATACAGAGGAATATTCGGAAGCTTTTTTGGGTAGACCTAACGCAGAATATTGCGAATGGATTTTAAAGCCCGATTCTTGGGGAGGAGCAATAGAATTGTCTATACTGTCAAAGTTTTATGGATTAGAGATAGCTGTAATCGATAGTATCAATGCTATTATAAATAGGTTTGGAGAAGATCAACATTATGCCCAAAGAGTATTTCTTATATTTGATGGAATACATTATGATCCGCTTTATTTGGAACCACTCGATGTGAGCTAAAGATAATAAATTCTACTTAATTAAATTAAATACAATTGAAATGTATTTAGTCGTACGTAAAATGCAATTACTTAATGGTGCATTTTTTTTCCTAGGGTGGTAGTATCCAAACGATCTTTCCGACCGAAGATGATAGAATGTTATTAGAAGCTGCAGAACTTGCAAGAGAAGTGAAGTCTAGTCGTCAGTATACAGACATACAAAAATTTAAATTAATGTGTTATGATTGCAATGTAAAATTAAATGGACCGGGTGCAGCACGACAACATGCCAGTGAAACAGGCCACAAGAGCTTTGGAGAAGTGCCTGTGTAATGTAATTTCAATTTTGCTCGTGCAATATATAATAAGTATTTTTAATCAGACTGCTGCTATGTAAGGTGTTCGATAAATTAGCCTCAAAATGATTTTTCACTTGATGAAGGCTTGAAAACATTTAAGAACTATGCGCCAATGTTTCTTCTGTCCTAAATATGCATATATATTTATAAAATGCACTCTTTGATTGAATTTTATAAACAAATAATGACCACTGATTCAGCTGAAAACTTCTTTTCAACAGTGATCATACAATTGCGCGTGTGTGTCTTTTTATTTCGTTCTATAAAGCAAAATTATTACGGATAAAATTATGCATATTATATTTTTGAGAAAAAGTTTATAATCCATTATTTATATAAATATTTTATTATTCTTTTCTTTTTTCTCGAAATTAAAAGAAATTACTTTCACCTTGTGCATTTTATTTATCTTGTGCAATTCTTTGGTCTAATGGTTAATTCAATATCATCGTTAAAATGAGGGATATATCATTTAATTGTAAAATTGGATATATATTAGTATCGTCTATTTCACAAACTAAAACGTGCCTTTAATTATAGTTATCTTTTATTTACTTTGCAATATGTGAAATTGCGCAATATTAATAATTGGAAAAAATTTAATTCATTATTTTTCATTTATTACTTTGAACAATGATTTACAGTGAACAATATTTTAAAACTCATTTAAAACAATTTAATTATATGTACACACATACTGTATTATTACAATATATAGTATATATATTTTATATTTTTCTTAAATCTAGCATTAGCAAGATTGAGAATTTATGATAGCCCTTAAATATGTTACTGTAAAAACTGTCATTTTTATTAGCCCAACATGTTCTATGACTTATATATATTATATTTTGAAAGCTATAACTAACAATCATGTTGTGAAATTTATACAGTAGGATCAATTTAATTTTATTTGAAAAAAATATATACAAACATAACTTGTAAAAATAAGACGAGAAAAGGGAAATGTTGTAAATTATAAATTACAGTGCAGCTATAATGGTAATACTATTATTTGAAAATAATGATTTCTTGGAAATATTTATCTTCACAGGTCATACACATATACACACACACACATGAAACTATTGTAAACGAATAATATAGTAAAGGTTACCAAACCGATTACTTTATTTATATGGACATATATAATAGATACTTTTGTCAGATTATATTATTTCTATGCAGATAGATGCATAGATAGATAATATCGAGTCTTGCAAGAAATGCCCAATTGTTTGATGAAACTAATGTTTATTGACGGCTAAATTATAGTGAATTCTTTTCTTTTCCTTTCTTCGCAGATATAAGCATCTAATATACATTGTCACTCGTTTCTACAGTTATCGTTTTTTTAAAAAGATCTAGAATATGTTCCAATATCGTTAGTACGATAGTGCATAATTATATATATTCAATATAGTTTTTAATCCATTATATTTGAAAACTGACAGAAAAGAATTTATAATTATTTATTACTCTGTTAGGAACATGATTTTTATAACCATTTATATAATCATACAGAACACATTTTTCAAGTCATGTTTATTCATTATATTATTATCATGAAATTATTTGAAATAAAAAACAATTATTTACTATCTGTAGTTTTTTTATTTTTGAACATAAGTATTAAATACATTATTTATATAACATCGGAGCATAAATCGTTAATATTTAAATATTCAGAATATTCTGTAGCGTTTCCAGAATGATATAACGTTACTAAAGTTTATAAAAAATACTTGATAATTAAAAAAATTTATTTTTAAAATTTATCGCAACAAAATGACAACAATAATATATATAATTTTAGAGTAGAGTTAGCATTAGTCCGTGGGTCTCCGTATGCAGCAATTATCACATAGTAATACCTGGGTCGGTATTAATTGCGAAGTCTAATTGTAATTCATGTAATGCAAATACTACCGGGCGAGTGACTGCATATTTCAATGTATTTTTTAAATCCCTTTAATTTTATTCTAATTAAACACTAAAGTATTAATATTTTACATTGTTAATTATACTTCTATAGGCAAATATATGGATATAGTTAAATTTAAAGATAATTTTGTTTAAATTCGCAAATTTGTATACTAATTATCATATGTGTTAATTATATTTATTATTCTTTATGCTTTTATCGTGAAACAAATACGCACTGACGTCGTAAGTGTTTCAGACTGTTTCGTTAGATGGCGCCAAATTTCGACGAATTGTGGCGACCTCGTTACGCCTCCTCCGACAAGCATATAACTAACACGCCTCGGCGCCACCCTTGGTGAGTACCAACCAAATAAAGTGAGAGACAACAAAGACGCCAAAAACAAAAAAGAAATCATTCATTCTTTCTTTGATTCTTCTCAAGACCACAGCCATAGCTGTTGAGAGTGATAGTCTGATTAAATTACTACGTATATGACAAAGTTAAATAAATATATCACAATTATTGCTTGATCTGCAAAGTTTCTCTCTACATAATGGATTATCCACGAAAAACCTACAGAACTTATTCTTATCCTTCTCAAAAAATGCGATCGTTGATTGGCTGGTCGATTGGACAGAAAATAAAGATCCCAATAAATCGTCGATTTACCATTTATGTGGATTAGGCTAATAAAATTAAACAAGACGAAAACATAATCCAGTTGGGTTTCCGTCTTCGTCATAAGAGTTTGTTATTGTTGTATTCCAATTAAATTGTATATTTTTTACATCGTTATATCTAAGTTCTTCGCAGTAATAATCGAATCTGTGCTGTTCCTATACGGAGAGGTTATGTTTAAGTGGATAACAGTAGATTAAAAACGAACATGTGACATTTTTTTAGTAAATATCGACATTGTCAGCACGTGGCTAATCGCTATGAAAAGGTTATTTCTTTAACAGTTTAATACCAAAATATATTCGAACGCTAGATGATGAAATTTGGACCATTTTAGCGCCAAGATAAAATTGTTATTTATAGATATGTGTGTAGAGATATATAGATTTTTACTACAATTTTTAAACTTTACCGGTTCAAAATATTTATTAAGTTTAAATTTTATAAGTGAAAAACATTATAAGTTATAAGTAATTATTAAATTATTTAATTTTTTATATATATGTCCCATAAGTCTTTTCCGCGCCATGCTATGTATGACCTCGAACCGGCTATGTTAGTAAACATGTAGATTTATCTATTGTCCGTTTATGGCATCAACTTCAGTCCTCACAGCTCTTTCAAAGTATGTTTCGTTGGTGACAAAGTCTCTTTTAAAATCTTTTTCTACGCCGTTCAATATGGATAGTCAAAAGAAGCATTTGCGGCATGTTATGCTTCATTGCTTTAAAAAAGGTAGTAGTGCAAAGGACACTGCAGACGAGATTTGCACCGTTTATGGGAGTGGTACCACGACTATTAGAACCGTCCGCAATTGGTTTAAGAAATTTAGAGCTGATAATTTTGATTTGAGAGATGAAGATCGCAGCGGCCGCCCGGTAACGACGGATACGGATCTCATCAAAAGTATGCTCGCTGAAAATCCGCGATATAGTGTGCGCGAGATAGTGGATGTCACTAACATTCCCAGGACAACGGTACATAATCATTTAATCAAGATGAGAGTTTCACACCAATTGACGGAGACCGATCTTATGAACCGCGTCTCTATGTGCGATTTGCTTCTTCAGCAACATGAAAAAAATCCTTTTTTAAAGAGGCTCGTCTCACTGGAGACGAGACTTGGATTTTATATCAAAATGTGCATCGAAAACGCATTTGGTCTAAGGAAAATCGACCTTCATCTGTTGCGAAGCCAGAACTTCATCCGAAGAAAATTTTTTTGTGCATTTGGTGGGACTGAAAAGGTGTAGTGTACTATGAGCTCCTTCCACAAGGTGAAACGATCAATTCTGTAAAATATTGCAATCAATTCGATAAATTGAAAAACAGCCAGAATTGGTGAACCAGCGAGGTGTCGTTTTTCATCACGACAACGCAAGACCGCATGTTGCGTTGGCCGTAAAACAGAAACTCTTACAGTTTGATTGGGACATTTTACCTCATCCTCCGTACTCTTCAAATCTTGCCCCATTCGATTATTAGTTGTTTCTCTCGTTAAAAAATTCTCTCCGCGATAAATCACAAATCCGAAAGCGAAATAAAAAAGCACCTCGATGAGTATTTTGCAAGTAAGTCTCAACAATTTTGAAAAGAGGCTTCCTGAGAAATGAAAGAAGGTAATAGAGCAGAACGGTTCATATATAACATAGTAAAACAACCTTAAACAACAAATATCGTCTATTGATTTCGCATCAAAAAAAAAAGGAAAAAACTTATGGGACACCATAATATATATATATATTTATTTATTTATTAGTAGTTAAAAATAGTTATTGTTTTTGTTGAAGAATCCATAACCAGTTTTGAATATTTTTAATTAATTGATCGTTCAATCGCACCATCCCACGCATGAATTTAGATTTTTATATTGGAAAAAGTTATATATTAATATAAAATTTTAAATCAAAATCATAAAATATTAAAAATATTATGAAAACTTTAAGAAGAAAAAGAAAATGTGTACTTTTAATAAGCTATCCGAAATCACACTAATAAATAAATAAGAATAGAGCAATGTTAAATTTCAATAATAAATCATATCTTATGTACTGCAATTTCTAATCACAGATATTTTTAATATGAAATTACGATTAGTGTCTTCTTCTTGGGTATAATTTTAATTTAATCTGTGCGCGCACACAACGAAATAAGAAAATATAAGATATTCTCAATATCAATTTAATGTCTCTTCCACTTAAGCATACAAGTTTGTATGTAATATTATCATAAAGTACTTGTTTTTATTTTGATCTGACTGATGAGAAATATTACGATATTAGTTAGAACCTTAAAAATTAATAAATTTACATGTCTCCCCCGTGTGTATGTGTGTTGCGTGCGCGCGTGTGTATGCTTATGTGTGTGTGTGTGTGTGAAACATTCTTTCTCATTTGCATGATTTATACTGAAATTACAACGTTTAGATCAAATACTATAGAACGAATAATGATTTGATTATTAGATAATTTTTTTTCGAATATTCTAGGAAAGAAGAATAAGTTAGCATAATGGTAATTACTTTTGATATATATATATATATATATATATATATATATGTATATATATATTATATGTATAGTATATATATATATATAGTATGTGTATATATATATATATATATGTATATATATATATACACATACATATATATGTATATATAATATATACAATTATACATATATATATAATATATACAATTATACATATATATATATATATATATATTTGTCGTGAAAGTAGTAATGAAAACTTTTGTTTTATCCCTTTTGTTAAATCTATTGATTGTAATCCAATTATTTGATATTACACACAATAATCAATATATTGATTTAATCTGTAAAATTAAAATCATTTAATAAAATTGAATTTTTTTGATTTGATTTTATGCTTTGAAAGTTACAATTTATGTAATCATTTTTGTGCTAACATAAAGATTAACAAGCAATAATTAATAGTTTATATTCACAATAATTATAAATCAAAACAAAAACTTAATAAACTCATTTATGTGATCTATTCAAGCATAACTTATATAAGATATTTATGATGAGTGTAAAATTTCATAAGAGTTCTAAAGGTGCATAAAAATATTTCAACTTATATACGCCATAATATGTAAATATAAAATATAAATTATGAAATATATAAAAAACATGTTTATATCTCTATATCTATTTAGTTTGGGTAATCTAAAACTTGTTCAACGTTCATTTGATTGCACAATGTTTGTATGAAATACAAAATTGGTAATATAGAAATAAAAAATTGGTAATAGTTGCAAACTGAATATACAAAAGTGATAGAAAATATAGTAAAATATATATTCTATGTTGAAAATCATCATCCAATTATTTGTCATTTCTTTAATAAGGTATGCGATTATAATAGATAAAAGGTACTTGATCAAATCATTACACCTCATATTAATTTATCTATTCTCATAGATAGAAGCATTATATGTATATCAACTTTGCTTTATTTCTCGCGCATATATGCATCCACTAGTAGTTGAAAATGTATTAGAAACAGTAGTATATATGTAGGATAAATGAGTATCATCGATGAATTTTCCAACTTTTTCATAGATACACCTTCCATTGTGCAAGAAAAACTATCATCCGCCAATTATTTTACAATTCAATTGTAATACAATTTTGAAACAATTACAATAAAAGTTACTCTACATAAAATTACTTAATATTTTAAAATTCACTTTTACTTTTAATATCACTCAATATAAAATAAAATATTAAGATATGCATCTTTAGATCTTGTAAATGTAACGTGATGTAAATTGTAGAATAACTTGTAGAAGCTCTTGTCATTTCTTTATCGAATAAAATCTTCTTAGGGATGCCAGAAAAAGTAATAATGAAATTCGATTAATTATATCTTTCGTTTCCCACTTCCTCATACTTTTTCAAGTGTTGTAATTACATGTAGTAGCTTTTCCTTTCTTTTGTTTTTTTTTTCTTTCTTTTTTCTTTTTTCTCTTTTCTCTCTTTTTTCTTTTTTTTTCTTTTTATTTTCTTTTTTTTTTCTTTTTTTTTCTTTTTTTTTCTTTTTTTTTCATTTTTTTTTTTTTTTTTGATATCTATATTTGCTGTTTATAATTACTTCGTTACCAATTCATGAGGCATAACTTCTACTTTTTTCAAGGCAGCCTATAATGAATAAAATGATTTATGCTGCACTAGATTGTTCCATTCGAGAGATCATATAGCTTTAATGTGTCATTGCGCTATGTATGGTGATCTAAGCATAGGGAACAGAATAATATTCAAGATGAGAATATTTATATGAGAAAACATTAATCACTCGGCATTTATAACTATTATTACTGCTAATGGAGTTCCTGATGCTTTTACATATTTTAAGGCAAATAACTTAAAGACATATCTACTCATATATGATGCGGCTAAGCCGCCAGATTCAAAACAATTTATATATTATTTATTGATTATGAGAGCTATCCGCATCTCTCGAACCTTCTCCAGAATCTGTACATTCTCCCCTCTGATGGTCTTTAAATTTTCTATCTTTATAATCGCGTCTGTAATAACGATTTTCAGAATCTCTGCGATCCCTTTGCGAACCTTGACATCTATACTTGCGATTACTATAATATTCTCGATGATAATTAAGATAAGCTTGATATCGGCGATAACAAGAATCAAAGATCATAGCATCTGAATTTATGCTACCATTTTGAAGCTGAGGTAATGCAGTATTTTCAGCGTCCGTATGAAGATCCTGTCTGTCATATCGATTTCTTCCGTTTCTGTGATAATCAGAATTATGATCAAAGCTGTAATAAACATAAGGGCATAGAAGAATGTCTATTAGTGATATCAAAAGAAGAGTGGGCGCTATTAAGTAATACCTTTGAATTCTGCGATGCGAGTAGCTCTGTGTCTGTAATGGTGGAAATTTGTGAGATGTTGATTCCTGTATTCCAGTTATAGATGATACACGACTATGATGACTATTATTACTATCACGTGCCCATCCGCCCCTACTTGTACCTCCGTTATTTGCCGATGCTGCCTTTAATGTTGCAATTTCCTTTCGTTGATCCGTATTTTCCCTATGCAATTGTTTTATCACCGCATGTGCATCTGCCAAACGTGTTACTATATCTTCTTGAGAAGATTCCGATTTGCCTCCTACTTGAATTCCCACATCTGTCACATCTATTTTTTTCTTTTGCTTCTCTAATTCCTCCAAATTTCTATAATGCAAAATATTAGTTTAATTCAATTAAATTATTGCTAATATTTTAATAATTATTTTATTACTGTGTTGTTAGATTAATAGCACTACTAACTTCTTTTGCTGATCAATAATTTCTGTTAAGCACTGGTTGTGCGTTTTTGCATCTTGTAACGAGGCTTTAATATCCTGCAAATCTTTTTCCAAGAGTTCAACCTGCAGTGGTGTCACGTTCACGCATACTGGGCTACCCTGTGTGTATAAGACAAGTTATAATGACGAGCAAACAAAAACTGCATGTATGTAAAACTGTATATATGTATATATAATGTATAATTTATAACACATAGAATGTCTTTTTTTACTACTTTATAATTCCATTCTTTGTTAGAGGAGGTATAAAAGACCTTTGGTTTAGCGAACCCATTTCCATTGTCTTCAGGTGAAGAAGGACTGCTAGGTACACAAGTCGTTCCCTTTGAAAAAATTAATTGAAATTGCAAATCTGAAAAAAAGAAATAATATGTATTATTATAATATAAATTATAATTTAATATAAATGGAGGATATATTATAAAAAGAATTAAGTAAAATTTATGTTATATAGTCATCATTCTAATATACACCTCTGTTTCTCTGACGTAACGTTTCAACTTCTTGATGTAAAGCAAGTAAGGTCGCTTGATGTTGCTCTTGTAGAAATTTCATGTTTTGCTCCAATTGAGCTGCTCTATCTATATTCATATTTTGTTGTCTAGTTTGTATCATTCCATCGTTTCTCTCGTTTAAAGTAATGTCATGTGGGCTTGGTTTTTTTCCCTATGAGAAAAAAGAAAATAAGGGAATACAATGAAGCACAAGATGATGATGATGATGATGATGATGATGATGATGATGATGATGATGATGATGATGATGATGATGATGATGATGATAATATAAATTTTTAATTCTTTTTACTTAAGTTGGCTTACTTGTGAAAATGGTACCGTTGGTAGCTTCATAAGAACTTTAGATGTCATATTTTGTATATATAATTATCCCTCTTTGAGATATTATTTCTTGTTATGATGCGCGTACCACTGTTCTATAAAAAATATTTCCTCTTTATCATTGTTGCATCGTGTACGATATTGTCATGTAAAGGAAATTATACATTTTAATTATCTAAAGGAAAAAATCTATATTTATAATATCTTGAATATTATTTAATTGCTTACATTTAAAGCCCAATATTTATTAAGTTATTCAAGATGTTATAGGATAGAAAATGATAAAGGTATAATGTAGATGATATGAAATGATTGACATTTAGAAAGAGAGAAATTGCAATATATAAGAAGAGATAGAGGAAAAGTGATGAGCTTTAAAAATATAAAAAAGGCAAATAAATGTAATAAAAAAATTAAATAAATGTATAACTTTGCGAATTTTTACTTATACTATAGAACATGACATTAATCTTATTCATTTTAATGGTCTTCCCTTTTGTCAAAGTTCAAGAAAAATCTTAAGCCTTATAATGTACTTAATATGAAAAAATTAAAAAGATGATAAAAGATGATAATCCGAGTTAAACCATAGAATTTTATGGTGCGCCTTATAATAATTATCAAACGAATTGCATAATTTTTAATGAGTAAAGTAAGAGAGAAAATGAAAACGCAAGAATCGTAGACGTATAAAAAGAAATTGTTGTCTTTAATCAAACCATATTAAGGACTTTACCGAGTGGTATTTAAATGCGCAACGAGCTCCTGTAATGAAACACCAAAGAATCGTACGTTCGATTGAGATTCCAAGTATGATTGTGCGACGATCAAACACCTCGAATCTACTGAACGTCACTTAATTCTCATTTTTGATTGGTTGGCAAACGCACAAGATGGCGACCTATTCGAATTGCCTTTTTAACAATCAAGCAAGATCAGGTGCTGTTAGCGAAAAAATGTACGCTCATTACGTATCATTCCTCGTATGAGAAAGTTCATATAGGAAAATCGAATAAAAATTATTTCTTAATTTTTTCGCCACTCTCCGTGATACCGATCACGAATGTGGGCCACATTTATTATCGAAAAGGCGCGCCTTGATACCGATGCCTTTAAGAATTTGGCGCCGCGCAAAATCCGACTCCGTTCGTCGAATAATCCAAAATAACCATGACGAGACCTTGTAGCCGCGCAAGTATTGATCGGTGGTGGTGATTTGACGAGCGATAACCGCGCCCACCCTTTCATCCTACTATCCCTATGAATAACACACCTTTCGTAAATGTTGCCGCGCAAAAAAACGAGCCAATGCTCTGCTTCTTTCAAAATTTGGCGCGCAAATTGACAGGGATTAAAAGATGTATTGATAGATTTTAATTAATCTCATTAGGGCATGTATAGTTTGAAAAACAACAAAAAACAAAAAAGAAAAGATATACACTTACTAAAACGAAAACTGAAATGTCCCATTTCCGATGCACAAATTTCGAGATAATGAAAAAATTATTAACGATTATTAAATATTCGTTTTACATCGTGAATTCAGGACAATTGACGATTGATAAGAAAATTAATGCGCGAAAAAATCATATAGCGATCATTTTATATTTGTTTTGTATTGAAAAACGAAGGAGTCGTATCTAGGGATAGAAAGCAGGTATTGAGTGAATATCGCGTTAATATATTTTTAAAGCATCTCCTTCGTAGTTCGATAAGTGATATCGAATTTAAACCACCAATTGATGGCTTGCCGCAAAACGAAAGACATTTTTTCTCACAACCCCCTGTTCTCATCCCCAGGGCGGCATATATTTCCATAGTTCTATTTTATCAAATTCAACGCATACTCCCTTTTTATATTTTTTTAACATTTAAATGATCCTAATCGGATGAATAGACGAAATTATATGTAAAGAGAGAGAGAAAAAAAGAAAAAAATAAGAGAGAGAGAGAAAGAGAGATAAACCTAACCAAAGAAAGAATGTCATTTTTATTGGCAACTTCGCATCTCGGCGGCTACCTGACGAATGGAAAGGAACAGGAAGATTTTCTGTATTCGGATGAAGAGGATGGAGAAAATTACGATTTCAAGGTGATGAAGTTTACAAAAATAAAATGGAAAAAGAGAAAAAAGCAAATGATAAAGAATGATTGTATGGAAGAGAAAAAGAAATTCTTAGTTATAATATCATTATCATAATTTTGTTGGGAAATTCTGATGTTATATCTGTGTATCCTTCTTTTTTTTGTTTTTAATTTAAGTACATATCTGGAAATCAATTCAAGTACATAATAAAAGACGTGCAAAGACGAAGATGTAGAGACGAGGAGGAACGCGCATGGCGTAGATTTGTAAAAGAAGAAGAATTAAACGGTAATATAAGGTAAGATATATAAAATGTGAGAGTACTCATTTACTTCTTCCTAGTTGTAATGTCATACGAGAAAAAGGCTATTATTATTTATCGATGATAATACATTTATTTAGCACTCACGAGTATGGCAGGGAAGACAGAGAATTAAGAAGATTGGAGGAAGATGCACTTCCGGAATATAAATTAGGATCTTATATGGAAGGCAGTAAAAGGAATGATCATAAGTCGATTTATCCGGTAAATATATTTTTACAATGTTATTGGAATGAAAGAAAAGCTCTTGTTTATTAATAACTTCGTTTATTAACTTTGACGATATACTTTATTAATTAACAGACAGAAGAACATAGAGAGGAAAGTTTTACAAATAAAATAACAAAAACAGAAAGCAGTGATACCATTACTATCGACATGGATCGGTCAATCTTAAGAGAAGACGTGTTGCCATATAAGAGACTTGTAAGATCTAAACGATCATCAGATCTGAGAAGAACTTCCTCCGACATTGTACAAAGCAAACATTGCACAAAACAAAACGTAATATGCAATTATGAATGTAACTCCACTCCAGAATTGAGCATAGATTATGAAAGCGATAAAGAAGATAATATTTCTGTGCAACCAGATCCGGTGACTGCGCATAGAATTGCAATAATGCAGCAAAGAATTTCTGAATTGTTAGATGAAATCTCGTTCAGATTAGACAGAATTCCACTGCCCGATGGCGACATAGATTTGAAAAGAAGGCAACAACGAGTTATGGAATTTTGTATAAGACTATCGAGAAATTATTTATACGATCTTAACAGATATGTCAGTGACATACAGAAACATATGCGCGCCATTTCACCATCTGCAAAGATAAAATCTGGTCGTAGAGGCATTACGTTTCACATGCAGATTATTGAACAAAAATTGATATCTTCTCATCAGTTGTTATTGCATGGATTAACTGCTTATTGTAGACATATTCCTTGTTCAATTCCGCAAGGACATTCTAAAAAGATCAAAGAATTATTGAAGGTAGTGACCGATTTGAAAGATATCTGTGATCATATTCAATTGACCAGAAATTATTTTGGCTCTGGAGATACCTGTACGTTACCACTGGTAAATAAAAAAAACTCTTTTCGAGTAAAAAAAAAAAAAAAAGAAAAAGAAAAAGAAAAAGCACAGATGAATTACATTTAATGTGCACACGTTAAATCTTGAAAAAGCATAAGAAACGTCAGATTTGAATTCGCTTACAGGTTCTCTAATTGCAGGAAAAAGAGACACAGGCCAAGTGTAACGCTATTTTGTCCAAGTTGAAACTAAGTTCAGGAACTGAATCGCAATTGGATGATTACAATATAGTTTCAAATGTAATTATACCATCAAATGTACCGCGGACGAAAAATCGTTTTAAACGTAAGAATTTGGAATCTCGATTGAGAATGTACAATAATATAGAAGCTAAAACTTACAAGAGCAATTTTAAAGGGAAATCCTCAGGTACGTGATATGCTTGATATATTTTTACAAACAAAAACTTAAACCATAACGATTTGCAGCATGTCATATAAAGGATAAAAAAATTAATACGCGTCATAATAAAATTATTTATAACGAACATTTGTCTGTACCGCAACAACCAAATTCTAGTCCAATTACAAATGCATTTTCTAAAGAGATTATCCAAGAAGACGACGCAAAATACAAAATATCCTTGAAGGAAGATGATATCAAGACAATAATGGGTACAGTCCCGGTAGATTCTGACGATGTAAGAAAATTTACTATAATTTATGATATAATGACTTAAAAAGATTATTTAATAAAAAGGAATTAAAAAATTCCTATAAATATAGGATACCAACTTGGAAGTACAATCCAAGCGTGCCAATAGATTAGTTTTATCGAAAAAGGCTAAGATCATGAAAGACTCACCTAATAAATCGTTGTATAATATAAAATTTTGTAAAGGCGAGGTGAGACATGATAAAAGAAAAAGTAATCGTACAAATCTTTATAACGATTCAATGAATAAGGTGATATATTTTATGAAATAATAGCTTTTCCATCTAATTTATTTTCTAACAGGTACAAATGATTTTTATTATAGAAAAATTATACAGCAACTTCCGACGAAGTATTGTTTGAATTTCTTCCAAAGTATCAATCTTTTCAGGATTATAATGATAAAGATGTTTCAAATGTTGATTTCACAAGTCGTATACCTAAAAAACATTCAAAGAGGTAAAGGATAAACACAATTATGCGTTGTATTTCGACAATATTGAATAACGTTTGTAGGATATTTATTTTAAATTATATTACTTCTTTCACTCTCTCTCCCCCCTCTCTCTCTCTCTCCTCAATTTAAAACAGCAGAAGAGAAATCAGTAAGGATAGAAAAAACATGGACTTGATTTGTCTTTCATCTTTGGATAACATATCCAACGAGCATACATGTTGTAATGCTATGAGTCACTTGGACAATCATAAAAGTGTGAGTATTATTTAGATGCAACAATGAAAATACAATATGCTTAGAAAGATATTTTAGCATTACATTTTTTTTACTACAAACAAATATGTAAAAATAAAGTGGGAAAAAAAAATATTTTACAGCAGAATAGTCTCGTCCAATTAAATATCTCTAAAGAAACTGAAGCCAAATTTTTGAGATATAGAATCGAATACTATCATTTATTTAAATCTAACCCGATGTATTCTAACGATACACAAAATAAGCCATGGAATATTGTGGCATGGTAAATAAATATTAAGTTATTTTCTTTATTTATATATATTTTTTTTTATTTCATTTTAGTATGAATTACAGATAATAATCTTTCATTTTTCATATAGGATTTCAGATAAACTTGTGGATGAATTAATCAATGAAATCGCAAAGGAACTGGAAATGCAAGATGTAATCCAAAAAATGTATCAACTAGAATTTAAAGAATTTTAATACACACACACACACACACACACACATACACGCTCACGCACATATATATTTACGGATGATAACAAAAAAGAATCATATTTATTTGAAAAGCACAAAAATTTGGAATGTTTTTACACGTACGTTACTTTTATAAATAAAACGTTGATATTTTAAATAGTAGAGGTTTACTGTGTAATGTTCTTTTCTTTCCGATCCTTTCAGCTAATATATACATATGTGTGTACGTATGTGTGTACGTATAAGTACGTATGCACATATATATATATATATATATATATATATATATATATATATATATATATATAAATATAATGAAATAAAATATCTTTTAATCTTTCAATTGACATTAGTATTTCGCGCGAGAAGATGAAAGTGTAAACAAAATGGTTTGAATATTGTTTACGGTTGATCATGTGATACATAATGACACGTAATGAAATACAATCGATTGAGCAGCACTGATGGCAAAGCAACAAGAAGATAACGTGGTGTCGCAATCGAGACGAGGGACACGAGAGGTTCATTTTTTTGAGTTTTTGCCGAAACGTAAATTTCGTTAATTGCAATTAAATAGAAAATAACATTATTTTCATAATATGTTTGTAGTAATATAATAATAAATTCTACAATATGAGAATCACAATTTTAAAACTTTATAAAGATTTATTACGTTATGGTGAACAGTTAAGATTTACAGATAAAAAATATTATCGACAAAAAATACGAGAAGAATTTAAACAGAATAAAAATCTAACTGAGGTGGCAGACATTGACTTTCAATTAAAGGTAATTTTATCATAAGAAGTCTTGTTACGCGAATATTTTTATTTGAAACGAATATTCGATCAAACCATAACCTATAAAATTGAATGCTGATCCTACAACATTATTATTGCGTCATTGTTTCGTATGTTTATATTTCAGAAAGGATTGACTTTATTGAAAAATCAAAGAGTGGTGTAACTTAAATCATGAAAATTTATTAAAATAATGTATGATCAAGATGAATATACACGCTGCTAATGCCGTATTTTCATACGTACAATCTATTCTAAGTAAACGTTTATTGTCTTATGGTGTATTTCAATGGGTCGATAAAAAGATGCCTCTCTTTCATATACCTAATTATTGTAATAAGGATATGAAAATGAAATTTCGTCAAACGCAACATATAAGTAACTACAATCAAGTACGTCTGAAATCCTTTAAACGTTATTTGGATTATTCGAAAGTACCGACTCTCGACGAGAATGAACTTGAGGAAAGATTTGTAAGAGGAAGCGGCCCAGGTGGTCAAGCAACTAATAAAACGAACAATGCCGTGACTTTGAAACATAAACCAACGGGGATCGTTGTAAAATGTCATGAAACAAGAAGTTTATGGATTAATCAGAAACGTGCGCGAGATACAATGATCACCAAATTAGACAATTTATTAAATGGCGATCAATCGATCGAGAATCAAGAACGCGTCCTCAAAGAAAAGATGTCAATAAAGAAACGACAAAGGCAGAAGAAATTATCCGATTTAAAGAAGTCGTTTAAAGAACGCGAAGGACTTGTATGAATTAGAATAAAGAAGCTATCGATGATAATTCTTCGTCATTGATGTGTAATAGACAAAAAATAAATAAGCTTTCTCTCTCTCTCGCTCGCAGACATTGACGATATAATCGAACTTCAAATTAACTCGCATTTCATCACTTACCTTGGCGCAAAGTTAAAATCTAAAATTAATATCGAAGGATAGTTATCGCTCGAGAAAGAAAAAAAAAACCAGTCTTTTATTGAAAAATTCGTATCTTTAATAATAATTTTTCTTGTTGAACTCACGAGAAACTTACATATTTCCACTTGAAATAAAATAATTAAGGTATTTCCTTTTTTTTTTGTAGTTTTTTCTTCTTTTTTTGTTTTTGTTTTCCTCCGAGGATTTACAGTGTTACCTTGGATAATGCGAAGCATAAACAGAATATGAGATTATACATATTACAAAGCTGTATGCAGTCTCGTGCGCGCTTAAAGAATTTCTTCTCTTTAGTCACATATGTTCCAGAAATACCGTTTATATAATACATGGAATATTTTTGTACCTGTTACAAACATTATAATATAAACAAAAAAGCCGCTGTGGGAGGGAGGGATTTAGTTGGATGGGTGACGATGCGGATAGAAAAAACATTAATTCTGAGAACATCAAGACCGCATTCGACGAATGTACAAGTTTGACGACGCATTATCGCGTGTATCGCGTCAAGAAGATATCAAGTAGAATATTATTAAGATTTTACGTGTCAGTAACGTTAAATACTATATACTACATAGACGAATACTATATTACACATAATTTACATGGGTGAAGAAAATTTCAAAATTCCAGCGCCTCTTGGTGGCAAGAAGAAGAAGAAGAAGAAGAAGAAGAAGAATAAGAATAAGAAGAAGAAGAAGAAGAAGAAAAAGAAGAAGAAGAAGAAGAAGAAGCAGCATAAAAGAGGACTCTTTAATTTTGAAATTTCACGACGGTTGGCGTAGACGCGATTTATCCGAGATTTCAGCTACTACTTTTCAACCACCTTCCAAATTGTCCACGCGCAGTTTTCAAACGTTTTCGCGGTGGCTGAGCGTTCGTTCTATGAGAATTCGAACTTCTTAACCTTCTATTACTTGCTACAGTAACCGACAAAATACTATGATCCATGTCAACTGGATTGTCTATCTTCATCATTCTAACTACCGGCTGAAACTCGATGCTCGAACGTCTTTGTTGTAAATCGGAAGGCGGCATGGTGGTAGTGGTGGTGGGAGTGTTACGTTCCGACAGTGCACACTCCAATTCGGCCGAGTCCTGTAAGTCGACCGAGGGTCCTATCGTTTCGTCGCTTTGTTTCTTCGCACTTTTCATAGTTTCTTGCTTTTTACAAGTAATACTCAAATAAGACTCATTCTTGCAATTTTCGCTCTCGTATACGGATTCCGAGGGAACGTTATTATTCCTTCGTTGTTGTTTCCTCGTGTTAACTCGTTTCCTAGACCTTACCACTCCTCCTACTTTACTCCTTCTGTAAACCGTCCTATGAGCGTCCACGTCAATATTAGAGTTTTCCGAACGGGTTTGTTGACATCCCAGCCTAGACACGTCGCCGGGACTATGATGCTTTCTCGATACTATCCCAGAATCTATGTCCTTTCTGGCTGACAAAATGTCATGATTTTCAATTTCGGTACGCGATTCGCAGCCCTCGGAGGATGTGTTTATGCGCGGACGTTTCTTTACGACAGCTTTCGTGATGAATTGTCGTTCTAACACAATAACACCGTTCACATCTTTCCTAAATACATTCTCGTGATTTTCATCGTTTCCAGGATCGTTCTCCGACACTTCTTCCTCTATGTCCAACGTAAAATTCTTATCCGATAAAGTCCTTTGCGCCTCGCCAAATACCTTAGAAATTCTCAATTCGTCCACGGTCGTGGAATTTTTGCCACCGCTATTGTCCGCATTTTTATTTTTACCGATCACAGTCGCGCTAAGACACGTTTTAGGACACGTTTTGGGACACGCTCTAGGAGGTGTTTTAGTAGATACGCCAGGATCATCGCAATCATCCGGTGTGCTTTTATTATTTTTTTTGTCGACCGTAATCTTTTCATTGTGCCTAGTAGTAGATGAAATCGTACTACCATTCGATAAAACTATTTCTGTATGTGTGTCTGCCATCAATCGCAGAGACATGTCGGCGTCGCCGTCAACCTCGTTATTCTTTTCGTCAAACGGACCAACACTTTTCTCTCTCGATAACTCCCCAGCTCTCTTGAAATTTCCTTGAGCACCGTTGTACGTGCCTATAATCATCTTATTTTGTAACTTTTTTCGTATCTTAATCCCGGGCCATCCTGTTCTATTTTTTCTCTTTTTACGTCGTTTTAAGGGCGACTCGACATTTCCTTCACCGCACTCCGAACTGGCACACGATGAGTTTTCTATACAAGGTACGAGTTCATGACAGTTGTCCAGTAATTCCAACAGATTTGCCGGCGGACCTTTCGGTACATTCGTCGATTCAATGAAATCATCCTCCTCCTCCTCTAGCCCGTCCATTTGTACATTATCGGGTTCAAACGCATCCTCCATTTCTATGACATCTCTCGTGTTAAGCATTTCGTCGATATTTCTCGCGATTTCCTTCAATTCTTCATCGATGTCGGACACCTTAGAATCCAATTTAATATCTCCTTTTGCATCCGCTTTCGCCTGAGTATCCATCTGCGATTTCAGAGATTGACATTCCTCTATCGTACAGAGATTTGAAGTGATTTGCTGCTGTTCCCTTTTTCTTATGATCGTGGACATTATCGCCAACGTCGATGCATGACAACGCGGACTTTTTCTAGGGGACCGTCCGATGCAGCCTATACTACGGCCTCTACCCTTTTTTCTATTTTCATTCTTCGCCTGATTCCTAAGTATGGTCTCATGGAAGTTTTCTATCTCATAGGGTAAAAGGAACGGTCTTCCTGTATCCCCGTCGCTGAAGTAATGCCAAAATTCAGCGCCCTCGTCCTGTCGTTGATAGGTTTGATACCACGGTTCCGATTTCGGTACTACTTCGAACGAAAATTGCATTCTTTCAACTTCTGCCGAAGGTTTGGACGGATATATTTTCTCTACGACTTCTCCTTCATTAACGTCAGATCTTACCTCCTTGCGTTCGGTATTAATGGGGGCCTTGTTGACCCCGTTTAATGGTGCCTGATATCTCAATCTACTGCCAGGTGTTTCGAACTTGTAATAGTCGGCATTGTCTTTAATAAGCGCCTCCGCCTGTGTACGCCTTCTTTTTCTCGCTCTGCCAAGATTAACGGAGTCCTGCGAATCTTCTTCCAAAATCTCTTGTTTTATCCGAGGATTGGAATCCAAGCTCGAACTAAGTATGTCGGAACTGATAGTCTCGTTGTAATCGCTTTCGGTGTCCCTAGGTAAAACACTAGTTTGTTCTTCGTCGCTAATCTCGCTCGTGTCGTCGCGCTTAGGTTCTCCAAACATAAAAGACTCGGCCTCGTCGCTTAACAGGGAAAGCTCAGATTTTCTTACGCGTTTGAATCTTACGACAACTGGTTTTTCACTGGATGGCTGTTGCTGCTGCTGCTCCTTCTTTTCACCCTCCTCCTCTTCCTCTCCCTCCTCCTCCTCCTCCTCCACCTCCGCATCCTTAATCGTAGAATTTGACAAGGTATTGTTGCACGGTAATGTGCTCGACCGTAGTTTACTTCCTAATACCTCGACTTTATAATATGCACGATTATCCTCGATCAGGCGTTCTTCGACCGACAATCTATGACGCCCGCGAAAACTTCTACCACCTCTTCTACCACCAGCAGCAACCCTAGGCGATCGTAATTTCTCACAACCCAATTCCTTTTCTGCACATTGTAACGCCTTTAATTCCTTCTGATTGTTATCCGTATGACCATTATTACAAACTACCTCGATAGATTCCTTTTTCTCGTTATGATCACCACCTCCGACGACTCTCCCGTTATCCGATCGTACTCTTTGCAATTCCAACTCATTCTTCGCACCATCAAACTTTACTTTACCGTCCGTAGATTTCCATGATTCTATACGATTATTCTTATCGGACAAGCCATTTATATTTACATTATTTTTCAACAAATTAGATCTTACAATCTCTCCGTGAATATTAATATTCGCGTCGTTTTCATTCTTCGAAGGAAGCTCAGGATTAAATACACCATTTTGTTCATTAGTTGGAACCCTCCCGCCGTCTAATTCTTTAATATCCTGATTATCTGTACCATTATGCCTTTTATTTACAGTATTATTATCCCCATAATCACGTTGATTGATACCATTTACATCTTTTCCCGGCGATTTAATATTATTATAATCTACTTGGTCGGAGCTTTTAATGTCACTTGCTTGCGAGTATTTATTTTCCGGATCTTCTTCTTCGATCCAAATGGTTCCCTTTGCTCTCTTTTTTATAGTAAAACCCTCGAATTTGTCGTAAAATTTTTCGTTCTTATCGACCTCGTGCCAAGGGCTACCCTTTGATCTCAATAAATGCCCACTTTCGTGTTTAGCGCGCGTTCGCAAGTTGTGAGGAGAGTTTAATTTTAAATTAAGATTTCTTCGGGTTCCATTGCACTGCACCATGTCTATTCCTTGTACGGAGTAATTATTTGAAGTCTTTTCATTCTTAGCGATCTTTTCTTCTGGCAGTACGTCGCGAAGAGTACGATCCTCGGTTGGATATATATTGCATTCTTCTCTATAGGAAAGAAAAGAAAAAAAAAAGAAAGAAAAAAAAGAAAAGAAAGAAAAGAGAAAGAAAAACAAGACAGATTAAAAAATGTTACTTTACTTATATTTTGGAATGGAATAAATTAGGCACAATAAAAGATCAGCATGGATAATACTGGATCATCAAATTGGATTGGGAGAGTTGGGAAAGAAAAAAATGGGGGAGGGGAGAAAAAAGGGAAAAAAAAGAAAGAAAGATAATAGAATCGAGAATGAACAAGCTACTTACCCGATATCTTTTGTTCTGTTTAGTTTCAAAAATGCCTCTACACTGGCACTTGTATTGATTAAAGTATCCAAAGAGAGAAAATTGTCATCGTTTTGAACAAAACTCGAATGTTGATCGCTTTGCACGTGTTTCGCTAAATCACGATAATCTATTCGACATATTTCACAATAACCAGCTCCTAATTGTTCCGTTCTACGAGCACGAGCTGCACGTGGTCGTCGAGTCATCTCTTTACCCTGACAGTAAGATAATTGGAACATTAAATTTTGCGACTAGTTGTATATAAATGATATATATATACTTAAAAGTGCTGTAAATTTATGGCATCATACTTCTTTTTTATTTGCGATAGCTTCTCTGTTTTCCTTAATCTCCTTATTTGTTTTATTTTCAAGTTTTTCTCTCCTCTTAGCGTCGAAAGGACAAGTTCCTGGGTCTCCGTCAAAGTTCAACGTTGGCCACGTTGATAATTCCAAAAATACCGGTCTTGTATCTCTGGAAAAGAAATGATTGGTCATTATCAAAGAGAAATTGAATATTGTCGTATTCGATGAGAATGAATTTTACCTGCGAAAAGATTCAAACTTGACATACGACCCTTTCAAGTGCTTGACTTTGAGATCTTTCTCGAACCTATGCCTGCTCGTTGTTCCTTGTAGATGTTTCAAACTACTAGTGTCTTTAAGAGACGCATAGATTTTATCGAGCCAAGCCTGAATTTTATCGGTTGCCCAGATAGGTATTCCCCAGTTGAGGGCGTTGTCAAGCGGATCCACGGAACAATGCTGTGGTTGGGTCAGAGCACGTTCCAACATTGCATCCGTCCGCGATTTCTATATTACAGGGTATATAAAGAAACATTAATACGATATTACACGTGGTATAATATAATTATTATATTTATCCTTTCTATTCTTTTGTTCCAACTTACAGATCTTTGGGTAGTGTGACCCTGCAGATTGGTCGTATTGTACAAAGGACACTCAGAACTTAAAAGCGGCGTAGGAGGTGTCGGAGTTGGAAATTCTATGCTCCTCAGCGAGGGGGTTCCCCCGCTGCCACCACTGATACAACCCCATTTATATTTTTCGCAATGAACTTGACCGACTCTGTCAATACGATCTGTGACAACTAGACTAACGGTGCGCACTAAAAATAATTCTATCACCTGAAACAGAAAGGAACTATCAACGTATAATAGATCTCTTTTCTTTGATTTATAACATTTTCAATTATAATATAATATTTTTAACCATATAAATATAATAATATTTGGAATGCGTCGTTATCGATGCTTGTATCAATACTTGTATGAATAATTATAATTTTGATTACGTTCAAAGGGAAAAGCAATAAACCGCGGAAATGCCGCCTCCTTTGTAGCGTTATGCGATAGAAATATGCTTGGAAAAAAATATATCCAAAATCGTATAGGAGATAGAAGAGACTGTATGCCAAGTGCCTTTACCAATGCTTTCCTGACACAGAATAATCGTCCAGTGTTTTGTTTTGAGTCGACTTCAAACGATATTCCAAGCACAACAATCTTCTCCAGATAGAGCGATGTACGCGACGAAAAGTACGCCGGAAATCCAAAGTAATTTTCGGATTAAACGTTCGCAAGAATGGCACCAAGAGAAATACAGAGCGCGTATGTCATTGACGCTAAAACTTGGCGCGGTTAATATGGTAGTCTTAATCCACCGCATAGTACACACAAATTTAAAACGATACGTGTCTAATATTTTTTTTTTATAGGTGCACACAGTAACATGTAACACAACACACACGAGAGACACGTGCTCCCTCCCTTTAATGTATCCTCGTGAGAGTTGAAATTTATTTTTAAAGGAGAACTCGTTTCTTCTTCGAGAAGGAACGAAATGTTCGTCGTAAGATTCACGTTTGATAAAGAGAAGGAACAAGAGGAAGAAGAGAAGGAGAGTCGTAAGGCGAGAAAAAGACAGGGGAATAAAAGGAAGGAGGGAGTGGAGTACAAAGGAGGGAGAGAAGAGGAGAGGAAAGGTTTGCTGTCAAGCCGCGTGTCGCAGCAGAATATACGCTCGAGAGCAAACAAAATTCAACTTCAAAAATAAAACATTGAGCGGTGGCGTCCAAATAAAATATCTAATATAATATCACCGATTTCTCATGGTAAATACATGATTAACGCACGCGCAAATATACAGTTTTTGAAGTTGTGCAGACTCGCTTGGGTAAATCGTTGTGAAAAGGAGGCCGGGCAAAGCTACGGTCGTCGTCGACGTCGACGACGACGACGACGACGACGACGACGACGACGACGACGACGACGACGACGACGACGACGACGACGACGACGACGACGACGACGACAACGACGTCGACGACGACGACGACGACGACAACGACGTCGACGACGACGACGACGACGTCGACGACGTCGACGACGACAATAACGACGACGACTTTAATTGCAAAATGTGTAGGAATAAAATTCTTGGTAAATATGCGCGAGATCGTTTGGACTGATGCAATGTCGTTGTTATTCTTGCTTCGCGGGAGAGAACTGTCACGCACAAAATGGCCATTCGCCGTTAACAGCTTAGCATGGGTGCCTGATGGCGGCGCTTTGTGTTCGCGTCCGCAGATCTTCGCTGAAGATGACGGATAATACGGCTTCATCTACCCATTTCTCGTTCCTCGCACGAGCGTCAAGTTCGGTCTCTGTTACAAACGGCCCTAGCGTATTTTCTCGTTCATTACCCCCACCGGACCATCGCCATGCTTCTCTTTTTCGAACGCACACGTTGAAAACATGCACACGCACGTATACGCACACCCAGGGAGCCATCTCCACGAGAAAAGACTTAACTTCGTACGAACGACTAAAGATGGCGCAAAAATCAACGGTCTTACCATACACGATATCGTCGTTTGCGGCCCGTTTGGAAGATGAACAAAATAGTTCCCGTAACGCGTATTTCTGATTTTACTTTGAAGAATTAGAGAAAGAGAGGGAGAGAAAGAGAGAGAGAGAGAGAGAGAGAGAGAAAAAAAGAGAGATAGAGCGAGAGAGCGGATCGTTGAGAATAGTCGGTCGGTCAAGCGAAGTGCAACGTTGCAACGAGTGGCCCCGCGCTTCCTTTCGGGGCGGAGCCCGCGCTCAGGCCGCGACGGTTCGGTTCTCCCTTTTCTCCGCACGCCTCTCTCTCTTTCTCTTTCCTCTCATTCCACGACGACGACGACGACGACGACGACGACGACGACGACGATATAGGACGAATGTCGCTACAGAGAGCAAATATTTGCGATGGCGTATTCACATAGGATAATAAGAAATGTCACCGTCACCATTTACATTCTCCGTACTTTCTTTTCTCTTTTTCTTGTCTTTTTCATTGGCATATACATTTTGATTTTTCGAATTAAGTTCGGCCAATGCCAGCGAATAAATGTCAGCGTTCATTCTCTAGTCTATACAGTATTGCGCATTCACTCAAGTCTAAGGAGCAAGAAACTCGCTAAGAATAGATTTGTGAACGAGTTCAAAGAAGGCCTCCTTCGAAGAGATTCCCTTCCAAGTGTAAACCAGAAGGAATTCGAAACTTTCTATTTTTACGAGATCAATCTTACTCTCCTATCTTCCTAAGACAACTCAACCAGTCCAAACTATGACATCGTACGTTACACGTACTCTCAATGGTAGCCCTTTATTAAATGCAATACATTACATTTACGATCGTACTTTTAGAAAATTCAAAATCACATCCGATGACGCGCCGCGTGCAAGTAGTGGTAGGTCACGTCCTCTATCGACCGTAGAGACGCACCAATCAAAAATGGCGGGAAGGGGTGAAAAAATAGTATGGCAGCCTATCCAAAATGTATCCAAAATCTTTGTAGAACGAATCGACAAAGGAGATATAACAGGCAAATTTATGATGCACTATATAAGCTTTTAGTACGTCCAGTATTAAAATCTCACTCAAATAATGACACTCACTCCTCCAAGATCCTTGATTTTTGCCTCTAGCTTGGCCGAAGCGGCATGATTCTTTATATCCAAGTAAAATGACTTCTTTGCCAAAGGTTTCAGGCCCTTTTGTATGCGAACATCTAGAAATAAATAAACCTATTTCAATGACGATTATTTAACTCAAGGTCCAAAAGTTCCATAGTCACGGATTTACCTATCTGTTTTCATAGCATCTTTCGTGTATTTTAACAAAGCCAATAATAAATATATCATATACTTATATGCGAATATAAATACAAAATTTATATAGAAAGAAAGTCATCTACTATTGCGCTTAATCGCATAGTATGGTTGTAACAGAGAGATAATTACGTCGTTGAAAGGAAAGACTACCTCTTAATATAGCTTAATATTGAATATAAAATAATACCTAGTATCATTTCCAACATAAGAGAAGATAAGAAGAACTTGTGTTAAAAATATAATTCTATCGCAATTTGAATGTCAAAGCAGCTGACCTGTTAAAATCAAAATCAAAATCAAAATCAAAATCAAAATCAAAATCAAAATCAAAATCAAAATCAAAATCAAATAAAGATACGCTAGATGTCGCGCCAAGTTACAACAAGAGTATTCTCTTTTTTCTTTTCTTTTCTTTTCTTTTTCTTTTTATTTTAAATAACAAATCGTATCAAAAAGAAACACGCTTGTTAGAAGAAGACATTCCATTGGTATGAGATGGAAATTGTAGGGATGGACGGGGAGGGGCAGGGGGAGCGGGGGAGAGGGATTGGGGGGTATCGAATTTTGGTAGATGAGCCAAACGCTTGGGACGAATATGCAGGTCGTCGCTTGAAACGACCGTGCGCGCGCGCGTGTGGGTTGTGTATACGCATTACCCGTTTCCTCGTGTACGTGTATACACAAGCCTATGACGAAGCGTGTCGTTTCGCGATCACTTACACGAACATTTATTCAATATATACTCTTTCGACGGTTGCTTTTGCTCTTGATGTTGAAGCTTGGACGGTGATACCATTCCTACGCAATACACCCTACAGACACCAACGATATTTCTTCCTTACTGAACGCTTCTTCTTTCAAATCAGTTTCCATACTCGGAGGAGTAACGCATAACATCACAGTAACGCGTTTGCATGTCCACTACCGAAAATTGAGCGTCAATTAACATCACTTGTACTTGTAAACATTCAAATTCTATGCGAAGCTCGTAAGGAACGTAATTTTCATATTTGCCGAACCGTGAATCTCCGATAATGCTTTCGGATACACATACGATACGTATACTGGCGTACACGAAGGTCTACGACCTGAAGTAGGACGAGGTTGATTCACAGAAGGAGCGAACCGAACGGCGCTAATATTCAAAGATCCCAGGTGTGACAACTGTAAACAGAAAAATAGTTTTTATCTGGTTGGAATCGAAAGGAACACATCTTTTCTTTGCATGAATATAGTTTTATTTCCACCAAAATGCAAGAAGAAATGTTAGAAAATTATAGACGTCACGTTTCTCCTATGATTTATTTAAATTATTATTAAATAATTACAACGCGTATTTAACATCTATATTTTTTATATGTATAGATTTATGTAAATACAAAATAATTTCATTATTCGGATTTATTAATAATTTAAAATTTAAATATATTTCATTCTTCGTATAAATGTCGATAAAACTATGTTTTTTCCACTCTCTTTTTATTACAGTATACCTTTAGTAGAATTTAACGAGAAATAGATAAATGAATCTTATAGATTTATTTAATATTATATAATCTTTTATAAAAGAAGTATTGCAATTGTCACAAACTTGAACTGTGAATAAAAATTATATTTATTGCCATCAACGCACGTATTATATTATTTTTAATGCAAATTACTTTGTAGGGCAGTGTTAATAGGTTCTGTGCAACATTCAGAATTTTCTAAAGATTTGGAAGTATTTGTTGTACGCTTTTGTAGCTTGCGTTTATAGTTAAATATTAGTTTTACTATATATAAAATTATTAACGGTATGGGGGTCATTATGGCGGATGATACTGGTACCACTGAAAGAAAGAAAAAAAGAAAAAAAAAAAAAAAAAAAAAAAAAGAAAAATAAAAAAAGGAACAAAAGAAAATTGGTTTAAAAATTGCAAATCAACAACCGTATCATGTATTTTCAGGTTCAACTTACCTGTAGTTAAATCATCGGCAGGTGGCTTTAAAGTAAATCTAAGTAAAAAAATAGAGACACCTGTATTTTGTATTCCTGTTTCAATCGCTATTGCTATAATATCTGGCCGAGATTGCTTAAAGATTAAGGATACCAACATGCCAAAAATAAATCCCAACCATGGCAAACCCATGCCTGCTACCATTATCTAAAAATTTGCAATTCATATTATATCATTTAATGCATTTTTTTTTTATTACGTTCGTAAAAAAAAAAACAAAAAAAAACAGATTTAAAAAAGCTCACCTGCCATGAAAATAATCTGAACAAATATAGATTAGTAAGGATAGCAAATACAACGATAAATATTATAAGAATTACTGAAAATGGTTTCATTATTCGTATCATCAACTTGCATAATTTTGGTAATTTCTTTTGTATAAGAAATCCTATCAATAGAGGTATTATAAGACCAACTGCAAACATTGCGATACGATTATAAGGTATGGCAAGGTTTCCGCGTTCAAAAATACGTTTGCCTAGGGTAAATACCCAAAATGGCATAAACCCTGTATAGAACATACGTTCATTTAAAACACTTTATATATAATGATGTTTTTTGATTTTTCTTTTCTTTTTCTCTTCTTTTTTTTTTTTGTACACATCTATATACATATATACGTTAAATTACCAAAAGCAAGTATAGTGCATATCGTAGTCATAGTGATAGAAAGATTCAAATTTCCATCCAATAATACGGTCCAAATATTTGATGCTCCACCACTTGGACTTATCCCTGTGAAGAACATGCCTATTTGTAGTTCAGGTTTGTTAGGAAATAAACAATATCCGATACCGTAACTCAACTGTGAAAACAAAATATTATATTATTATTATTATAGTTAAGCAAATTAGGCCAAGTTGTTTTTATTTTTATTAGATGTGTTACCAAAGGCATAAAGAAGAATTGACAAAAACATCCTATGGCAGGGCCGATAGGTTTCTTTAATGTTCTTCTACATACTTCCCAATCCATAGCACAGCCAAAATTAATATAGAGAATAGATACAAGTATTGCAACACTAACAGTAAATATCGTATCTAACGTTCGTTGATAACGCACTACCGTAACAGAAAGAATATCTTTGCTGTCTTCTATGTTCTAAAAATATAAATTTGAAACAATCTGTATTATATAAAATTCATATTGCAGTGTCTAGATAAAATAACTCACCTTATCTTTCATCAGATATAATTTAATTTTTGTAGTACCCAAAAAGATACCGGTGATATTAAGTATACCATAGAAATGATTGCTATCATTTTGATTAATAACACCACTTATTGTTGCAACATTGGTCGATTCGCTTATATAATCAAAACTGAAATTTCCTGGATATTTCGTTTTGACAGAGAATGGAACGGTCTTTGTTTCTTCCATTGCTAAGCCAATGGAATTGGTTGTTAAATTCACAACCCATTTTTCTACCATAAATTGTTCAGCCGCAATTTGATGTAAAAAAAAGAACCATGTTACAAGGATGAGCATTCTTATCCACTGTGTAATTAAGCATATGATCATAATTTTAATTAGAAATTCTTATAGCATATATACATACATACATACATCATACATATATATATGCATGATTGATAAAAGTTTATCATTATTATATAAAGGTTGCATTGGTTTTGATTTTTTTTGCATGACAGAGAAAAAATGTTTTATTTCATTAGATGGTAAAAAATCTATATCTCTTAGTAAGTAAATATCCCATTTTGGGTATAATTAATTCGATTGAGCAAACGTATTCGCGTCAAGACTCGCGGTATATTTATATTTATTGTTATATTTATTGTATATTATTAAGACAAATGTCGTGTATTTAGATATAGATCTTTTAAATTCCAATGTTGCGCATATGATATTGAATCGATTCGTTATCGCGTATATGAATAAATGAAAGGAAAGATTTTAGTTTTAGTCTCACCTGTTTGATTTATATAGAGTGAAAAGAATATTTTCAAAAAAATATGATCCCATCTGATAAAATGTTGTTCGTTATGTTGGTAAATATACTTGGTAATACCGAAAGCTTATAAACTGCATGACTGCATCTGTGCTCGGGGGGCCTATCTCAATGATGTAAACGTGTGATATATCATATTCCACTTGTCGGTCTATTGCATTAATTTAACGGTACTTTGATTTTCCAACGTTTCCAACTATCTCTCTCTCTTTCTCTCTATCTCTCTCTCTCTTTCTCTTTCTGTCTCTCTCTCTTTCTCTTTCATAGTTTATTATATTTGATATTATATTTTATAAAGCTGTAAGAGAGCTATGACAGTTCATCGGCCAAATATGAAGTACATTAAGAAGATATTTATTCTCGAACGTGCAAAGAACGAGAGTGATGATTAATCTCAAATCGATACTGTGAATCGAGCTTTAAGTGTGCGCGATATATCTATTTACAGATCGATCGAAGTTTTGTAATTCGTAGACACATTCCTATCGATCGAAGAGATTCTTTCGATCATAGTTCGAACCGTATCGGATTGCGATATACGTGTACACGAATATGATAAAATGTAATAACATTTATTTCGAGGAATGAAATTGTCGAGGAGAAAACGTTCATACTGCGCTTGCGCGGTGATCTTTCTCTCTCTCTCTCTCTCTCTCTCTGCTGTGTGAAAAGGAGGAAGAGAAGGGGAAATCCACTTGTCAGTCGACTCGGGATAGGTGATGGTAGTAGAATGGTGAGTAGGTGTTGTAATGGTCGGATACATCGAGGCGCGCGATGTCTTCTTTTCTCCTTCGAAATCTAATTTTCATAGCGATAATCGGTTTAGCGAAATGCGAAACGGACAGACCGTGGTACGAAACTCTACCCGCAGTGGCAATGGACTACAAGGTGCATATCGATGCCGGAAAGGAGGATTGCTATTTCCAATTTGTAAATCCAGGCGCAACTTTCTACGTCAGCTTCCAGGTACACGGTCTCCTTTCACGGTCTGCTTCGATGCATAACCTCTTGGGATAATGTGATCCTTCCGTAAATAAGACATCACTGAGTTGTATATATTGAAAATGGAAAGATGTGCGCCGCGTGAAAGTCTAAGGAGCATAACTGATGGTTAGTCGGAATGGCAATTGAGTTATTAACCATATGGTTCCTTTTTCAAAACTTTCTAAAAGTACGTTAGATGAGTTTCTTAAAAAATAATAAATAATAAATATTAGTATCAATATCTATGCAATTCGCCATTTTTATTTGTTCGTTTATAATAATACGAATGTAACATGTATTTTTACACGTGCGAATTTGTTTATTTTTACACCCGCCGCCGTCGTCGCCGCCGCCGCCGCCGCCGCCGCCCTATTTCTGTGTTTGTGATTGTGCATAGATAAAATGTTAATAAAAATATCATATGCCTTAATCGACATCGATATTGTTATTCGTTATAGCGAATAGAAGCGCAGCCATGACTATCGTCGGATAAGACATTTTATGAGAATGAATAGTGGAGGAAGAAAGGTTTATATAGTTTGTTGGCTTTCTTTAAGAGAAATTTTATGTCATTAAAAATGTAGGTACTACGTGGTGGAGATGGAAAGGCCGGATTTGCAGTGAGAAATCCGGAAGGCGTGATCGTTCATCCGTATCAATGGAGAACAGACGTGGATTATCAGGATCAGTCAGTTACCGGAGGTTATTATAGTGTTTGCATCGACAATCAGTTTTCCAGATTTGCCCCGAAATTGGTGAATTTGTATATCACAGTTATCAGGTATAATAAGATTTATTATTTATAAAAGAAATCTCGAGATGCGTTCTCGACGAATAACATACCGGAATGGGAATAAAAATATATTTCTTTTCTATTTCTTGTTAGGTACGATCAATGGGAAAAATATACCAAGGAATTGGAGGAGCTAAATCTGTCGGTTGAAAATTTCACTGTACGTAATAATCGATAAGAGAAATTAAAATTTATTTTATTTTTTATATAAGCGAATACTTCTTCCGAGCTCTCTTTCAAATAATAAGTACTTATGCTTCTTTCTTTTTTTCTTTTCAGAGTACGTTAAGAGGCGTGGAGAAAAACATCAATGATATATTGCAAACGCAACATTTAAGCCGTAGCCGAGAAGCAAGAGATTTAAATTTGCTTCTGGACAATAATTTTTACGTTCAAACGTGGTCCATCGCGCAAATAATTGTTATTACGGTGACTACTATGATACAGGTTTACTTTGTTAAAAGATTATTTCAAGTTAGACCATCGAGATATTCGAAGGCGAGCCTCTGATTAACTTTAATAAGAATACAATGGGAAGACAATGTCCGGTGTTTTCTCTATGGCGATAGTATGACCTTATCGGAGTATATTAAATTTTATTTTTTTTTTTCGTTTATAAAACACATTTTATACAAACCATTGTATCTTTCTATTCGATTACGAGGCGCGTAATTTTTAATGCTGAAATTTAATTCTCAAATTTTCTATATTTTTGATAACATTTGAAATATTTCAATTCAACAATATTTACATAAAACACGTTACCAAGACACTATAAGTTACTCTTCTCGCAATACTCTTCTCGTACGACTGATGCAATTGAATTAAGACTGTATACCATTATCTTGATAGAAGAAACATTCCACCAATCGTAAAATCCGTTTGAATATCCTTTCACTGTATATCGATGATAACAAGGAGAGGTGATATATAGATTTATTAAACGGTCTCCATGTTTAAATTACATTGAAATTTATGTACATAATTGTACGAACAATAAATGCAGACATACTTTTGTTACGATACGCTTTGCAGACGATCGGCCAAGTTTTGTTTCGCTCTTCTTTGTAAAACGCTACCCGTAAGGGCCAACAGACGATGTCTCTGTTTCAAGTTTCTCGCGCGCACGTGTTCAGAGGCAACTTCTTTCGTATAATTAGCAGGAAACCAACCTTGCTCGCCGTTCAATAGCTTCTCGCCGTGATACCAGCCATCCGTCATTTTTCTCATTACGTTAATAACATCTCCTACGTACAATTAATAAAGTAAAAGTTTGCTTTTAATAAAGAACATATTTTTTCATCGTCTTACCTGGTTGCAATGTAAGCTCATCGGGTTGGCTCGGCGAGTAAGAATAAAGAGCCATTACTTGAGGACAATCCCAGGCTTCGTAAAGTGTTTCTCCGAACGTTTCCCGTTTAGGCGGTGATATAGCTTCCAACCACCTTTCTCTTTCCGTATTGCTTTCACAGGTTAAAACATATTCGGCCTGCTTACCGGAATAATTTTCCAAAAGAGTTAACATCATTGCATTGCGACCAGCAAAGGGTGAATCCTCGGAAACGGTTTCCAAGGCAAGAAGATTTCTTTTGCAAACGTCCGTTACGATGTAAGCTTCGTCGTGAGTACTGCTAATGGAAAGAAGGGAGAATTCATTAATATAGACTTATTTCCCATGATGAGCGTATTTTTCATACGAAACGCGTTTTAAGCGTTCATCATAAGAGCTAATTTAATGATTTCATCATTATTATTTTTTTCTTTCATATAGACATACTTGTGTTTAATCTTTGTGACTAGAAGATAATCTGTAAGTAGAAAAAGGTATAGCGGTGTTTTGTTGAACTTCTTCCCAAATGTAAGCTTATATTCCATATCCGCCTTCATAGTTAAGCGTATAACGGGTCCTTTTTTAATTAAACGTCGATTTTTTAATGCCAATGTCTTAATTTTTGCCGAATATTCCAATTTCCTATAAAGATCAAATAGAGATTATATATTTTACTGCTTTGCCCTTTGTATATAAATAAGACGAAACGAAACGACGTATAGATAAGATAACGTGTCACCTCGTTATCATTTCCATTTCTGCCTCTTGAGCCGCAGCACGTGCACCCTCGTTACACTCCGACGCGACATAAGTGAAAGTTGATAAAACTTTTTCCCAGGAGGATCTATCGGCGGTATTTTCGACGGATAATTTAGAAAGTACTGCATCGGCTAACAGCGGGAGTCTATAAATGTAAAATAAATTTTTTAATCTTAATACCGATATTATTGCTTTTCGTTATTAATATTTTACCTCGTAATACGTTGCATCGGTAGCATAAGGAACGAATTTAATGGCAAGCTTTGACATTCAGGACGGGACTCTATTTGTGCGACAGCCTCGACAAATTTGGAGCCGCCTTTCCTCGCTCTTATTCGATCGTGAAAAAACATTCTTTGTATTAAACAAGAGGAGAAAAACGGGGCGAGGGTGGGAGTGAGGGAGAGAGGGGAAAGGAAAAATCGAAAATGATCAAAATAAAAGGAGAAGGAGATTACCTCAATTCTTTCAATGTCATATCTATTTTAATCTGATTAGAGCAATATCCGACGAATATATCTAAATATTTGTCCGAGTGTTTAAGTAAAATGTCAGGCAAATTATTTAACGTAGGATCTTCCTTCCATATTATTTCCAGATCCGCCAATAATCTTTCCGATGCTTTAATCACAGCAGGTACTCCGCCAAATAGTTTATCTTTCTCAGAGCTCGTCAAAATTTCATTCGTTAATTCGTGATTGCGAAGGAATTCGTTGTCAAGAACACGAAGCGAATTCAAGTAGGACGCTTCCGACGTAAGGATCTCAAACTTTGCTTCTTGTATTTTCTTTTCTTCCGGCGTTAATCTCTCTATAAAAAATCGTTGATCGTCGTTATTAAACCATTAAATTTATTACTCTAATGTCGATTAATTTATATTTATTATACGTTGACATTAAATACTCACGTAAGAGTCCGCTGCGTACAACTTGCGGAGTTTGACACCATAAAGTACGTTGTCCTGGTTTTAGAAAATCCTCCGTAGCGAGCGGAGGAAAATTTAAATCTTCTACCTATATATATTACGGATATATTACGCTTTATTTCAATTTCATTGTCGTAGCAAAAGCAAGCAACGTGTACGCGTCAATAATCTTGTGTATATGATATACATAGGTATAAATATACATATGTATATATATATATATATAATGCTTTTTGCTTACTTCCTCGTATCCGTCGGAATCCGACTCGAAGGCCACACGTGCAACGGCTGCCTCATAAAATTGATACAAAGGTTCTTGGTCCGCCAAGACGCTGTAGTGATCTAGTCAAATATTTCATAATTCGCGGGATTTTAGCCGACAAGAGTCACGCGTGCATAAAGGCTCTCTAACTTACCGACGTCTCGCGACGAAGATTCGCAGTCGTTATTAATTTTCGTCGTACCAGACCACGCGGCGTACCAATTGGTATTACCATAAATGGCTTCTTTGCTGGTACCATTATTATTATTGTTGTTCCTCGAGGTGCAAATACCGTCGCTATCGTTTAGATAAAAGGTCGAAAAGCTGGTGAGGTTCTTTCGAAAATGTTTTCTAAAGCTAAAATATTTTCCATTGTCTGGCAGTTGTTGTTGATGGTGT